AAAAAGTTATGCTTTATAATAGCTAATTATAATAATTATAATAAGAAAGAGATTTTTACTTAATTCCTTATTATTTAATAATTAAGTTAATAACTTTTAGTTGCTTTAATATTATTTTTTTTTTAATAAGGAATATATATTAAATTTTAAGATATTATTTAAGCCTATTTATAATTAAAGTTAAAGCTTAAATATATAATACTTATAAAGTTATTACTAAAGATTTATAATAAGTATTCTTTTAACATTATTATATATATTATTAAATCTTTATATAATATTATTAAGTTTAATATATATTAATAAATAATATATTATAAATATTATTATAAGGAATTAAATATAATTATTTTTATTTATAACTTATATTTTCTTATTTTAAATAGTAATATAAATAACTTTAATATTATAATTATATAAATAAATAATACTTTCTTTATTATTACTTTAATATTTTTAATAATAAAGGAAGAAAAGATTAAAAAGGTAAATATTTAATATAAGTTAAAGATAATACTTACCCTTAAAATAATACTTAACTTTAATAATATAAAAATTATTATTATAAAGCATAGTATTATTAATATATATTAAAAGGATTAAGATATAAAGATTGCTTTTATTTAAATTACCTTTCTTAATTAAGGATAATAATATATTAAGCAATAAGCTTATAATACTTATTTAGCTTTTATTTATTAATTAAAAGCTATATTTAATTTATTTATAGTTGCGTAAATAATTAATTTAAGTAAAGAAGATTATATTAAGCTTAATAAGAGGTTTTAATAATAAGTTAATTATTTTAAATATAATATATAATATATATTACTTAACTTAATTATAGTTAAATTGCTTATTTTTATTAATAATTCTTTTATTAATAATTAAGATTTTAGTTTTTAAATAAGCTTTATTATTACTTTTATTAATAAAACTTAAGGTAATAGCTTTATAAAATTAAATATTTATAATAATATTATTTATTAATTTTTTATTAAGTATAAAAGAGTTATTAAAAGCATTTTAATTTCTAAGATTTATAATATAGTTTATAAATTTAATATAGGTATTATTTTAATAGCTACTTTATATTAAATTATTATTTATCTTAGCATTAATATTATTCCTTTTATAATTTATATAAATTTATACTCTTTATATAAGTACTTAATTAAGCTTAGTATAATTAAAGAAAAATGCTTTATAATTAACTTAATAATACTTTAATAATTATATAAAAAATATAAGATTTTTAAAATTTAATAAATTGCTAGTAATTATAACTTAGCTAATGCTTTTATAAAGGGTATATTAAATAAAACTTTTAAGTAATTTATAATTATTAATAAGATTATAATTAAGGTATAAGGATATATTAATTAAGGATAGTTATTTATTTAAATAAGAGGAAAAGGTATATTAAAGCTTAATATACTACTTATTATTAGGGAAAATATTTAAATAAGAGTTAATAAAAGTTAATAAGTTAAGTTAATTATAAATAAGGTTATAAAGAAAAAATTATTAAAGTAACTTAATTTTTACTTTTATTTAATAAAAATATATAAAATTAATAAAAGTTTAAATCCTTTTTTTATTAATTAATTATAAATTATCTTAAGGAATAATATAATATAGCTTATATTTAAAATTACTTTTCTTTTAAGGGTAAATTTTATAGCTAAGATTTTTATAATAATGCTTATATATTAAGGGTTTAGGTAATAAGGGTTATTATTATTTTATGGGCATTTAAGTTGCTAACTTATATTTAATAAGTATCCTTAATTAAATTTTATAATTTAATATTTATATATTAATTTTATATATATTTTTATTTATTAATTTAATTAATATTAAATAATTCCTTAATAATTCCTTATACTTAACTTTTCTTCTTTATTTAAATACCTTATTTATTAACCTTTATAACTTATCTTACTTATTCTTTTTTTATAATTAATTAATCTTTATTTAATTATGGAAATTAAATATAATTAAGCTTAAGCTAAATTAAATCAAGGTATATTATAAGTTAAAAATTAAATAATAATATTATTAATTTAAGGGTTTAATTTAATTCTTATTTAACTTAAGCATTATAAGTAATAAAAGTATAAGTTTATAAAATATATTATAAATAAAATGTTTATATAGTAAAAGCAATAATTTATACTTTATTAATTAATATAATTAAAATAATTTATTATATATAATTATTAAAATAACTTTTATTTATTAATTGCATACTTTAATAAAATAATTAACCTTTAACCCCTTAATAATAACTTAAGTCTTTTTATATGCTTACTTTTTATAAGTACTTAATATAATTAAATAAGCGCATACCTTTAATTAATTTAATTAATTAATAAATTTAAACTTAATAGTTTTAAGTTTAATTTAACTTTTTTTTTTATATACTTTTTAAAGGTATGCATTAATTACTTAATTAAAGATTATTAATATGATTATAAATATATTATAAGGGAATAGTAACATTAAGTATAATAAGCATTATAGGTAATTAGCATTAAAGCATTAATAGGCAAGGGTTATGTGTGGCAATATGTAACCACCCTTAGTAGTTTATAGCTAGAGGGAGGTTCTGCAGCTTATGGCTGCAACCCTCCTTCCTTTTATATAGCTAATTTAAATATAACCAGTCTGCTATTAACCAACGTACGTTAACCCAGCTAATAAATATAAAATATAAATTTCTTATTAAAAGTTACTTATTTTAAACTTATATTATATTTATATTAATTAATTTAAATTAATTAAATTAATAAAAAATAAAAAGTTAAAAGTAATTAATATTAATTAATATTAACCTTTTATTTATTTATTAGCTTTAAGGTAATATTAAGGTTATTTATTTATTTATTTATTTATTTATTTATTTTTATTTATTTATTTATTTATTTATTTATTTATTTATTTTTATTTATTTATTTATTTATTTATTTATTTATTTATTTATTTATTTATTTATTTATTTATTTATTTATTTATTTATTTATTTATTTATTTATTTATTTATTTATTTATTATTTAATTAATTATTTAATTAATTATTTAATGAGTTATTTAATTAGTTATTTAGTTTTATTTATTTATTTATTTATTTATTTTGAAAAATTAAAAGATTAAAAGATTAAAAGATTAAAAGATTAAAAGATTAAAAGATTAAAAGATTAAAAGATTAAAAGATTAAAAGATTAAAAGATTAAAAGATTAAAAGATTAAAAGATTAAAAGATTAAAAACTTAAAAGAATTAAAAGAATTAAAAGAATTAAAAGAATTAAAAGAATTAAAAGAATTAAAAGAATTAAAAGAATTAAAAGAATTAAAAGAATTAAAAGAATTAAAAGAATTAAAAGAATTAAAAGAATTAAAAGAATTAAAAGAATTAAAAGAATTAAAAGAATTAAAAGAATTAAAAGAATTAAAAGAATTAAAAGAATTAAAAGAATTAAAAGAATTAAAAGAATTAAAATACTTTTTAAGTTATATTATTTATATTTATATTTATATTTAAATTTTATATTTTAAATTTAAATATATTGCTTAAAAATATAAATATAAATATAAATATAAATATATAATATATAAATATATAATTATAACTTTAATTACTTTAAGCAATATACTTATATTAAGCGCCAAAACTTATTATATATATTATAACTTACTTAAACCTTACAACCTTAAGCAAATTAATTAAATATAAGGATTTTAATTAATTAAGATGCACGGTTATACCATATAAAAAGCCCTTAACGGGCCCCTGGGAGCTACTTATTTATAAAAGCAGCATAATTATATGATAATTTATAAAGAGGGGGCCCTCGCTTCGCAGCCCCCCCCCTGGCGATGTCGCTATGCGCCCCCGCCTCCCATTACGGGATGGTTTAGGTTTAGGAAAACCCTATAATAATCATATCCTAGGCTAATTAAATGTAAGGATTCTAACCAATCAGCATGCATGGTTAAAAGATGGCACTGGCGGAGGAGTAACAGAGATTATTTTAGACGAATAGCACTTGCAAGACCTGGTTGTTTCCGGCCTTTCATGATCCTCGCTGAGACTTCACCTTACAACGTTGTAATTCAATTTTAACTGATTTGCTGTGTAATGACGCACTTTTGTAATAGGTTGTCAGATTTATTGATTCGTCTATCCATAACAAGTCTCCATATCCGGTCTGTCGTTTACTTCATAATGTTCTAACATTGATGGGTTGCCCGCCGCATGATCCGAGAGAACAAAGAATCTCGGGAGGATGCTGGAGACTAAGGCTCAATGACCTCATTGAGCCTTTTTGGAAGAGACCATGGATGTTCATTGACTTCAGAGAGTCTTCCTACGGTGCTGGAGACCTGTTAGGTATCGGCCTCATTGGGCTTACACGAGTAACAAACTCCCTTCGATGATGCAACGATTGCGCCGTGAAAAAAATCAAAGTCCTAAATGCAGTGAAACGCTCTGTATTCTATGTTTGTGGTTTGAGATGACAAAGAACTTTTTTGAGATCTTAAAAAGATGTGAAGCGTTACTGCTGATCAGGGCATGACCCATTTCACCGGTGCCTTCAAGCAGCATGTAGAGATTACTCGCAGCAAAGACCTCGTACAGTTATGCTACACATGTTGGAAATCATTTACGCGCAGACATATCACACCAGCCAATACCGATCACGTCAATTCAACTCACAGCTTGTTGGTCCTAAAGTCTCATGGGAGATGTGGGAATCTGTCTGAAGTGTAAAAGACGTGGCACACTTTCAATATAAGACTCGTTCCCATAGAAGCATCACTGAAAACACAAGAACTTCATGGCACGAGATTTCACGGTGACGAGATCTTTATTTAAAGGGCTTGTCATCTTAAACAACCAGGTGTGACCGCGTTTGTCATCGCCTCAACTCCATCCCAAAAAAGCCAGACCATCCATGATCCATATCCCCAAAAACGTTGGTCTCCGCTCACCTCCCTACTTCCCGCTGTGTAGCTGTCAACAAACCAGTTTAGAACAGCCTTTGGGTCGGGAAGGTCGGAAGACTTACGCTAAGGGTTGTCTGGTCACAACTCCAGCAGCAAGGATCTGGGGGGCGTGAGTGCAGGCTATCCCAAAGAACCGTTAGTCATGTTTAACGCATAATGGCCAGCCAGTGGTAAGTTAGGTAAACGCCAGACACTCACCTCAGGAGAGCTCCCAAGACACACCGGGGACGCGGCCGACCGGGAGGGGGAGCAAGCTCCTGGAAAGCGGTAGGGGTGACGTCGATGTCGCCATCCTTGCAGGCCTCACACCGGTCAACGACTTTGACTGTGGTGGTCTTGCCCTGGTAAGAGATGGTTGCAGTCTTGCCGCAGACGCCGCGGCCATCGAAGTCACTGGCTCCCAGGGCAGCAATCCGGTCCTGCAGCAAAAGGAGTCAGCTATCAAAGCACCGAGGAAGAAGTTTCATTCTGATAAGGGAAGGACCAGGCCACAATATGGCCATGGCTTGTTTCAAAACCTGCAACCTGACAATACCTTTAAGGTACAGGCTATAAGCAGAAAATGGCTTTTCTTAAAGGGGTTAAAATTGTATCTGGAAGCTGCTTACGTTGGTGGTATAGTATCCACCGCAGGCGACCTGATTACCGGTGACGGGATCGTAGTAGGTCATCTCGCCGACTTTAGCGGTGGCGGCCACGACAAGAGAGAACAAGGTAACTGCGTTGAGCATCATTTTGATGGTCGTTTTGGGTGGTGTTATTTAGATATTCTCTTCTGGACTAGGATGGGTATATTGCTTCGATGTAGACAGATATCCTCAAGGCGTGTGTTGATTGAGAGATGAAGAAAAAGAGAATAAAGGTTAAGCATTTGGGAAGCGAAGGAATCGAGTCCTTATGTTTTAAGATCAAGAAAGGAGGCCGCGGTGATTCGCACCGGCCGGGCCGTCACGGGCGGGCCGTCACCAATAAAGGCGTTTTCACAAAGAAGGATTCTCACTCCGTCATCCCATAAACTTGGAGTTTTGTGAGAATCGTTTGAAAATTCAGCGTCTGGTCATTCAGCCCAGGGCCAACGAGCGGCAAGAGTGATGACTTATCAATCGGAATGGCCCTGAGGACAGTAGACAAACAAAGTAGAATGAACGAGGAGAGCCATTCCAACGGACCGACGATACATTTTTCTATCAAGATAAATGAATCTACATAGTGCTCACACATCTTCTCGGTTGTGACGGATGGACAGCCCGGTTGGAACTGGGACAGTGAACTACCACGTCACCGTCATAAGCACTCTTGTTATGAATCGATGGTGTATGGGGACGAGTTGGTGGACCGATTAAGACACTTCGTGACGAAGACATGAATCACGAATTTTTAACAGCCTTTGGAAAGGCTCTCGTCGACATGGAAGCTCAAGATCATGTTTTCGTGGCAACATTTGGGGCTGCCCTTCTGTGATCAGGGCTGACCAGCTGCCATCCTACCCTCCGTCGCTTGCTTTCTTGATAATTTCTGCTTTCCGTGTACGAAAAAAGTGACTTGGGGACAGATTTAGAAGAAAATTGTCTCAATCTCTTCACTTCCCGGATCGCCTCATACCGAATTGGGGAATCTCATATCCATGAATAAAGAAATCACCCTTGTAGACTTAATTTGGATTTAGAATCGTTAAAGGTGAACACTTTCTGTATGATTCGTATGACTTAACGCTTCTGATATCTCGGTTCAACTTGAATCCATTAATTCAACATGATTATCCATTGTACTAAAACGTTAACAGGTTCGCTCACGTAAACATTGATTCCATTCAACATTTTAGGCCCTTATGCTGTAAGCTGCACCTAAGGCATCTATGATATTGTTAACACCTCTGCTAGCTGATGCTTATGAGTACATCTTCTTATTCTTACTGATATTAATCATTTTCCTGATACTTTGTGCTTGAATACCATGCTAAAGCTCGGCTTAATGCACAACAATGCCAAAACAATACCATTGTTCTGGAATTATCTAACCCCATGTAAGTGAAATCATTATTAATATGCTATTGAGATTTATACAGTTAGAATATGTGGTTGCAACAATGGCATTGTCCATGTGGAACGAGCACCCTTTATATCCCCTCCAATCATAGACAAAATGGTGTCCTATCCTCTGAAGTATAAATATTCCTAGTTTACTCGTCTTCCATTTTTCTGTCCCTCCCACATCTGCAAAGTGCAACAGCCACTTGAGATACACAGAAGCTTGGACTCTCGGCGAATCAGTTGGATCTTGGCTCTTCTCTGGTTACTGCACTGCACCCGCATCCCCTACTACTACACAAAAACGTACTCACCACCATCACAGGTATGAGTCTTTACTCACAAACCGTCGACATCACTTCTCCGGAAGGTACAATGGACGCAAAGCTGGCCTCCACCGACACGCGCGCCTACGCCGCCCTCGCCATCGCCATCATCGCCATCGGCGCACAGCTCATCATGGTGGTCTTCATGGTGAAGCTGTGGCGCAACGCACGGCCCTCCCACCGGTCGGCCGATCCCGAACGCGGTCTCGAACTCGACAACGTCCCCCGCGCTGCGCCTGCTGACACACGTCCCCGCGGCCTCCCGGGCTCCCCCATCGAGTATCCGGTCGCCCCCACTCCGGCGCAGTCCCACGGCCGCCCGGTCGCGGCTTACAAGGCTTACACGCCTACAGAACGCCACGGGGGGGAGGCCGATGCGTACTTCTACCCGCCGGCGCCGGCGAGGAAGCCCACGTACACCGCGGATAGCGGTCTCGGCACGCAGACCCACGGCGCGGACTACCGAGAGCAGCGGCGCGAGGCCCGCCACGAGTCTGACGGGCACAGGACCAACACGAACGACGCTGACTACGGCCGCAGGGGCAACAGGTTTGCCCACGGTACTTAGGCGTGTTCTGATGGTCTTGTGGCTGAGTGGCTCTAGGGCAAGTATTCTCAGGTTTGTTCCCTCTCCTTTGTTCGCTCGGAGTTAACCCTTCCCCATCCTTTTCCCTTCCTTTTCCTGTTGTTTTACATGGACTTCAATTTGTCTGGTATGCCCCTAAAGGTAAGCAAGGTAAGTAGTTTTCCAAAAAAAAAAAAAAAATCATAACCCTACAACATCAATTAGGTTGATTTCCCTCCAGTCTTGGCCCTCACTGTGTGAACTCTTACTGCAGTCTTTGTTTTCTTTGTGTCCCGTGCCGTACAACAATTCCCTCGGTTCGAAACATAGCATTTCATGCAATAATAAAGCAGAGACTTGGGAAAGTCGCCTTGTTCTTTTACAATAATTTGTTTGTTTTATTACTATCCGTAGCATTGCTGCTCGAGACGGTTGTGCCAAGACTTGTACCCAGAGACAATGCAGCTCTAGCTAGCCAGCTCTTGACCAATTGTCTCTATCTGCATTTTGCGCTATCCCCAACATGTGACCGCTCACATCTAGAATCCCAAGAAACTAGAAAGGTAGTCGGCCTTGCCAACCTGCACACCCCTGGCGCGGATGATCGAGTAGCCGGTGACCAAGTGGAAGTAAAAGTTGGGAAGACCGTGGTTGACCACTGCAGCCTTGACGGTAGACTTGTGTGTCTTTCCGAGGGCAGGACTGTGCAACTTGTCAGCTTCACGTTCAATGAGAACAGAAGGTGTGTAGGGCTAGCGCTACTCACAGGTCAACGGTGGCCTCCTCCCTCCCAGCGGCCTTGCTTGCGTCGGCAGACTTCAGCAGGTCGAGTGTCTTCTGAACCACTTTCCGGAGACCGGCCACAGTCTTCTCATCAGCTTCGAAGGGCGTGATCTCCTGTCCCGTCAGGCGGCCGAGGTTGATCTGTGCGATCTTGGCCGTGATCTGGACCTGGAAGTTCAACGGCAACTGGTCGTCGACCAGACGTGCCTCGAAGAAAGTTGCGTCGACATCAACGCCCTTTTCCTTTGCGTATGCCTCAGCCTTGGAGAGAATGTGGTCGTATGTTGTGAGGCCCTTGATGAAGATGGGCACGACAAAGTCATATGTGGCGTTGGAAGACATGGTGAAGTAGAGATGTCGTGTATGATGATGCGAGATTGGAGAGCTGTCGGGAATACTGGCAGGGAATGAGTAGTTGCTTGAGGATAGCGGAAGGGCACAGTCAGGTTCAGAAGGCTTATGGACACGCCAGGCTCAATATATAGTCCAATTTAATGTCTCAGCTGCATGTCAATATACATACAACTTAGTCATCCAATGCCATCGATCACGTCGCCTGGATGGGGCCTTGCATCTTTAAACACCATAACAAAGTCCAAGGGCGAATCGCGTTATCGGAAGCGTGCGTCTCAACCTTTTGCAGGAGGAGGCTATCGACATGGTTCCGATTGGCAGTTGGCTGTGTGTGCGAGCTTGTCTGCTCGGATGGCGTCATCTCAGGATGCGGGGGCCGGCAACCAGCCATTGATATCCCACCAGCCTGATGATTATTCAGACCGCAAGATGTGGCTTCAGCCGGATTATAGTAATTCGTGAATGACAAAGCGGGAATGCTTAGTTCTATGCAATGAAACAGTCACAAGACTACAACCCTCTCCCCTCTCGTAACATTCCCCGGTCTGAGGTTTGCCATCTCGCCTCTACTGCAGCTCACTGGGGTATTTCACCGTTCCTCATAGACGAGACAACCCTGGACTTTATACCGTGCGCTCCCTTGGCTCACAAAGTGTGCGAAGTCAGACACAAAACAGCGGGTATGATCACGGCCGCCATCTGAAGTCTGGGTGCTTCCAGTCAAGGTCGCCGATTTCCTTCTTGTCCAGACCGGACAACTCAGCCACGGAGTCTTTTGAGTCCCTTCGTCTATTATCAAAACGCATCCAAGCAGATATTCCAATTCCAATCAGGCACCAAGTGCTAGAAGTCGCCAAGTTTAGGCCGTTACCGATTGGGAAGCGAGGCCCATCAAAGGGCAGAAAAGACCACGTTGAGATGAGTCCCTATTGACGCACTTGTCAGGCAATCAAAGGTCACCGCATTGGTGTGAGGATGGCAGTTTTTTTTACTCACCCCTAGAGAAGCAAACATTACATTTGTCGCCATTGCCGCACTTCGAGCTGTGTCAGTCACTACATTGCAGCTGATTTGCGCGCTGGTCATGCTCCCCATGGTGGTACAGGTGCTAGCAACCAGGAACGTCGCCGCGTAACGTGCGTGTGGATCGAGCGTTCCGATGAATATTGCATAGCCGGTCAAGATTGGCAGGGCACTGATTGTCATGATAATCTGCCGCCTGTCGAGCATCCACGAGAGGCCGGAAATGGCAACCGTGAAGAAGGCCCCGATGACATAGGGTGGCACGGTGTAGAGCTGCTGCCTCGTGACTGATGCATCTGGGTAGATGGTCGATATGATGGTTGGCAGGAAGAAGCCCAGCCCCTGGACCGTCACCGCGTTCATGAGGTACATGCTACCGGTGGCCAGCGTGACAGGGTTCGCGACCCCGCGCCACAGTTTCTTGCGGTCCATGTCGTCCAGCAAGACCGTGCCCGAGAGCCTTTCCGAGGTGACACGATGAGCCACGAGCTGGCGCTCCTCGGGCGTCAGCCATCGTGCAGTTTCTGGGCGGTCGGTCAAGAGGGCGAACGCCGCGACGGAGAGCCCAACCGTGATGATCCCCTCGACGACGAATATCATGCGCCACCCATGAAGCGCGCCGATCCCCGGGAGGGAAAGGATTCCCGACGCCAGGAGACCACCGAAAGCTCCGGCCATGGGGGCCATGGCAATATAGAACGACAGCCGGAATCCGAGTTCTGCGCGGCGATACCATCGGGACAGATAATAAGCGATCCCCGGCATCAAGCCGCTCTCAAACACACCGACGAGACAGCGGACAGCGAAGAGCTGGCCGGACGTTCGCACAAGCCCAGTGCAGATCGACGCGATGCCAAAGCCCAGTGTGACGCCGGGCAGGAACCAGCCTGGCCCAATCCATTTGCAGCAGATGGTGGCAGGTATCTGGACGGAGGCATATGCGGCTGAGTAGCATGTCAAAGCAATGTTGAAATCATACCCACGCAGACCCAGCTCTCGCTCAAGCCCAGCAATTCTCGCGTTGCCTTGGTACACCAACAGTTAGCCGTCAATGGTTTGTGCCATCAGAGATCTCATGGGGTAATGCATCCCACCTATGTTTGCACGATCGATATAACAGAACAGGTATAGTGAACAGACTATCGGACATATGGCGAAGTCAACCTTGGTTCTCAGGCGTCTCGCCGTCGTTTGGGTGGTCACGGATAGCTCCTCGTTAGCAGGTGAGGGGGTGTCGTGCTCTTTTTCACAGTCTGTGGTATTTGTGATGCACTCTTGGGTGGTCCCTGAAGTTTGAGAAACCATGGCTGCCAGTACTTGATACAACGGCGATTGGGCAATCGCGGTATTAGGAGTGGCACAAAATTTGAGGAGCACAAAGCGTAGAGAGCCACCAGTTGACTGAATACCAGCTCGCGCACGGGACTGTCTTCTTTTGAATTCGGCATTTATTTCGCTGCATGTCCCGATCGAAAGGCCTGAGAGGTTGAAGATCTGCGTATGGCTACTCGGGTGTCGGCGGCAGGCTTGGCTATCACAACATCCAAACAAGATTGGGCTTTAGGTTGCACTGCATTATCTGGTCAGCAGAGATATCACATCACATAAGCGAGTTACATGCCCCCGTCGTACACGCTGATACAAATTTCAAGTCTTCTGTGTAGCCACCAATGTCTTGGCTATGAAAAGTGATAAGAGTGGCAGCAGCTTATCTAGCTAGTCCACGCACAGTTTTCCTGGGCAGAAAGAGGCGTGTTTGTTGAAACTGGGCCATGACTAGAATACATCCTACGCTCTGCCAAATACCCAGAGGAATTAGGGCGCTCTAGCATGAGAGACAGAACTTCGAGGATAAGAGGACAGGGAATGAGGATCTATACTAGTCAAAAGCAGTAGTATATGGGAGCAAAATTCGAAAAGAAAGCTGGTAGAATTCTGCGTAGGGAGCTTTCAAAGCCGCGGGCCCCTCGGGAGCTTTATAGCCTATTAGAGGGAACTAAACTGTTTACCTAGGTACTTCAGTCAACACGAAATAATCATTACCGCACGTCAAAAATACATACGTTTGAATCTCGGATTCCAGGGTCTCTAACCACTGCAATCTTCTGTCTCCGTCATGGCCGCGAGGGCTGGTGATCAGTATGAACCCATCCACCGATACTAATCAAGGGACCAGAACATCGTTGACAAGTACGCAATTGTCTCTGCAACCCATAAGACGCCCCTCCGGTGGGACTCCCTTATCTTGTATTTGGCCTTGCCACAATTTAGCCATGACTGCCGCCAAGGCCTCGACTTCAATTTCGTTGCAATGTATGATATGCGGGCATGGAGTCTGTACCCATACGCTCCTTGCAGGTGAGCTGATGGACTCCGACTTGAACAGTCTCTGCTGCGAGTTTAGGCTTTGATCGGTCGTTGACGAGACTATGATATCTGTTCACGAAACAAGCTCATCGAATGGTCTCATCACGACCCATTTCATCCGACTGGCCACAACCATCCGTGTTTGTCCTCCTCGGACAATCCTACCGCAGGTTGGTACGCGTCTGTCAGGAGCTTGCGTTAGACCTTGCGATGGGGAAACAAGTGCGGGAGCTTGAAATCTTTCGAGACTCGCCTTGAAATACAACAGCAACACTGAGATTTGCAGCCAAATCCTTCAACTGCCGCAAGGTTTCCGCATCAGGTCCTTGAGTCGAGTCGTTGACCCATTTCGGGAGCTGGATCAGTTTAAGACTCGAGAACTTGCTGTCGTGACCAGAATGGCGCAGGAGTGCGATTATTTCCAGCCTCAGGCTTGGCCACGGCTCAATAGTTGCTGATGGGAGGCCCTTGGGATGTTCTGGCCCTCCTACCAATGCCAAGCGCTCAACACTCCGAGGTAAGAAGTCAACAAGTCCGTTTGAAGCCGGCGGGCCTTCATTCGTGGTGCTTGGTGGTTGCCTTCCGCCATAGAAGCAAGCCATGTGGATTGTCAGGTCCCTGAGCACCAAGAAAGAAGGAAGCTGGTCCTTCAAGCCGCCATGTTCGTTATGGAGGTAGGTGCTTATCTGAGCCTCGTTGGGTTTGACTTCGAGGATCTCCAAGGTAGCCGCGTGGCGGGCAATGGCTGATCCCATGGCCTTGCCCAGATATCCACCAGAGAACTGCATTTCCGAGGCACCACAGCCCCAGTGCAAGACGAGCTTTCTTACAACCTTGCACGCGCTCATCAAGGTGTCTATACCCCCCGGCTCAACCTCGACCTCAGACTCCTCGAATATCAGCTCCTCGAACGTCGACGTCCCCGTCGAGACCTCGTCAGCAAGCCAGGACGTTCTGGAGTTGGCACACGTTCACCCGAACCCCATGAAGCCGTTTGATGTTTGGAAACGCATCCTGGTTGAAAAGAATGGGGAACTGGCTTAGGAACCTGAAATTGTCGGGGCTCCCACGGAGTTTTGCCTCCCTTGCGTACCCCCGCCGCTCTGGGTGCCGTCGAAATGATAGGCCGAGTGACTGCATGTCCTCCCGGGGACGACCAGGCAGCAGCTCAAGGCGACTGTAAAGCAGAGGGATGGCGATGTCGTGGAAGTGTTTGTTCGTCTTGACAATGCCAAGGAAGTGTCTAGAGCTCTCGGACGCGACCTCGTGGAAGATCTTGACCAGGATCTCGTTGGGAAGCTCCGAAACGTAGCATCGTTTTAAGCGCATGAGTGGCCTGGTGTATATTCGATCATTGATAGATTCCTCTTGGTCCGACAGGGCGCGATGAAGCTCTTCTGCCCAGGCCCCTGCGCTCTCCTGGATTCGGATACTTCCGAGCACGTCGGCCATTGTTGATCGATGGGCACAATGCACAGTAGGGGATATTGAGGGAGAGAAGTTTGTCTCATAACTCTTCGTCGTAAGCACCAAGCCCATGTTATTGTAGGCCCGGCGAGGAGCAGGACATCTATGACGCACAGTGGCTTGATATGTCTCGCAATTTCCGTCTCTTGACATTATTTTTCTGAGCACCTTCCAAGCCGTCCCAGTGATTTAGTGGCTTCTCATGTTGCCGGCACATTCGTTCAATCTCTCAGCATTCCACATCGGCAATGGCTTTGTTTATGCCTGCATCGGGCCGCATGATAACACGCCTCGGCATCTTTGAGCACGATTCTTTCCGACTACGCTTTTCGTGATGATTTCCATGCCTTCGGCAATCAAGTCTAGCCATTACCACTACTGCACTCGAATAAAACGACACCCCCAGCACGATCAAATCCCTGAATTATACAAGCAAACAATGCCTAGCCACAACTCTTCGCCAATCGTCCTGTGTGCACTGAGGCTACTAGTGCTGAAAACTGCATGCTTATAGAATTATCGTCAGCCGGGTTGTAACTAGTATATATCAAGAGCATAGAGATCAGTGGTACGTTGTCTACACATAAGGCATTCTAAGCGAGATTGGAGAGGCTGGATACGATTATTAGAGTTCGATTCAGCACGGACTTAGGACGAGGATTGGTGTAGTCAAACATGGCTAAATATAGCTCACACACAAGGTCGCACTTCAACTGAGATACTACAAAGGCTTGGCTATCCGCGGGCACTTCACATTGGGTTTGGGGAGACCAGGCCCTCCATCATGGGTAGAGGGTAGTCATGCCGTCGGCAACATTCATGCAATATATCTGAGCCTGCTAACCAAAACCTCTCCGTCACCTTTTACCGTCCGTCTCTCGCCTTCCACTGCAGAAGTGAATAAACCAATGCGGCATTGGTTCACATCTTGTCGACAAAATGCTGTCCCTCGCGGTCGTCACAATAGCTGTGGCCTTCATCGGTCCAGTAACCGCTGGCCCCTGGGAAGACGACAGAAAACGCGGCAACGGCTTCTTCATGGAATACCTCCCACTCGACAACTGGATCATCAAGGCCACCTATTCAGTAACCCTACCAAATTTCCCCTGTGGTTACGTCCCGGGCGGCGAGGAGCAGCTATGCAGGACTTCCCAGGCAACGGCAGCACCCAGGACATCAACTTCGTCCAGCCGCTGTTCGTCTGGGGCCCGACCCCGAACGTGACGGTCGACCCGGCCTGTAACGCCGAGACGTGGTGCGGCACCGCGAGCACCTTCATCGGACAGGGGCCCGACCAGCAGAGCGCCGGCTTCAAGCCTGTCGCGGTGGGCACGACCCTCGACATGGAGATCATCGTCGGTGAAGCGGTCACGCAGACGATTTATCTCGACGGCGAGGGATTCTCGACGTAGACGGACAGCCCTGGCATGAGACCTGGGGTCTTCAACTCCCAGAACGAGTGCATCACCGATTCGTGCGGTACGCTTGAGAGTTTTGAGTGGAAGAACCTCAGGTTGACACTGAAAAAGGCACAACCCGGCTGGGGACCCAAGATGGAGCTTGCAAATGCTACGACTGCGGGCTGGGAGACGCCGGATGGCGGTGTTACGTGGACCAATGCTTGCATCAAAGTCGAGAAGGACTACCTGTACAGGGACAACAGTATGCGTGAATGTTAGGTAAGGATATCAGTCATTCGTGATGGGCTCACGCTGCCCAGTAAATGGAATTCGAATTTGCTTTCCTTTGCACATGAATTTCAAAACTCCAACAGCCCAAAGGCGCTTTTGCATCTCACGCTCGATGTTTACCCAAACATTGCCACCACCATCTTTTCAAAAGTCCTCAGCAGTGAGTGGAGCTCGTAAATCAGCAATTGCCATTATCGAGTGGTTGTTTGCTTTCTGTATGGCAATATTCACCCCAGAAGGAGAAAGCATCCTTCACTTTATCACATCACCCCCTCACCGTGCCGTTCCTGCCGGGGCCCCGTACGTTGCTTGTGCTGCGGTATACCAATCGTCATCCTGATGGAGATACAGCTGGCTCTGTCAGTATTCCGAGAGGTAGTCGGCCGAATCGGGCATGACCGCTGGGCTGTAACCCTCGCCAGAATATGCCCCAGGCGGAACCATCATCGACTGTCCATTGTAGTCATCGGCAGAAGAGCCGTTATACTCGGCTTGGGAAGAACCAGCGCCGGAGGTCCCGTTGTTCTCTTCGTTCCAGTATTGGTCCTCTGCATCCTGTTGTTGCATGGTATTGTCCCTTGGCATGGGCGGCGGTGGGTTCAGGTGTCCAGGGTAGGCCTCGTAGCTCTGAGCATCGCCGTGGGTTTCTCCATAGCCAGGACTATCCACGTCGTCTATGACAAACTGTGATGAATCAGGCAGGGGCAGACCCTCGCTGGTCCATGGCACGCTCGCTGCCTGCTGAGCGCCTTCAGATCCTGGGTACCAGTCTCCCTCTTCAGCCATCGCCCGCTCGCCTTGGGAGACATCCGATTGGGAGACCCCAGGATCTGACCCAGCCAGTGTAGAGTCGTCGCTCAGGCCGGTCGTCATCCTCTCCGGTTGCCATGAATACCGGTCCGGGTCTATGACTCCTTCTTGGCCCTCCGTCTTCCCGCCTTCAGCTTCCTCAGCGATGGCACGGTTTCCATTCGCCTCTAATTTGGCGTCGGCTTCAGCGTTGCTCTCTTTGATCCTGCCAGCCAGTACCACCTCGCAAATGCCGCCCACGGCGCCTATGAGCATGATCCCAAACAGGGCCCCGAGGATTAGCAGTGCAACTTCCCAGTCCTCCAGTGGGGCGTTGCCTATTATAGCCCGCTTTTCGGAGTGGTGTCTCTCGTCATCTGTTATTGAAGGGAGTGGTGAGCCAGCTGCTTTGGTCAACATGAGGCTCAATTGGAGAAACGAGAGAGGCATGCGCCTCATAATTTGAGGCGCCATGTAAATGATTCAAAGCCTCTATTGACAAGATGCAGATGGTGCAAGAAAAGAGCGTGAGTGTACTCTATTATGCGAGAGAGTAAGGACCGACAGACTTCAAAAAGGAACATAAAAAGCCAAATTCTAGAGACCCCAAATCAGGTGCAGTACACTATTTAGTAATTAAAAACACAGCACTCTCATTTTCTGTAGGAGACCGCAAGGTCACCTCATTAGCATCGGCCGTCAAAAAGTGTCTCTGTCCGTGACAGTATCATGGCCCCGTACGGAAATGGCCCGTTTTGCTTGATGGGGCATCAGTGACCTATCTTGTCGCGGTATGTCTCCGTGGCCCAAAACGAGGCCTTGTGGCACATCTGAAATCCCGTGAGATCCAATCTCTGAGGTCAATTGGGAGGACTATGCAAAGCGGCCGGGCCGGCCTCGGGCAGAAGGCCACCTTGGGACACCACACCTCGAAACACAAACACGACGAGACCTTGGTCTACGGTCGCTGCCAAGACAATTCAATGTAGCTATCGAAACGTACGGAAACACCAATGAAATTTTGTTGGCTGAACGGCGGCGTACTTCGCAACCTCTCCCGGCTCCAGGCCCGGTCATTTACGTTGCACTTTGGGATTTGCAACCTTGCAATTATCTACGGCATTTGCAAGGAGAACTCCATCTGAGCTGAAGTCACAATTGGTCTTTGACCTTCGTTAGCCGCGTGAAGCGGTGAAAGTCGTGCCGCCATGAGAGAAAGTTCACAACCGCTTCCCGGAATGGGCGATTGTGAATCTGCATTGACCTCAACACTGGTAACATGGGACTGCGGCAGCATCCGAAATCTAGACAGTTGCCGTCATCAATCTGGTACAGGTCATATAGCTAGCAGGCGTCTATGCAGCTGCACCAAGCTTTCTAGCAAGTGATGCGAGTGCAACCTTGTAACCTAGTTAAACCTCGACTCACCCGGGCAGAGCCGCCTGATGGCCGTACACAAAGCGTTGTCTGATCACAGGACCTGGTGCAGCTTAATCAATGCGAGAAATGCCCTGGAGACCGTGTCATGTAAACAATGTGCGCAAACTCAATCGGTCCCAGATCACAGTCATCTATACCCGAACCTATAGTAACAATTGCCCACGTGCGGCCATCCAAGGTCAATGCCATCTACAGATGCCAGGAAGATAAGGAAAACCCCACCGTCATCAAGAACACGGCGCATGACGGTTCGATCCGGAGAGAGGTGTGCTCACATGGATGATCGCCGCTCGAAAAAAGCCTCGGCACCCCGGAGACTTGCAGAACCGTCTGTGTAGTGACCCCAGACGCCACACCTGTTCTTTCCCCGCGTTCAAGCACCCAGGCAACCCCGGGCCGCCCGGGGTCGTCCCTCGAGGAATAATCCTCGGCTGGCTTGGTGAGGATCGCCTGTCGAACGGGTGGACATGTGAAGCTTGACGTCACTGGGGAAAGCGGGCAGCATGATGATGAGGGGAGGTCACACATTGCTTTCCTGTTGCTTAAGTGTGTGTGCATCTTTGACATATTTGGAGAGCTTATCACGCTCACGAGCGTGGATCAGGAGAACCAGCGTCTGGGCTGCATCATCCCGGACCCTTGACGCATAGTAGCTGGGACTAGACCAAACCACTGTACTGTACCGTACACTACATGGTGCATCACGTCTGCATGTGTGTAAAAGCCGCTGCAGGTGCAACGGGCTCTAGTTTGTGACAGGTCATGAGAAGGAGAGACTGGCTGACTCGCACAGGAAGGACTCGGAAACTTTGCGGCATCGGGCAGCCACGCAAGCAGAGACGAGATGAGAAGCCAGGTGTGTTGAGGAAGGGATACGCGGAGGAGGGGTAGGTGATGGGCAAAGTTCGTCTGATCAGGAGCCCGACTAAAGATGAGGGACCTCTGGAGACCCAGTCACGGTGTCTACTTTGTCCACGCAATCTTGCTGAGAACGCCACGCTGGCGATGGAAATGTGTAAGACAAGACTACTGCGAGGGAAAAAACCAGACTCGGGATGCACCGAATTATACATGTCCACGTCAGTCGAATGGCCCCGGAGTTCCGGGTCAGCTCGCCATGTCAGACGTCCGAGGTGACGAGGCCAGGCACGGTTATGTCACTGCGCCGACGTGAGTTTCTTGTCTTGCACGTCCGTGGAGTCAGCGTACGCCCACCCAGCTTCTACAGTACGCCCACCCAGCTTTCAGCGTTGGCCCACCCAGTACAAAGAAAATTGGCTGCATATGCTATAAAATGCTGATATTACGGGGTTATTAATAAAGCATAGCTATAGCTATTTTAAAGGGGTCCTATAGCTACCCTAAAGGGGTTTTATAGCTACCCCTTTATTTATAACTTAAAAGTTACTTTAACCCTTTGCGCTCTTTTTGGCTCTTTATATCCTTTGCAGCTCTTTACGCCCTTTATGCCCTTTTTAGCCCTTTACGCCCTTTACAGCCCTTTACGCCCTTTGCAGCCTTTGCGCCCTCGCGGCCCTTTGCGCCCTCGCGGCCCTCTAAGCGCTTTGAGCGCTTTAAGGGCTTAGGAGCGCTCTAGGGGCTTTGGGGCGCTCTGGGCGCTCTGAGGGCTTGGGAGCGCTTTAAGGGCTTTAGGGCCCTTTAAGCTTTTTAAGCTTATATTTTTAAAGTATTGCTTAAATTAAAAAATAGCTACCCTAGCTTATTAGGAACTTTGCAATACTTGCATTTTAATGCGGATGCAGCTAATTTTCTTTATACTGGGTAGGCCAATGCTGGAAGCTGGGTGGGCGTACTGTAGAAGCTGGGTGGGCGTACGCTGACTCACGTCCGTGGCCGGGAGGCACGGCAAGAATTGAACCATGTTTGCCTTGAGGTTGCGTCCCGTCCCGAACGCCCCGAGCGAGTCGGGGTTGGAACAGATGTAGCAGTACCGCATCTAGAAGAAGACCAAAAATCGCGGTTGGGCTTAGTTGACGAAGATGCGCCCCCAGGATGTGCGGTAAAACGCTGGACTGGAAGCACTGAGCTGGGTGAGCCCACAGCGGGGTTCATGTCGCGAGCTTGAGAGATTAATCGCGTGATGTCGAGATTGGTCGCACAAATGAGCCTCGTTCCGTTTCCGGAAATGGCGGTAGGCCACCGGGGGTGTTTATTTTGGATATCCATCCGTACGGACCGCGAACATACGTGCCTCTGATGCCAAGGCCGGAGGCTCTTGGTCTCTGTACTGTGGTAGCACGACAGTGCTCAAAAAAAGGTTCGAGCTGGGTTGGGGGAGGCACGACAAGTCGACGGCAGGCATGCCGTGGCACGCCAGTCTCCCGGGGGGAAAGCTGAAGACCAGAAGGGACATGTCCCTGACTGCCTCGTGCTATTTGACATGGCAGTAAGCCCTAGTGGCAACGTGCAGAGAAGGACGACAGAACGGACAGAAGCTGAGAAGGGGATGGAGGGAGTAGTGAGACAGGCAGGCAGGCTCCTTCGGGCGCGGGAAACGAGAGCAGCTCGTCCACCCAGATCCACAGCTCTCGGAGGACATGATGCATGCAGGCCACACACGCTGGGGTCCGGACCCGCCTCGCGTGCGGGCCGTTACAGTAGGTTAGTGCCCTCTTGGACGGCAACAAAATGGGGGCGAGAATCCTCCTGCTGCACGTGCTTGTTGCCGTCTTGGTACATTGATGCGACAGTCACACTGTCACTCCGCCATTCCCGCCGATCCAGTCACTCTACAGTTCGTGCGGCAGTCATTCCAGCCGGCCATATTATAGTCTAATCTGTATTGTGTTGTAATATAATATCCACTGAATAGTAGACGGCTGTCAGATCGACACTGACGAGTCGAGTCGAGTCGGTACTGCCCAACCTGCGCCGCGGAGCTTTGCCGACTCTTGGACGATAAGGGACGAAATGCCGGGTGGTCACGCCCAATGGCACGCCAGGCTGGGCAGTCCCACGCCCCGCCCGAGACGATCCCACCAGCCTGTTTGGGAAACACGACAGTTGGCCGGGGTTCCATCGGGGGGCCCCAAAGCAGAATTTCCCCGCAAGATCTCGTGGTGGTGCAGGAAAGGGCCAGGCTGCGGGCGACAAGAGGCGGCAGGGCGCGAGAGAAAACCTGGGCCTGCTGTTTGGAAGAAGACGAGCTCGACCAGACATCTGATCAGTGGGGACCCTCGGCTCGTCTTCTGTTTCCGCCCTAGGCTGGTGCCCGCTAGCCAGGGGCAACGGTCGAGCAGAACTGGCAGGTCGAGCCAGGCCTGATGAGTGCTGGATCGTGCAGTGCTGCAATGATGGGACCCTGAAGGAAAGAGTCCATCTCGTCCATCTCATCCATTCTTTGCACTCTGCTCTGCTCTGCTTTTGCTCCTTGATCCGTGCTCGCTCCCGCTCGAAGGTCATGGCCTCTCAAGGTCAAGGTTCAAGTCAAGTGCGGAGAAGTCGTTAAACAGACGCCGATCCATGCCCTTTTCAGCCAGGCGTGAGGTGCTGCCATTCTCGTCCCGGGCAGGTCCGTGGGTGCTGAGCCAAGTCTGTGCAGCCCTGGCTCGCCTGGGAACGTTCAAACACGATCCCCTGTGGGTAACAAGCTCCGCCTGTTGATCGCTGTGGCCGTTGATGTCGTGGACCCTTGCTCCTGGCCCCCCCCCCCGGGCAGACGTCACCTTCTATGGTGGGAAAGCATCCCTGCAACCTTGGGGGACCTTGAAGGAAACCTTGGAGAGGGCCCGAGTGTCAGGAGCGGGTCTCTTGTCAGTGCAGCGAATTTCTGCCAATCGGTCCACAGAGAACTCGGTGTGCCGCGGCCTTGATCGCTACCGCCAGACAAGCCACAGGCCAGCCCAACATGCGGTGTCAACGGTCGCGGATTCGCTGGCTCCTCGACAGCCTACTCGTGCACTACAAGACCGGCTTGCAAGGATGTTAGCTGCTGTATGGCGCCTCCTGGGGGCTGCTTGCACTTTAGAACGTGTGTGGTTGCGTTGCAGTGGGTAGTCTGGGTACTTGGTAGATTGCGGCGGCCCTGCGTACCACTGTCAGCTAATGCGAAGTAAAAAAGAAGAATCCTGTTGTTATGTAGGGGGGGAGGGTGGCCTCTGGGGGGCGGTCAGGACCTGAAAAGTCCCGTCTCACCCACTTCACGATCAATAGCCCACTCGTCTAATCTCACATTCTGTTTCCTCCTGTCCTTCCCTTGACTGGGCCGGCACATGTGAATTGAATATCCATACTATTTGTACAGAGGCAGAGGCGCGAAACTGCTGGCCGTTGCGGGCACCATGGATTACATGTGAGTCTCCTGTCCTCCTCAGGCGCAATTTCCCGGCTGCTCTAGTCCCCGTTTGATCGAGGAAGGGCCCCTTGGCGTCCACTGCCACTGTTTCTGCATGCAGCTGTATCAGCATCTACTGTTTCGTGCAGCTCCGGCACAAACGGGACAGCACTCGAGCTTGCTTGGTTCAACCGCCGGCGCAGCACTAACAAACATTCTCCATCTTCTACAGATCCATTTCGACGGCGTGCTTTGCGACCAACAATGCGATTTCGAAAACGTCCCCAACCCTACGAAGCTTCATCCGGGAGGTCAGAGAGGCACGGGCAGAGCTCGACGCCGTCCTCGCCGAACTGCATTCCCTGGATGGCGTCCTCGACATCCTGAAAGATGACGCCTCCAGCTTTCCCGAGGCATTGGCCAAGCGGACTCCGCCCTTGCTGGAACATTGCACAAGCATAGTGCACCAGATTGAAGGATATATGCACGTCTGCAATGGGCTGGGGCTCTCGGCGAGGGACAAGAAATACAGATGGATGGCCATACGGGGAGACATGGAGAAGCTGAGGCTGACGCTGGAGGGATACAAATCCACTCTGGCCGTGGTGACAGACCTCGTTGGATTGTGCGTACCACCCATTTCAATTGGATTGCTTATTTGCAGATGATGGATGTGCTGGGCTGACCACATTTCTTTATATACGTGCAGGACCAAAACCAAGAGGGACAACGACCGGCTGTCCATCGACAGCGACGCATCCGGGTATCGCGACACAATCGAGCGGCAGGCGTCGGTCAACGATGACATCAAGAGCGACCTCACGCGTGTCATGGGCAATATGGGTGGCCTCCGGGCGAGGCTGCAGGCCGAGTTCGGGTCCATCTACGCCGTGTCCGACATCGAGAAGTATCTGGACGCGATGCAGCTGCAGGCGACAAACCTTGGTTACAGGCTGGAGGCGGAGAGATTGGAGGCACGGCCGCCCCCACGACAGGCCCAGGCACACGCACGTGGAGCAGCAGGAGATCGCGAAGATCGTCATACGCACAGTGGGTCCTCGTCGGTGGGTGACGCACCAGACAGCGCCATCGACATGAACGACGGGCCCCCGAGCCCGTACCGTCGCCACTCCAAGGACGAGCCTGATTCGCCCCCTGGCCGGCGCCTGCGGCACGACAAGTCGCTACCGAGCTTGCCTCGCCTGCCAGCGCTGCCCATTGTCGAGATAGACGAGTTCATCGACGAGATCGACGGGCTCGGGGACCTCCCTGAGCCCTCTTCTTCCTCGTCTGCTGCCGCCGCGCGCGCACCCACCCCACCGCCAAAGGCCGTTGCACGGTCCAATTCCATGGTTCATGTTTCGTCCCTCTCGCCCTGGACCGGTCACATCCCAGGGCTCTCCAGGCCCTCGTCGGTCCGCAGCGTCAGCGACTACGGCGTCCTCGATTCGGAAGGCAACCCCGTCGTGCCCCGGCGCATGAGCTCGCTCCGCAGCCTTCCTCGGTCTGACGGCGATGCTCTGTCGACAGTGGGCAGTCTGAGGGGAATCCGACCACCGAGAAGTGAGAGCAGCTTCAGCATGTATTCGTCCGCAGGCACAGTCACCACCACCATCGTGGGCGGGCCCCGGGCACAAGATCCCCATCCCGTCATTGGTTCGAGATCAAACAAGACAAGCATCAACAACGACAACAGCAACAGCCGGCCTGGTCGACGGCTCTTTGGCCGACGCAGCTCGTTCAGTGTCCCTGGCCTACCCACGAGGCCTGGCACGAGCAACAATGCCGCCGGCTCCGGCAAGGCTCACATACTCTCTGCCCTCGCAGGCCCGGGCAATGCTCTCGCCATCCCGGCTGCCAGGGCCGACGCCACCCCACAATCATACGCACACTCACCCCCAGCGCCACCATCACCACCCACGCCACGAGCTCACCACCGTGCGAACCCGTCGGTCGACACGACCGCCACCAATGCCACCTCGGCCAGCGGCTCCAAGGGCCTGCGCCCCTCGACCGCCGTCTCCTCCACGGGCGCGAGCATCCGCAGCAACTCGTCGAGGCTCTCGTCCATGTTCAGGAGGGTGAGCGTCTGGTCGCCCAGGATCACGGCCGAGGCCGCGCCAGAGGAGCCCGAGCCGGACGACATCTTCGGGGTCTCCCTCAAGAAGAGCATGCAGATGGCCACCGCGACGGTCAAGACGCACCACGACGGGTCCAAGGGCTCCTCGCGGCGGGACTTCCCGCGCTGCGTGCTGTCGTGCGTGAGCTTCATCAAGGAGAACGGCGGCGTGCAAGCCCCGCACATCTTCGGCGGCGAGATGGCAGGCGGTGAGTCGATGGTTCGCGTCGCGTCACTCAAGGAGGGGTTCAGCACGGCGCCCTACTACGGCGAGGGCAACATCGACTGGGCCGCCTACGACGTCTACGACGCCGCCGAGCTCATCGTGCTCTTCCTGCAGCAGCTGCCCAAGCCGCTCGTCACCGAGGCCGTCGCCAAGCGCTGGATCGTCCTGTCCAAGCAGGCCACCGTGCCCAACCACCTGCGCCTCGACCACTGCATCGACTTCTGGGACGAGGCCCTGCTCGGCATCCGCGGCGCCGCCCGCAGCCTGTTCAAGCTGCTGCTCAACCTGTGGGGCGACGTCGCCGACGCCGCCGAGGTCAACGAGATGACTGCCGAGCGGCTGGCGGCGAGGATGTTGAACCCGCTCATGCACCTGCCCGCTGGCAAGTACACGACTGATTTCATGCTCGGGCTGGCGTTCCTCATCCGCAAGAGGAGCGAGTACAGCGTCATGCTCCGGGATGGGAGGAAGAGCAAGGCGGCTTTCTGAGTAATGGCATAAGCGGCCAATTCAATCATATTGCTTATCACGGACATCCACACAATCGTCCATGTCAGAGAATGACAGCGACCTCTTCAACGAACATCTTTTATTTGTGAGCGACCGAACTCTCTGCATGAGATGACGCTAGAGAGAGACTTTGCTTGATACTGGTTATCTGCCATGACGATTCTTCGCAAAAAGACCAAAAACACACCGCACAGCCATCTGCAATGGCGACGTGCCTACGACTGCCTTTCGAAAGGCTTGTACACTATGTCACTCGTTTTTATATAGGGAGGAATGTTACTGGCGAAGATACCCGAGAAGTCACTTAAAATATATTGTCTATTCTATTCCAATTACGCACTATACATTTGTGGCATTATGGGCCGACTGAGAAATGGCGACTTGGTGTGTCTCTGCCCTGTTCCGATCTCAAAGCTGAATGAATAGCAGGGCAATGGGCATTTCCTTAGACTTTGACAGCATATGTTCTTCGGTAGGCTTCGTCGATGCTCTGCAGGTAGTACGTCCCGGCGGCGAGGGAGGCAATGTCCCCAGCGGGCTGGAAGTCTTTGGAACCATGAGCCTTGAGCCTGAGCGCACAAGCCTGTATGGCAGGGTGATTAGCACATGCTTCCACGGACCTCGGGGCAAGGTAACAAGTGTCTCACGTTCTCGTACTCCTCCGGCGTGGCGATGTGGCGTCGACCCAGCCTGCCCATGAGGTCGATCTTGCGCACCATGTCGCTGACGTCCCCGGTCACCTTGAGGGCGAACAGGCTGCTGGCGATTCCACCTCCGTACTACAATAATTAATTGCCAGCAAATTGGCGTGCTCGAGAATCAGGTCGTCTGAGCGCCTACGCTGAACATGCCGATTGTCTTGCCCATGGCTTCTTTCGGGTCGATGTTGATGATGAGGCTGATGAGCGAGCAGTACAAGCTGGCGGTGTACATGTTGCCACACAGGGTGGGCGCTGCGATGCACGGCGCGACTCGCGACCTGAAGCGGTCCTTTGACAGCGTCACAAAGAGTTTCTCGAGTTCCTTGCCTCTCAGCGATTCTTCGTACATGAGACGTCCATATGACTTGCTGACGAGTTTGCAGTTCGGGGCGTGGAACGCCATGTAGTCGAAACGATCCGGGAGATTGTCTGCTGATTCACCGTTGACAGTGTGGCCATTCTTCTCAGCACCCGTCTCCTCCGCCTTTTCGCGGAGGCGTTTGTAGCAGCCATCCAGCGCGGACAGGTAGGCCCGGATGGACTCGTGCCCGTTAACCACCGGGAACTCAACCTTGAGGTCAGGCTTGTAGAAGTCATACGCGTGTGTCATGAAGGTCCCCTAGAGGCTCGGCTCGAGAGAGAGCAAGGCATGAGGGCCCACGAGCATGGCCACGCAGCCAGCGCCGCCGGCGGGGCGGGAAGACGCCTCCCGGTACAGGGCAATGTCCGAGGCCACCACGATGGCATCGCGGCCATCCCATGAGCGGGATTCAACCCAGTTCACTGCGTTGAATAGGGCGCTCGTGCCACCGTAGCATGCGTTGACCGTGTCGATGCCCTCCAAGCTGGTGTTGCCAGCTGGCTCGAACAGCTGGGTCAGCACGGTCTTTACAGACTTGGCCTTGTCTACGAGGGACTCGGTGCCGACCTCCAGACGCCCGATAGACTTGGGGTCGATTTTGTATTTACGGAGCAAGGAGGAGACGGCCGTGAGGGCAAGTGAACAAGTATCTGGGTTGGAATTGGTCAGTATGGTTCAGCCTGGTGGCACCATCATTGTTCAACACGGCGAATAGAACACATGCCTTCTCGATCGTCGCAATAGTTCATGTACTTTAGACCAAGGCCGATGGTGTATTTGCCAACTGAAACTCCTTGGTACTGTTCAAAGAGAGCCTGGTCCAAGCACTATCAAGTCCGGTCAGCAGACAGATACGAGATGACATTCCGTGAGTTTTCGACTTTGCCATGTCCAAGCACTGACCTGACTGGGGACGCAAATCTCCATGGCCTTGATGCCAACATTGTCTGGGTAAGCCATCTTTGAGTGACTGCCGATATTTCGAATACAGTGAGTTGTAAACTTCAGCTGAATTGCCACAAGGATGAACACCGTCTGTCAATTGCCAAGCTAGAGGGTTTACACTCACAGAGTTACGATGTAGTAACTTATAGTTGCTAGATGTTGAGGCTGTGCAAAATACTTCCAGTCCCAAAAGAGTTGTTAAGGTCCTGTGGAAGTGAATGCTGTTCCTTTTTCGGTCGCTGAAGGATGCGGCAAACCCCTGGCTTCATTTCGTTTCCGCTATCTCGGGGTCAGCTACACAATGGAGCTTCTGCAACATGACATCTCGGGCTTTAGACAATCAGTTCGTATTACCCGAGTCTCAGCCTGCCCAGTGGGGCTGAGCACAATACCCTTGCTATCATGACTTGGTGTTGCAGTCGTCTTGACGAACATCCGTTGCACTGCAGACAACCACGTCCTTGTGCTCCATCAAGCCTGTCCAAGCACACAATAATACCATACCAATAAGATCAAGGAAGAGTTCTAGCTTCGCTGATAAATGGTGAACGAGAGGTGACGGACTCACCTAATACCAGAATGAACATGGATGAAATTGGTGTTAGCGGTTGTTGAATGACTTCGGCAAAGCAGATAAGTACACTCTCAAGTACCAACCCCGGACGAAGTCATATCCTGCTATACTCATATGATCAACGAAAGAGCCTCCTCCAGAGCTAAAACCTACAAAGATCCGAACGGCTGACTAAGATACACTTGTTTCAAAGCCACTCTTATACTGTAAGGTCCACGCTACAACCTCCCCATCACATCCGTTCTCGAGCCGCGATTCTCAGAAGTCGTTTCCTTAGAGTCACTGCTTGTCAACAAATGGACGAGGCAGACTTATTGTGCCAAGTGCAGTTGGCTTGGCTGGAAAGTTTACCATGGGTATAGAGAAATGGAAGCGCCACCAGAAATACTGAGGTAGTACTGCTCCCAGCTTCTTCGTCTAGGAATGCCTGGGTCTTCACATGTTGCCCTAAGGTCCCGGATCAGCTCAGCAGCCGCGTGGCTTGAAGTACGCAGATTCAACAGCCGTAAAACAGCCCATTACTATGCGCAGCAGGTATCAGCTGCGCATTTGTGGACTCGAAAGTAAGGTTTGTCTAGGCTCAGCAGAAACCGTGGAATGTGGATCCAATTGCTGTAGTCACAGTCCAGAGTTCTCTGCCCGCTCTTCTCATCACCCCAGAGTGTATTTTCCCTCCTCTTCTTGTCCCTGTTCTCGCTCCTTCCTCCCCTCATCCAAAGGTTTCTCGATGCCCTTTCCCTCTAGCAATTGCGCCATTTCTTCATCGTCCCGAATAACAGACCACAGTGACGACCAGCCATGATCACGCACCGATCCGATTTCAGCACTCTTTTCAAGCAGTAGCTGCAAGGTACTTCGGTGACCATGTTGAGCAGCAACATGCAACGCTGTTCGGCCGTCTCTGTCTTCCTCAGACACATCGGCACCATTTTTGATTAGAAGCCGAATAACTTCCTCACTGGTCCAGCCAGCAGCAGCAAGATGCAGCGGTGTGCAGCCCTCATTGTCTTTCTCACGAACCCCAGCCCCGCTTTTTAGCAGAAGCTGAGTAACCTTGGCGACGTTCAATCTAGGAGTAGAAGCGAAAGCAAGACGCAGCGGTGTGCAGCCCTCATTGTCTTTCTCACGAACTCCAGCTCCGTTTTCAAGCAAAAGCCGTATAACAGCCTCATCTCCTGCTTCAGCAGCGTAATGCAGCGCTGTTTTGCCCCACCTGTCTTTCCCATGGATCTCAGCACCTTTTTCAACCAGAAGCTGTACGACTGCCTTGCTGTTTCCCATGGCATCATAATGTAGCGCTACTCGATCCTCATCACCTCTGTCAAAACGAACCCGGATGGCGATCTCATTGATTTGAGAAGCGGCATGAAGTAGTGGTGTCATTCCGGATCTGTCGCGTAGATGCAAATTTGCGCCTCTTCTGAGAATCGAACGCACCACGTCTGGAAGATTGGTTTGAATCGCATATATCAAGGGCGTTTCTGAAGAATAACCAAAAGTAGTCTCACCGACCACATCATCGACGTTCATCTTTGGCCAGTCCAGGAGAGAGTGAAATGTTTCCAGCTCACATTTGTGGTCTAAGGCGATGCGCACTGGCGACTTCCCAGACTCATCTTTTGGTGACCCAGCAATCAGCCAAAGATCTTCAACCAATTCTGGAAAATCATTTTCGATGGCCCATACCAAAAGTCGAAGGAGATCACATTGTTTGGATCCGGTGAGAGAATAGCGAAAAGTCGTGTTTAATGCAAGTTCAAGCTTTACTCGACCTGCCAGCTCTTTGATTCTTTTGCGTCGTATGCACTGTTCAAGAGTATTTTGGAAGTCTTGGTAGTTAAATTCTTTCTGTAGAACGGGTCCAAAGGTGAAAGTCGAGTACAAATGCTCATAGCACGTGAAGATATCTTCGATTTGATGGTCCGAGGCGAGTGCAGAATGGCGCTTCATCATGTCCCGCATCCCAGTCAGGCCAAATTGCTGGTCAATTCCGTTCGTTGACCCACTCGCTCTTCGATACAAGTCACCTAAGCATCGGAGAGCCCGCTTATAAGACCTGCCCGGATATCTGGAAAGTATCCAGATGATTATAGCAGCCCCGTCTCGGAATTTCGAGTTCCGCCGGAGGTACTTGGCCCGGTCCAGCAGACTCTCCACAACATCATCCTCTAGAAGCGGCAGCTTCATCTTGAGCAGAAATGCTGGGACAATGCTCATAAGTGCCTCCTCTCGTGTATCCACGCCAGCTGAGCTGAGGGCACCGGCAAGTGCGTCAATGTGAGGATCGGAGAGCCCAAGCCAAGGCGTAGCCCGGGAACTGGTCGACACGGAATGACCTTGCATTTTCAAGTAGTCGTCTCCGTCCCCGACACCGTGCAGCTCTCCGATGATGTCGACTATCCTGTTGATAAAAACAGTGTAGACGTCCTGGGCCATCAATTGCAATAAGGACGTACTCCCATTTGTCGGGATGCCCAATATTGTGAGTCCGTCTGTATTGGACGTAACCCTTTGTCCGGGGGCGTCAGAGCTTTGTTTTGACGATTGGGCTCTGCTGAGGAGGCTAGATGTTGGTATCGACAGGTTGTCTGGTCTTGATATAGCGTCCACGGTTCCGTAATCCCGTACTTGCCGTGTCTGGGTAACCCAGAGATACAATGCTGTCTCGATATTTTCGCTTTTCGACTTCTCAACGACGATCATTTCGCTGCGGATCAACTGTTCCTCAGCTGTGGGACCAAGGAGCTCTGACCGTTTTAGTGACCAAGACCACAATCCCAACACAGCCTGGAGCTGATGGCTGCTGATGCTCCATTTGCCATCTCTGTTGTACATCTGGAACCCAACGGTGTGTAGGTCTTTCTCTTGTGGTGTCTGTTCGGGCGATTTTGAGAACCAACACGAAGACTTCCATGCAATTGCTTTCGGCGCAGAGCCGCTTTTCCAGACAACGTCCAAGGGAGATTGAGTAAAAACATACTCGGCTGAGACCTGCAGGGCCTTTTGAAGCTGCAAGGCTGTTGTACGGATTTCGCCACCCCAGGCCTGCTCTGGTGGCAAGCCAGATTGCACTCCTGTCAGTTCTGCGAGCCTCAAACGGAAACGCATGATCTTCATCCTCGACGTACAATCAGCATCCTTGTTCAGAGGCTCCACTGGGGATCTTGGGGGAAGCATGCGGTCTGAAATTAAAGTTGTGGAAGTAGATTAAACATCCAAGGAAAACCCTGTCCGTTGACCCTCTACATAAGCACATTCCAAGACCGCAGCATTTTTATATCCCGCCTACTTGTAAGGTCATAGATGTTATGCTCAAGAACCAGGTATGAAAAGCAGCCCTTGTGATGCTCGTGCGCAGTCTGACTCAGATTACCCATTGTCCCTCTTCTCCCGGCACATCATACCCACATGCATTATGCCAATCACTCACTCACTCAAGAACTTTGAGCATTAGTCTCCTTCCCAGTGTAGCTTTTCGAAGCCGACAATTTCGGCCAAGGAGCGAACATGTTGCTACCAGATGGCGGCAACGCATCCTTCAACTCAGGGAGGTTCCTAACCAACACATCCCGCATAGTGCTGTTCTGCACCCATTTGAGCCCCTCAGGCGTATAAGTCTCGCCGTTCCACTGAGTGGCGATGAAGCGATCGCTCTTCAGCCGCCGCGAAGCCATGCAGACGAAGATCCGGAACGCGGTGTCGCTGAACCCGAAGCCCTTGGGCAGCGGCTCGCTGTGGCTGCCGACCAGGACGTCCACCGCCTCGATGTCGCCGCCGTAGACGTCCTCCAGATCCCGCGCCAGCGCCGCCCGGTCCTTGGCGGCTTGGCTTGAACCTTTCACGCCGCCGACAAGCTCTTCGAATGTCTTGGGCGCTGGCATCCGGAGGAGCCGACGGAACTGGTTGTACCGCGGGACTCCGCGCTCTCGGTCGCGGAGGATGTCGACGGTGCCCAGGTCGCGAGTTGGGATGCCATCCGGTGTGGTCAGGTTGCGGAGGAAGTCTGGATAATTGTGGTTCGTGATGGCACCGGGATAGTTGATTCCGAATGAATAGAAAGCGTCGGCAAAGGATAGTGCCTTGGGCCCAACGAAGGGATCCTGTGCTTTGGAGAATGTCAAGTCCACCGTGGGGACCGTTGAATGATGCTCTCCGCTACTGGCGTTGAAGAAGGCGATGTCGTCTTAGAAGAGGTTACTATACAATTCGGGGCAACCAGAGTGATAGTGGAGAACTTACCAGGAACCAGAGAGTGCATTCGGTAGACTGAGACAAACTCTTCTGTGAGTGAATATGGTACCCCATCTTGTCCAGCGCCCGACCCCGGAATGCCACTGACAGCCTCACTCGTCTTCGATATCCGACCGACTAGCTTGTTCAAGGTTTCTCCTGCCAATCCCCACCAATTCGCGTTCATGGCGATCTTTAAGGCAGGGTGAGCCAGGATCGCTGGTGTCCACTCCACTGTGTGTATTTTCGCCATCAAGGCGCAGTTGATCAGTCGCGCCTTGTCGAAAATCTGGTCTCTAGGAATAAAGTCAGCCCAGCCGCATCCATCGGCGCTCGAGTCAGTGATGATCATGAGCAGTCCGCGCTTACCCGGTCCAAGACGGATATGCTTTCCGAAGCATATCACAGATGGCATTGTGTTCCAATGTAAAGAGGGTATGCATCATCTCTAACGCTACCCACCAGTTGTCGTGGAACCCAGTGAGTGGATTTCCATTCCCGTCGCGGGGAAGAAAGGCAACGGCTCCCTTCTGGTCCAGTTCCAGCTTCCCGTCTGGGCTGTTGTCACGGAGTTGCTTGGTCAAGATCTCACTTGATCCATAGATCTGAGAACCGTCCCACCAGCCCGTATTGACGTTCTTGTAGCCGGGGCATTCGGAGTCGGACGGGTCTAAAATTTTGTCTGGCTTTGTTCGTGGTAGTTTCATCTCTCCGCCTGGCCAGGAGTCACCATATGGGAGAGGAACCTCAAAAGACTCCTCGCTCTTTCCAAGGGTCAGTCCCGCAAGCCTATCAAGTAGTGTGAAACAGAGTGCTCACGGTCTCATGATTGAACCAATCATGGATCTGGAACTGGATCCAGGCAGCGGCCAAGAGGTTCAGGCTAGTTGCTGGTATGAATTTGTCCCTCTTCATGAACCGTTCGCTCACGATGCGGGGATTGGGAGTCCAGAGGTCCCGCTCAGTCGGCTTTCCAGTTTCCTTCCTTGAGAAGTTGCGCCCAAATCGAATACCGGAGCAGCCCATTAGAGGCATTTCCAGTGAGTTGTAAGTGCCATCAGAATTCCTCGCGTGCAGAAATCGATCATTCGGAAGCGGGAAATCATGGGCGTTGCCCTGCTCGGACGTAGAAGCGTAGCCATCGTAGAGGTTTTGCTCGCGTAGTTCGACACGGAAAAGGTATAGCTGCAGTGTACCAATGAGCCCTGGGAGCTTGTGCCATGCGACAAATTTGTTCACGACGCTGAATGTCCAGATCCCAACGCGGTCCAAAAAAGACGGTCGAGGTGTCGAACCTAGAGCTTGAGAGGCCATGCTGACCTGCAAACAGGGGCGCGGCGTTGAGCTCGCCTGCAAATAATTCCCTGGTGGTAAAAGGGGGGGGGGGAGAAGGCAACAACTAAATAAGAAAACACGCCATACAAGATCGGCGGGGTTGGTGCACATGTGTGTGTCACACGACACCTAAGCAATGCTGAGGCACTGCAACCTCCATTTTCTTATTGCGTGCTTACGAGTGGTCACACATGCACGGGATATTCGGCCGATTGGACCAGGTGAATCTGCTGCGGGATTATCTATCGCCAAGGAATGGTTATCTGCAGGCATGCTTTCAACCGGTGAGGGCGCCACACATACTGTCTGTGAAACAAATCCAGGGAATGTTGGGCGTGTGGCACAAGTTCCTGAGGCACCTACCAAATGTAGTTTATGATCCCTGACACGTACTTGACCAGTGTGCAAACGCAGATTTGTCCCCCAGCTTGGATCTCAGCTCCACGATCCCGGAGACTTTGCGCTGGTCACTTTTCACAACTGATTGCTCGACCGAGTTTTTACCTCCCGTTCAGGCATTACCTGAAATTCGCCACCAAATATGCGAAGCAGACAATGGCAAGTCCATCAATTCCCGACATTCTTGTTTCGCAGTCACGGTGCTCGCACGCGATGCAGGTCGGCCGAGAAGCTCTCGTCCTCTTCTCCAAACATGCGCGCCTTTAAGTCTTTGTTCTGGGTTGGAACCTGCGATCATACAATTAAAGTTTTCTACGAGGATCTAATGATGTACTTTGTGCTACCCTATATCATCTACTAGTAAGTATAACACAATATCTCTCCAACTGGATTAAGTAGATCATGGAGAGTGGCATTGCCAGCAAGAGCCCCTGTGTTAACATCAAAATCCAGTATCACATTCTTGCCTCCGTAATTAAAAGGGGCGATGGGTCCGCCAACTTGGTTCAGTCGAACTGCCAAGTTCTTAAACTGCCACCCCCACAGAATTCGGTCCAAATTACCATGATGCAAGTAGAAGAGTGGATCTTATAGGCAGATGCGAGATTAGTGAGATATACATGAGTTTGCTTAGATACTTCGGAAAACGATAATCGGGCTTTACCTCCTGGTGAGTTATAAGCATCTCCAATGGTCCCAAGAACGCCTCCCACACCAAAGTGGCCGCTCCCGTGGATATTCGGCTGGTCGAAACTCGGCACGTTCTCAATAGCAAAGGCAAAACTGGTGTAGTCTGACTGACTCAGGACGTGATCGACCAAGGCCTGCTAAGCGAAATAGTTCATGATCCACGGGGTGAAGTGGCGCTTGAGGCATCCCGTCGATGGAACGTTGATTTTGAACTCGGGGTAAGTGAAGGGACCAGTCGTGACAGAGCCGCCACCAGTATGACCAGTGATGTTCAGCGGATTCTGCTCAGCAGTTGCTTCAACATACGGCCCGTTCCCCCCGAATCCGTATGTGGGATCAAAGATGGCTGTCTTGTAGATGGCAGTGCTGTCATTGTTGGTCGACGATGCGTCGAGAGACCAGTCCCAGTATCTGTGAGATCCTGGCTAGCTCATCGTGAGAACATGACTCCTACCAGTTTCGATCACTTAATACGGCTGGCCTCCTTCATATCTACACTCATCTCTCAGAGCCTTCTCATATGTCGCGACGAAGTATCGATGCCACAAATTGAAATGCCCCTGCCCTTGATCAGCTCATGTCTTCGTAGAGTTTCAGGACTTAGTGGAGTGGAATCTAGTAAGTACACACCACCCAGTGAATTGCTGGTGTCTGGTTGCTGTGGATCGCTTGAAAGTCATCGAACCGATTTTTCGCAGGCTCGAATCCCGACTTCGCCGGTATGTCCTGGAGACACAGCACTGAATCGAAATACGATCTTTGCTGGATCTTGCTTAAAGCTCTCCTCAAGAAGATGCTGTCAGCACGACTCGGAGACTGGACTACTAGGGATATGGAGACTGCACGACTGTGCTCGGCTTACCACTCTTTGCGAACAGGAGGATCTCTGCAACAGGTCGAGGCATTATCATTAGCTGGTAAAGCTGCAACAAGCACCATAAATTGAGCGACTAGAGCAACGGGAAGCATATTGGAAATCCAAATAAACATCTGTCTCTCCAACAGTTCGGCTCTCCGGGACGAGAAGCTGCGAGGGGGCTCTGAAGATCGAAACGACTTTGTAAGTCTGCTTTTGACCCCGCTTCTGTCTGGGTCTAGATCTGAATTTTCTACCTATCAATAGTCTAATAATCTCCAGGATCTGTACCCATGCAGGCAATGGTGGGTTCCGAGACATTCATATGGCACAATAGTAAACTTAAACCTTTTGGGAACTTATAGCCGTTAGCTCTTACATATTTGAGCTTGATGCAGCTTGAAGCGATAACCAGACTGCGGGCTGGTCCCAATCAAAATATTACATGCTCCACTGTTGGGTGATTACGGAGATCGAGCAGATGCGTCACCCAGAGAAGTCTCGCTAGTGGTTCTACCTATGTACTCAGATCAAGAAGGAATCAGGGTGGTCATTAATGAACTGCATGGCCTCAACACGCCAGTCATCCTTAACCACCTCGGGCCCGCTCTCCTTGAAGTTGTACGTCTCCAGATCACCCTCAGAATACCTCGGCCAGTCGGCAAGATCCAAACCGTGGTTGTTCGGGTCCAGAGTGCGGACAAACGAGATGGCAGTAGCCTGATAGGCCTTGGTGTTCTCGCTCAGTGCGTACGGCAATCCCGCGAACATGTAGAACCAGACGTCGAAGGCGTGGAACGAGCCGAGCACGGGCAGGTGCGTCAGGACGCCCAGGTCGGGCAGCAGGCCGGCCGAGGGGATGCTGACGTCCGTCACATAGTTCCAGACGGCCTGCTCCGAGGTGTTGTAGTGCGCCAGCAGGTTGCGGCGCTGCGCCTGGAAGCTGAAGTCGCCCACCACTGCCGCGAGGCGCTTGAAGTTGGGGGTGACGGCGTTGAGGATGCCGGTGTCGAAGGGGGAGCCCTGGGTTATGTCCGAGGGGTAGAGGTCCATGAGGCCGGCCATCTCGGCGTCGGTGGCCTTGGGCCACCAGATGTCCTTGAAGTAATTGGCGAAGTCGTCGTCTGTGAGGGTCTCGAGTTGGGCGAGCAGGGAGAATAGGGTGCCCTCGTCGCGCATGTCGCCTGTGACCAGGGGCACTGAGGCCATCTTACCGGCGGCAGCCAGACGGTGAGGAGAGTCCTTGAGGTGCTTGCCGTCGGGGCGGATGGTCCATGTCGAGGCCAGGGAGCGAGGTCCAAGAACTAATTACGAAAAACACAGAGTCAGCAGAGTTTCTTTTATTTTGGGTAGAGGCAGAGCTTGACCTACGCATTCCCTCGTCGTTGACGGACGCCATGATGTCGTCGAAGTCGGCATCCTTCAAGCAGGCAATCTTGTCCGTGGCACTGTTGCATCCCGTTCTCTCGACCATGTGGTCAAAAAACGGCTGAGCACGCTCGGCATTCTCAACCATGACCGGTCCGCCAGACAAGGCCATCGCGCCGCGGAAGAGATCAGTTGCGCCCTCGCCCTCATCCCACAGTAAATGCGCCACAACGGACCAGCTGCCAGCGGATTCGCCCATAATAACAACCTGGTCCGGGTCTCCGCCGAAATCAGCAATGTGCTCCTGGACCCACTGCATGGCAACCCTCTGGTCCTCAAGTCCAAGGTTGAGCAGTCCGGCCTCCTCCATCTCCTTGGACGCAGAGAAACCGAAGGCGTTGAGGCGGTAGTTAGCCGACACGCCAACAATCGGTTGGTCAAGGTCGACCGAGGTCCGCACCAGACCACCGACGTTGTAATTCGGCACGGTGCCGCGGATGGCGTCCGTCTCGCTGGTGGCAGTGAACGGGCTGCCGACCTCATACCCACCGCCGTGGATCCAGATCACCACGGGCAGCTTGTCCCCCTTGGTGGCATCGACGGGCGCCTGCACGTTGATGAGCAGGCAGTCCTCGCTGCGGGTCTGTCCGATGGTGTTGAAGACGGTGTCGGCCAGGGATCCGACGACGGGGCCAATTGCCGTGCCGGCCTCGCCCAAGATCAGGCTGCTGGAGGAGTTCATGGACAGGATCGACGCAGTCGTCTTTTGCGGGCAGATGGGGCCATAGCTGCTGCCATCGAACTCGCCCAGCTGCTCAGTGTAGAGCTGCGAGTGCTCGAAGCGGCCGGCAGAGGCGAAGGGGATGCCTTGGAGATGTTAGTCATACCTCATCTCATGCACTAGTGGCTTGTTTGGACATACCCAGGAATTCCTTGATATTGCCGTTGATCCGTCCAGTGATGTTGGCATAGTCGATCTCTACCTTCGGGTTCAACTCATCACGGGGAGCGATAGGCTTTGCAGCAACCAAGGCAAGGTTTGACGCCGCGAGGAGGGCAGTAATGCCTGCCCAATTAGACGCCATATTAGGCCAGAAGAGTAAGAGATATTGTTAAAGAGTGGGGTTGGGAGTTGATGCCTCAACTCGCCAGTTGGATACAATGCAGAGACGGAAGCAAACTAATCAGGCTATACCCTGCCAAGAACGACGCGGCTATATATACCATGGCGAGAAGAACTCTCCTCGCCCAGGGGGCACGATCTATAATGTTAGTAATTGGCGTCATCTGTTCACCAATTCACCGACCAATTATATCGGATGTTCCGGAGCTCCTCAGATCAATCACGATCGTCACTGAACGTGCTGGAAAAGTTCCCAGAGGAAGAACTGTCTGCCGTGTGAAGACTCTATCCGGTATCGATCGACAGCCAAGATTCCTTGTCCGAGGGTCATATGCGTGGTAAGTCATCTGAATACCGGGTCGTATTTCGCGAGGGTGGGCACACAAAATTCAGGATTCCCACATCGATAGGGGACGGGCTTTGCCGGCTCCAGAATTACTCGGGAAAATGGAATTCTCCGTGTCTTGTGCCACGTGCCACGTGGAAGCCCAGAGTAGAGTTAGGTAATGATGCTGGAAGGCTTCCACAGGCAATACTGACAAAGTAATTATTTGCAGAGCTGAAACTCTCACAGACCATAGGTAGTGTCTAGCAAGCCTTATTTGTGGACAGCAGCGAGTTTGGATCTCGCGTTCGTGGAGATATGATGTGCACGCAGAGTACAAATACAACAATTATATGGCAGGAGTAAAGCCCCTAGACGTGCTGCCTCACATTCCGCTCCTCCTCCCAAGTAACATCCCTCTGGACAACAATAGTATCCATGGGCACATCATCCCCGAACTCCTCGCGCTTGGCACTGGTCGCTCCAGACACCGAGTACGTCATGCCGCTGCCGTGGTTCAGGTACTCGTCCGAGTCGTTGCTCGTGCTCAGGCGCTCGTGGTTCGCGGAGCGCTTGAAGTTGTGGTGAACCCTAGGCCGCGACCCGCCGCCGCCCGTGCCCGCGAAGGCGCCCTGATTCGACGCGATCTGGTTGGACTTCATGTCGTGGGTCGACCAGGGCGTGCCGTAGCGCATCTTGCGGTACACGGGCACGAGGGTGACTGCGCAGGCGCCGATGATGGCGACGTAGATCTCCACGACGGTGGCTGTCCACATGAGGGCGTATTGCTCTGTTGTAAAACGGTCAACCAACGTGGGCATACAATCATGGAACACTCTTGAGTTGCACTTACGGGTCATGTCCGTTACGCCGATTGAGGCCAGAGAGGCCAGAGAGCCGAAACGCACTAGACTGGCAACCACGACACTGTTCGAAGTCCTTCGTTAGTATATGGCGCCTGATTCATCCATGGTATCAGAGCGTCTACTTACATGCTGCCCAGGGCAAAAACACAGCAGATGCCCACCCTCTTTCTCGAGCTAACCTGCAGCTTCATGGTCTCGCGAATTGGCAGCACCAGCGTCAAGACGTCGATCAAGCTGTTTGCGATCGAGTTGCCAACGAAGTAGAGGATCAGATCAATGCAAGTCCCAGCTCCGGGGTCGGTAGTCTGTTCCCAGGTGTACGAGAGAGGAATGCACTGTACACAGTTGGTGATGAAAATGGCGATGAGCCAGCCAATGCATGCTGCTGATAAAACGTAGATGCCCTTCTTCATGAATTCCGTGGGAAAGACACGCCAGTAGAAGGTCAGAAGGGACAGCTTGATTAGAGGCGACGAGAAACCGTAGCAGAATTCAGCCGCGACGACGCACTATAACACTTGGTCAGCTTCCAACTAGTTCACTGTCTTCCCGGAAAGCAAAGCTCGCTGACCTTCAAAAATGTGACCAATTGCATTGGATCCTCGGCCATGACCACCACGATGCTCCGGCCCAGACCGCCATTGAGTGTGGCCTCGACGGTGACGGCGCAGAAGGCGTGGTTCACGGCCAAGCTGGCCAGCGCCAGCCAGTCATCGAGTCCCCATCCTACTCCCGTGAGCTTCCGCGCCCAGAATCGTCCGGCACAGGTGACGGTCGATATGACCGCCAGGACGATATTGATAGCGATAATCGCCGTGTCCGCATGGTCGCCGGATTCCGTCGTCGTTGCTGCTGTCGTCGTCGATGCCATTTTGTCTGCATGTCCAGGCTAACCACCCTGAGCCGTGGCCAGTCAACAAGAAGACAGAGTAATCAGGCTGGGTGTTGACTGGTGTCAGAAAGGTCCAGCGAAAGCAAAAAAGATTCCTTTCCGCTCCTTTGGTGGGGGAGAAGCAGGTTAATACCCATCATCTCCATATCCCCCTGACAGACAAAATTGTGTAGAATAGTCAGGATACGGCAGATCCCGTAGAGTTTGTGGTCTGAGCGGTTCCTGATCTGGCCGGCCGCGTGAGGTTCCTGAGTCCCAATGTTGCATTTGGAGGCGGCTCTGCAGGGAAAACGTCGCAAGAGATTCAGCGCATGAAACGGGTCCACCGCGTCATCAAGGCCGGAATGAGGGCCGGAATCAGGGTAGCTGCTTGCCGGCGAAGGCTCGATCGCGGTAGATGCCGCCGCAATGGGCATCGGCTTGGCTTGCGTGCGTGTATTTGCTAGTCATGTGATATCCACTCTACATACTAACAGACTCCATCCGAACCCCAAGGCTCCACAGAAGCTAAAGTTGGTCCTATCAAACGGTCCGAATAACAAGGCTTTCGTGCGAGTGCTGTTTGGCCGAGATTGTGCCCTGAAAAGAACGGCATCGGACGGAGCTTGCCTGATGGCGAAGCGGGAATTGTTGATCCTAAAGACTCAAACCTAGATGCCGGAAAACAGTCACGAATCCAGGAAAAAGAAAGCCCATCGACGCCAGCGAAAATGAGACGCAGGCATTTACGATGTTCCAAAGTCCCCGCTTAGATGCCTCCTGAGGTCGCAATGGGAAAGGTGAAATGTTTGTGACACGATCTGTAGCTGTAGGTAATAAGCTGCTGACTTTTCCGCCCGATCCTTTTGATGAGCTTTCTCAGGAGGTTTCCCCTTTTGTGGTTCTTGTGATGGGAATCATCACATCGACTTTCTTTCACTGATCGGAAATTTCCGATTTTTCGCGGTAGCCGCATTGCGAGCTTCGAATATGGCGGGCACCAAAGGCGAGAGCTTCCCGATCCTCTCATACCAGCCTCTGCGGCTCTTCTATCAGTTCTTTGGCGGTCTTTTCATCCTTTTCTTCCGGCTCCCCGTCTGGTGTGTGCAGGCTCTGATCCCGGCATGCCGCCCTCACCCGAAATGGGGCTTCAAGCAGGCGCTCATGGCGCGCCTGACACAGGGCATCGTGGTCCTGCCCATCCACGGCGGCGCCTTCGTTCTAGGCGACGGCCGCACGGGCTACAGCGGCTTCTTGGCTAAGACACTGATCGAAAATGCCGGCGTCAGCGCCGTCTTCGCGCCGCAATACCGCCTGTCTGGCTACGGCGGCGCCAGTGTTGCCGCCGCCAACCCGTTTCCCGCCGCGCTGCAAGACGTCGTCACCAGCTATCTGTACCTGGCCCAGACCCTCGGCATCCCGCCCCGGCGTATCGTGCTCTGCGGCGATAGCGCTGGTGGCAACTTGGTGATTGCCCTGCTGCGCTACCTCGACACCTCCGGAGAGGACCTCGGTATCGCCGCCCCGAGTAGCGCCGTGCTGATCGCCCCGTGGGTCGACCCGCTCGCCAGCTTGGGGCCGGACTCGGTGTACAAGCAGCACGAGCACTGGGGCACCGACTACCTGCCCGTGTCGTTCCTCCGTTGGGGTGCCAAGGTGTACTCGTCCGGTGTGACTGGCGAGAATCTGTTATATGTGACGCCTCTTGGCAACCCTTGGAAGACCCAGGTTCCTGTTTTCGTGAGCATGGGTGAGGCGGAGATCCTGGAGACCGACGGCACTGCGTGGTGCCGCCAGATGCAGAAGGCGGGTGGCAACATCGAAGTGTATTACGAGGAACATGCCGTCCACGATACTTTGTTGATGGGCGCCATCATTGGCTGGGAGGAGAGTGCGCAGGTCGTGGCGTCGAGGATCGGGGAGTTTGTGGCTAAGGTGCAGAAGGAGACGGATTCATAGGCGAGTGACTCGGAGTAAGTCTGGGAGGAAGTTGATCTTTCGCCCTTAAATGAAGTTTATGTGAGTGAACCTCGTGTGTGTACATAACGATTGGCGGTAAATAATGAACTTGGAAATCAAAAGCTCATACGTTCGTTGTCTTCACGTTGTCTGACGGCCTGTTTACAAGCAAAGACTGGCCACCAGAATACGATCGAACCAGTAAGACCTCGGGAATCAACCATTACGGGGATCGTGGTCAGGTTGGATGGCTTAAACTTGCAGACCACCGGAAATTAAGAGGTCGAATACGGGTATCACCGATTATAATTATGAAGAAAGACTTCCACCTCGGTCCAACACACGGCTTGCTCCCCTAGATGCTCGGGAAATCCCGGTGATGGTTTTTGGGGTTCAAGCTGTTCATATGGCGAAACCAGCATTCCCATAGAATAGCATGGGATATTTCTCGGCAGCGATCCAAAGAATTTGGGCGCCATAATGTTGTCGTAGGAGCTGCCCATTTGCGGATTCGCCACTGGACCCAACTCACCGGGGTCGCAGTCGGACTTTATGGCCTCTACCAGGCTTCCCGTTCCCTCCCACACTGCCGCGGGCAGAGCCCGCTGAATCATGCAGTTCCACCTGTTACACGACGCGGCCCGTCATCTGACAGAGTTCGCACCCGAGGTTGTAGTCGCCGGTAATGTCGAGGATGCGCTTGAGCTGCATGTACAGAGCATTGGTGTCGCCGGCGCAGAGAGGAAGTACTGAAGTCCAATTGCCAGAAAACAACGTCAGCATCTGCTCGATCTGAATCTCTGTATAGTATGGCCGCGATCCTGTGAGGAAGCGGCCGCTGACTGCGTCATCGAAAGTGGTAAGGCCTTTGAACGGAGAGAAGAGATTGCTCTCGTCACGCATGTCACGAGGGAAATATTCAGCCAGTATCAATCCGCACATCAATGAGATGGTTGCTCACCCTCAAAGTGGAAGGATGCCAACAATGTCACCCGCAGTGACACGCCTTTCAGGGGGTCAGTGAAGACCTTACCATTGGGTTGAATCGTCCACAAGTATATATAATTTTAACAGTGGGCTCTCTAGACATGTGTAGCATTGATAGTCACGCTTTGCAAGTATCTCCAGTGCTGCAATCCAAGGTATGACTTTACGAGCAGATGTTCACCGGACGCTTCTAAATCCCAGCAGCCCACGCCAATTCATCCCCAGGGCAGTCGGTCAGTCGCTAGTGGCGGCCCTCCTCTGTCGTCTGCAATGCCACCACAGGATCAGAGGTATGGGGAAGCCCAGAATCACTCCTATCAGCGCTAAAAGTGTGTTGCCCCAGCCATAGCCAAGACGTTCGTACATGATGGGGGGCAGGAAGAGGAAGCAAGAAACCAGCGATTGAACGGGTCACAGTGATGGCGCTGACAGCCGAGGCCGATACGCTCGTGAAACAGTCAACTGTATAGAGGTTGATGATCTGCAGGCCGTTCACGATGCCAAATGCGAAGATGAAGACGCCGACGTTGGGCAGGATCCAGTGGAGCTTGGCATCTGCCGTCCACTAGAACTCGTGGTTAGGAGAGCTGACTAGACGATGGCATGCGAGAATTGCTTTCGGAGATTCGCTTACTCCGTAGATCAACAGTCCGGGAGGGACAAGGACCGCACAGGCGCCTAGCATAGGGAGTCGGAACTCTGGCAGTCCTTTGTTATTGTTTCGTTTTTTCAGTGTGGTATAGACCTGTGCCAGGAGTTAATTCGTTGCCAACTCGACCTAGGTAGCATCCTGTTAGAGTTTGCCGGGGGGCCGGTGAGCACTTACCCATCTATTGGCAAAAGCACCTGACTGGGAGCCAAACGCAAATCCAAGCCCGAGAGATATGTAGTTGAGCCCGGAAATCAACCGAGATTCGCCATATTGAACTGTCCACAGTTCCGTCATGGAAGAGATGGCGATGTACATGAGGCCATACAAGAAGGCGCCGTAGAGCGAGACAAGCTGGATTGTGGGCTCAAAGCACAGGAGCCGCACAGCAGTTGTGAGCTTCCTTGAGATCTTGCTTGTAACCCTTTCGCCCTCTGCAGGGGCTCCCAGATGAGATGTGGCTTTATGTCTCAGCTTGTGGCTCTTCCGTATGACTGGTGCATATGTCTCCCTTAGGAGGACGAGCCCGATCAGCTGGATCAAAGCAGAGGCAGCGGATGTGACCCAGAATACCCACCGCCAACTTAGATTCTCGACGATCAGGCCACCTATGATAGGCCCAAGTGCCGGCCCACTGGTAATCCAATGTCAGTGAGGCTCAAGTTTTAAACTTATGGTGTCGACATACAGTAGCGCTGGGAGCGTGTACAGGCTCAGTGCCCTGGTACGCTCTTCTGCATTCCAGCAATCACTGAGCACACCTCCTCCGAGCTGTTGAATGCGTGGTAAGCAAACAGAATAATCTGTCCTGGTGGAAGAAGGTCCCATCTTACAGCAAGAGGGCCACTCCCGCCGACACCAGCCAGAAATCGGAATGCAACCATCTGGTCTCTTGATCTGGCGAGGCCACAGGCTATGTTGAAAATGAGGTACCAAATGTTGCTCAGCGTGAGTACAGGCTTCCTCCCGTAGATCTCTGAGGCAGGACCTAGGAGCAGCGGCCCTACTGCATATCCCAGGACGTACACGGTCAGTAGAAGAGTGCTAACAACTGGGTCATGGATCTCGAGTTCCTCCGAAATAGCATCGATTCCTGGAGCCATGGTAGACGACGCGAGCGAAGAAATGAACTTGTAGCCGGATAGCACCGCCGTAGCGAACCATCGTTCCCAAAGGGGCCAGTCCCTGGCAGTCTGGACCTTCGGAGGGCTCGCATCCTGTCTGTAACCACTGTGTTATTTCACTTGGACATTTCTTGACGTCTTGAGGCATCACCTACTCTTGCGAAGTTGCCATCCTCGGTGAACTTTTGATGGCGCTCATGGTTCCTCAGTCACCATGCGTTGGTCCCTGGCTCAGGACTGGACATGTCTGTCAGGTCCGGCACCAGGTCTCGTGCTTGACGCCGATTTTTTCCATCCGCGGACAATTCGGGCTGGTACACTGTTCCTTTGGTCCGCAGACCCACAAGAGAAACAGTCCGATTCATGACATCCATAGCTGAGTCGTAATGGCATGTTGAGGAATCCATCGTGTCCGCCGATCGAACACGAGAGTGGACAGCCCCTAGCTGGATGAGGACCCGAGGCCGGATCTAGATTCATGCAGCAGGACGGATGCGAGCACAGCAAGGGAGTAAGCAGGTACTGTGCTACAGACTCTGAGGATACAAATTCAGTGGGTGTCTAAGCTTGGAACCCTGTTGGCTGATGCTTTCGTCTTAGGAGCAGGTGGAGTAGCATTTCGTGTCTCAAAGCGGGTTTGCTGACCGAGATGTGGGGCCGAGTGGGCACAGTAAGCTTTTTCTTACCCAAATAAGCTTCGTCACGTTTGATTAAAGTTATCAGATTGAACAAGCTTGCTTTCATCCGCTGCGACCCTGTCCCCTGGGCGCCTGCCTCATCTGATAACGCGGATCTTATCTGATCCGGCCTGATGTTGTTAGGCGCGTGGGGAAGACTCTTACCAATGCATGATTAATACATTATCTGACCAACTATAGTGAGCACTTGTAGCACGACGTGTGATTGTCTGTCGCAGTGGGTAAAGCATTACCCACAGCACAAAACGTAAATGATACAACAACCCCAGTTGGCCAAGTGGTCTCTGCTAAGAGCGCACATGCCAGGAGAACTGTACAAAATAGGGCAAGTAAGAGATGTATGAGCGGCGGTGGGATAGAATAGCCGCCCTTTGGCCACACAATCGGGGTTCATGGTGTGACCCTGTTGGCACGCCGATTGATACTGGCCGCTGCGGAACGGGCGTGTGTGGGCCGGGCGACACAACACGGAGGTAAGCATGCCAGGATTGTCATCCCCTGAATCGTACCAGAAAGATGTCGACATGTACTAGGAAAGCAAATCGAGAAGGGGTTCTCCAGCATACCCCAAGTGATCGGAAGAGACTTGCACGGTGCAGGCATTGCAGGCCAGACAACCCTGCCACGGTCGATCTAATTTACGCCTCGACACTTGTTGCTCCGACATACCATGACAGAGTTCGTAGTGTGGAATATCACTAGGTGATCTTAGAATACACTGGTTCAAATGGCGCTTTTCGACAGCACATCATATTACGAGAAACTCTTTGAAAAGCCGAAGTCGGGGGACAGCCCAAACGCAGCACAATTACATTGTCTTGCCGTGTTGGTCGAGTACGTAGCTATGATAAAAGGCGCTCTTTATTCACACCAGATCTCCATGCACGACTTGCAAACTTTGTTAGAAGTTCATATACACTACGACTCTTCCCCCTTTGCTGTCTGTTCCTTCCCCCAAAACACCAAGCATCATGTCTGCCGGAGCCGTCACGTTGAATAGTGCCTCGGCACACTCTGTCCCAGCAATTAGCAATGAGACATGTGCTCAGTCGGCAATTTCTGAGATGCATGACAAGGTGCTGCACCAGTTCGCTCAGTTCGAGACCTCACGTCGGCTGATTGCGTGCCTTGTCAACGAGGGCATGATCGATGCTTCAGTTGACCAGTCTGGCTACCTCAACCTCCGTCAGCCAAAGGAATCGAAGGAATCCAAAGGGCCGACGGTGAGAGTTGGTCTGACTGGAGATGCAGCAAGAGAGTGGCTGGAGAGCACGTCCAAGCCGTACCTCCAGCCCAGTGAGCTGTCCGTGCCGATCATGATCAGGCGCGAGCAGGATGGTCAAGCTGAAGATGTGGCTGAGACCGACCCGACTGTACTCTTCAGCCTTATGTCGCCCTGGTTTACCACCGAGAATACTAGCCAAGAGGCAATTGACACAATTACCCGGCAGCTGAAGAGCTCTGCGGAAAATCAAGGTACGGCAGATTACATGTGGGACAGATCTCAAGTCATTCAATCGCTCACAATTCCCCTGCAGAGGAGTGGTTCCATCTGGCCAAGCATCAATACTTGCCAACCCTCGCCGATCCAGCCATCGTGTGGGAGCAGAGCATCCTGACGGGGCACCCGACTCACCCGATGCACAGGAGCTGCTTCGCGCAGGAGCCCTTGGAGACGGTCTCGCCCAAGGACGTCCAGTCGCTGCGCAACCCGGAGATCAAGTTCCTGGCCGTCCCATCCTCAGACCTGCGCGTCACGGGATCGTTCCAGACCCGCCTCCGACCTCTGCTGCAGAAGCTCGGTATCGCCAACACCTTCCCTGGCACGGTCGTGGTGCCCTGTCTGGGGCGTCAGATCCCTGCCATTAGGTCCCGCTTCCCGAACGTTGAGGTGCTGCCGTCTCCACCCGTCACCGCGCGCGCCCAGGCCGCTACCAGGACGGTCTCCTTGGCGCCAGAGCTTGAATCCCCATACCATCTCAAGCTCGCCTTGGCCTGCTTCATCACCTCGGCCCTCCGCACTGTCAGCCCCTGGACTGCCTGTGTGGGCCCCGAAGCAGGAGATGTCCTGTCAGACGTCCTGCCGGGGGATTTGTGGGTCGCCCGCGAGGTCGCCAGCGTCACCGGCAGCGGCGCCGACTTTGACGAGGCAAAGCACATCTCGTGTGTCCTGAGAGAGGATCTGGAGCCTCGGGCAAATGCTCTTGGCGAGACGCTCATCCCTGCCGCTGCCCTCGCCGAAACGGACCTGGCCACGGGAATAAGCAGTGCTGAGCGTGTGTTCGGCCTGGATTCCATCAACAAGCGTAAACAATGGCTGCGGAGCTACGTCTCGACTCTGTTGCGGCTCGTGATCCCACCAGCTCTGGAGTCGGGCGTGGCGCTGGAAGCGCATGGCCAGAACATGTTGGTCCGGGTCAACAGATCCACAAAGGAGGTAACTGGGTTTGTCGTCAGGTTCGTGCGAGTCATTCCATTGCCAGACCCATATCCGAGTAAAAATAACCATGACACTGACTGGACGGCGAATTGGCTGCCTAATAGGGATTTCGGCGGCATCAAGATCCACATGCCGACGCTTCGCGAGAGAGGCTACACCCTCTACAGCGCCTTGCCTGACAGCTTCGTGACCACTGAGGTTCGAGAAGAGGCTTGGGATATTCTCCACCATACGCTGTTCAACAACAATATCAACCACCTCATCCAGTCACTCGGCCTGCACCGCAACGGTGGGTGGGCCATTGTCCGCGAGGAGCTCGACAAGGTCATCAATGAGTCGACAGTGGGCCCCCGAAAAGAGCTCCTCGAGTATCTCTCCAAGGACCAGGTCCACTTGAAGTGCTTCCTGAAAATGAAGCTTGAAGGGCTTTACAGAGATGTGAGTTTGCTTCTCCCGCCGGTTGAGTTGGCAGTACTGGTAGCTAACCCTGTCAAATTCTAAAGTACCTGCATGTTTATGTCCCAAACCTGCTCCAAACGCAATAAATTTAGCCGCCTGAATGAATGGTTTCAGTTATTAGCACCAACATGTATTGCATAGCAACTCCTAAAATCCAGTAGATGAAGCGAGTTCAAATGAAAATTTGCCTGAATTCCAACTGCAAAGGTGACAATTCACGTTGCAGTCGGCAGGCATTCTGCAATGTCGAGACCAAAGCCGTAAATTTCCCGCCGCCTGCGTTGAAAATGGGCCTGGCATTGAATGCCGATCAGATATTACTCAGGCTGACAAGCCCTACCTCCCAATTCGTTGGTCATGCGAAGGAAATAGCGCTTGGTAGCGGTAACGAGTCGTGTATTGGAGGGGGGCCTGTCGATCTCCACGCTTGTCAAACAACCAGATGTGCCCCAATACCTAGGTGCGCAGTCGGAACCGGGTCATCTTGCTGATCCACATGTTTTCTTGTTTCCAAGTGGTTTCCGGATGGTTCAGAGGCGGCGAAGCTTGCTCAATTTCTCCGGTTATACGAAAACAAACCTTGCAATCTCACGCACGCCATAGGCACATTGTGACTTGCGGTGACGTGCGTTCCATGACTGAGGAGTTCCTCGGCGACCCAGACCTTCCGGATGAGGAAGGACAGTCCCACTGTTTCTGAAGGATCCGTGGCAGAGAATAAAGTTGCTCCACTTGGTCTGACAACAGGGTTCCAACTGCAATCCCTGGCCATGCACCTCAGCACGGCTTGCAAGGATCCCAAAAGCTTGTCGCATTCTCAAGAGTACTGCACACCCGGACGGACGACAGAGCCTTTTTAGACAACGTCTTATGCAACCCCCACACTCTCAACACACTCTAATAGATACAGGACGGTACTTCCTGATTACCACCCCACATGTGATTATCCCACTTGAAATTGTTTACTGGTCGAGTCAGACCCGTGTGTTTGCAATCTGTGCGAGGCGTACAGTTCGTACAACATGGAAACCTGCAAGGGCGTGGCTCAGAACGGCTGCCCGAAAATAAGGTTTATTCATTCCGAGTCTCGCAATGATTCGGTACTTTTATCAATCGATCAGATAACCTAAAGCTTACCTAACATAAAGACTCTCCGCCGTTATCATCCTCGGGGACAGAGGGGTATTTTGGTTTGTACACACGAGGCCCGGCAGGAGTCTTACCTGCACGAGAGATTCTTAGATCTCTGCAGAATAGTACTGCTCACACATCGCCAACATCGTTCCACATCAAAGTGACGACCCCATGGCCTTCCACTTGCTCCGATTTGCCGTGCTCGCCAGCCTGTTGAGCCCTGCCTGGGCAGGCGAGCCATACCCGGAGCGCGAACAAGTCTGCGTCGCGGCCTGCGAGCACACCCTCGACAAGCAAACTTTCGTTTCGATATCAGACCGCGACGCCGAAGCCGAAGCGCAGCCCTGCAACAGTCATCTCCACGCAGAGTCGCTGTACGTTTGCGCCCAGCAATACTGTGAGCAACGGGACCTCCAGCCTGGCTGGGATTTCCTCAACCACATCTGCAAGCATGAGGGATACCCTGCACTCCCGCCGCTCTCGAGCTTCTCCGGCGTCTCTGCAGCCGCGGCGAAGCCCATCAACGCGACCTCGAAGGGCAAGAAGCTCAACACCACCGTCCTCGCCGATGCCAAGTTCTGGGACCTGGTCCTCGAGAGCACTACGGCTCGGGCACAGGCCCGGTGGACCAACCGCAGCCACCAGGAAGCTATCTACATCTTCTGGGGCATCATCATGGGCCTCGCCACGGTCTTCAACCTCGGGTCCAGGTTCTCCGTCGACCCCCCTGCCTTTGCGACACGAATCCTCCGCCCGGTCCGAGCAAACCTCAGCATACCGCCCTTGTTCACGAGACAAACACAAGCGGTCCCCTCGAGACTCGAAGCCCTCATCATCGTCGCTTTCTTCGTGCTCAGCCTCATACTATGTGCAGTCACTATCGAGCCATTCCCTAAGAGCTGGATCTATGTCAGCTTCAAGAAGGACGCTGAAGCACAGATACTGTCGCTCATCGCCCGACGATGCAGTGATATGGCGATAGCAAATCTCGCTATCATATGGCTGTTCAGCATGAGGAACAACCCTCTCATCCTACTCACGGGATGGAGTTTCGCGACCTTCAACCAGTTCCACCGATGGATCGCCCGCATCACATTCCTCGAGATAGTGGTGCACGCGTGTGTGTTCACCAAGTACCAATTTGTCAAGGGCGGTTTGGCGAGATACAAATACATTTACCAGAACCTTCAGTGGTGGGTCATGGCTGTGGTGGCTCTTGTCTTCTTCTCTCTGACAGTGGGCCTCGCGGCCGCTCCGTTGCGTGCCAAGTTCTACGACAGCTTCCTGGTGATGCACGTCCTGCTGGCTGTGGTCTTCTTCTCGACATTATGGTTCCATGTCGAGGAGCAATACTTTCTGCAGTACCTCTGGCCTATCGTGGCCATCTGGCCCCTTGAGCGCCTGTTGAGGCTTGTCAGGCTCCTCATCACGGGTGCCAAGGGAATGGTGACAGTCTCAACTGACAGCTCGGCTGGCTTGTTGAGAATCGACGCCTCGAGCATTTTTGGCAAGCGACGACCTGCACCTGGCAGTACTTACTACATGTACGTTTTGATTATCCAAGCCACTATTTGCAAAGCAAACTCTAATCTGATCTTCTATTTAGCTACTCTCCAACCCGACTCCCGTTCTACCAATCTCACCCTTTTACATTGGTTGCCTTTCCCAGTCTCACGGCGGCAAACACAACACCGAGCGTCGAAGGGGAGAAGCGGACAGAAAATCTGACAGTGCAGCCAGTAGCTACTCAGTCTGAACAGCTGAATTACCGCTTCCTCATTGCTCCGCAGAAGGGGTTCACCAAGCGTCTCAATGACTCCGCGGCAAAGGATACAAGTAGCAACGAGGAAGAGCTGTCATGGCAACGTCTCCCAGTACTCTTGGAAGGTCCATACCAAGAGGCATCACACACGATCAACTTCCATTCCTGCAAAGACATGCTCCTAGTGGTTGGTGGAAGCGGGATTTCGGTGGGACTGTCGTCCATCTACAAGGCTCTGTCCATCCCTGAGGTATCGAGGGTTACGTTGGTCTGGTCGGTCAGGAAGCGGGGGATGATACAATCAGTGGCAAACGAGGAGTTACAGGTCGCACTGAGAGACTCGAGGTTTACTCTCAAGGGGTGAGTGGTTTTCCCATGCTAAAAAGATTGATTATCTCTGACCAAAACGACTTAGGCATGTCACAAAAGATCCCGTGGACGAAACCAAGGAGCCTCCCCGCGAGCAGCCATACGCTTTAACCCATGCAAGACCTGATGTGGCCGCCGTCATCCAAGACCATGCGGCCAATGGCAGTGGAAGACTTGGAATCATTGCTTGTGGTCCCCAAGGCATGCTTATTGAGGCAAGAAAGGCTGCTGCAATAGTTCTGGGGACCAAGACGCGGGACGTGGACGTTTCGGTTGCAAGCTTTGGTTGGTGAAAGTGACCGGGTCTGCTTTGCACAATAGAACCAGAATCATCCAGTATTATAGCTATACCTACTACACGGCCAGGGTCGAACATCTACAACAATCCGGTGTTCCCAAACTTGACGTGGCAAACAATCTTCCAAAACGATTGAGCCTCAGAGTATGAGACCCTTCAGCCGATAATAATATGGATTTTGCCAGATCAGCAACTTGTGTATTATTTTCATGATAACAACGATTGTGGCCAGGGAAATATTACCAGGGTCAGCGGACAGTTCTCGGAAAAGCATATACCGCGCAGCCAGTTGCAGATGCGAAGCTCCAGTACGCCACCGCCTTGAGGGTTTTCAACACTGACCCGGAGCGAGACGTGGCAGTCGATGTCGTTGGCATCGTGTGTCTGCGCGCCAGGGTCGCTCTGTCTCATTGAGGTGAAGGCGAAATCATGCGCTCCGTTGCCGCCCTGTCCTGACCATAAGAAGATGGCTCTGTACGGCGAGCGCTCGCCGTCCAAGACACGTATGCAACCTAGCCTCAGTTTCTGTTTTTTTCTGGACAGCCGTCGCCAGCTCGGCAGCCATATGATGGAGGTACATATCCGTGAATGAACTGTAATCTTGCCCGGCAGCATCGGCATCGGTTTTTAAGTACTCGTCGATCCGGTCGGCTAGCGGTTCGTGACCTAAGCCTTTCAGATGGAATACTAGCCGTAGCAGGCACTTCCGCTGATCCAATGCCAGTCGGCCGCTCGGAGCACGCAATCGATACGTCCCAAGTTCTCCGACGACAGCTTTGTCAACTCGCGGAGCGCTAAGCACAGCCTCGTGACCGCCGTGGAGAAGGCGACGGATGAGATGCACAGCTCTCCCGGTGTTCTCCCGAACACGCGGCACCGCTTCTTCTGCGGCTCCAGGGCCTCACGGTGGCCGATCAATAGCTGCATCCGCGTTCCACCGCGATGGTTCTCCTGGAACGTCCATGCGCGAGACCACCAGTTTGTCCTTAGTAATGTCGCTGGCGAGCAACAGGGCCTTCTCCGCAAGTTGAAGTTCAGTCCCTGCCGACAATAAAAATTTGTTGTCGCTGTCGACGAAGTTACCCGAGAGAATCCATTCCAGGAGTTCCAATTCGCCTTCTGACTCGAGCCGCCGGCCTAGTAGCGCCACTGGATGCGCGCTGAGCTGGTAGACAAGGTCCATGGCTTGTATGGCGTCGAGTTTCTCAAGGCAACGGGGATGGCGGTCGCAATCGTCGACGCGGCACGTGACTTGACGGATACGATGGGCATCTATCCAAAGGAAACCAATTTTGGCGTGGCCCATGTAGTGGAGGGCGCGTCTGAGAACACATTCTCGCATATTCGAGAATTTAAAGTCTGCATTGTCCCAGTTTTCGACTGTGTACCGGCCCATTCTCCGGGTCTTCGTGCTCTGATGGAGTCCACGTGTAGGACAGGGCGACATACCGCCGTTCTTCAAAGGCGTTAATCGACCGGCGGTGCAGCTTCAAGCCTCTTGGCCGGAGACATTGAAGTTTGTCGATGAAGGAGCGAAACTTAGCATGCTCTTGCTGATTGCCCCCGCTGCCTATTTCGACAAGCTGCGAGACAATGGACCTCCGATGGTGCTGGCGCAGCCGGGAAATCGACCAGCTCTTGTCGTCGTCGCTCATTGTTGCTCAGCGTGGCAGCTGCCGTAGCATGAAGGTGAGAAGAGTAGCACCATCGTGGATGTAGGGGCGGGGAATTGATGCTATCTATCGCTTAACTTTGTGACGCACCCGCTTACTCATGGGATACTCGTGTAACATGCAGCAGGGCCTTTTGTTTTTGTATCTTGTGTTGGCCCCACGTTATGTCATACGGTATGGTATCACCCGCATATATTGGCGAGGTTCCGATTAGACAAAAAGTTGAAGAGTTACATCAGCGATAATCTCCTTTTGGCCATGGATGGATGCGCGGGATGCTGCGCTGTCACGTCATTTGATACACGGTCAGCACTGTCCATGTCGTGAGCTGCCGCGTTGCTAAGCTTCCCAACCAGCACAGATATGCCGTAGTCATTACCATAGCACTAAATAATCAGATCTGAGCAATTGAAAGTTGCTTTTTTAAGGTTAGGTGGCGACGGAGGCTTCACCGGTTAGCAGTTGGGTGGTTTGATGGGTGTCGTTGGGAGGCGGGCTCCAATTGGCTACAGATAGAAGGTGTGCACAAACTCTACATGGCATTCATTTTTTTCTATGCAAATTTCAGTTTTCTTTTTAATTGAAAAATCCAGGCACGAGAAAGAAAATTGGAGAAAAAACCAACTCAGAAAAAGCTCTGGTCTTGTACGACTTTCTCCCCCCTCCCCTCACACACAGTAAGCCAACACTACAGGCAGCATTCAAGCAGACAGCTTTACATTTTTTTAAAAAAAAAATTCATAGAAACAAAACGGTAGAAACGAAACGACATATAGAAACGAAACGACATCCAAGCTCAAGGCAAAGTAGCGGCTTCCTCACGAGTGACGGGACGCTCCACCTCATCCTCGACCAACTCATAGTTGTCTGGGTTGGCGAAAAATGCATTGCGAGCATCTTCGTCTGGGTTCTCGAGAGCCGCTGCCTCCGCAACCGGGTCCATCTTGGCGTGGTAGAGCTTCTCCCCGATCTCCATCCTTCTGGCCGAGGTGAAGAGCTCTCCTCTCTTCGACATGTATTGGTTGAAGGTCGACGGCACAAGATCCGCCTCCCTCCTACGGAACGGCGTGACCCATTTGCCCCCGTTGGGAGCTACCGCCTTCCCCACCCACTGGTTGGCGTCGGCGTCGCACGTGTTGGGACCGTCGTCGAAACAGTATTGTATCTTGCCTGCGCCCGAGAAAGCAATGTTATATAGGAAAGGCGGCTGATTTTTGATAAATTCTGTCTTCGATCTGATGAAGGCTGATATGGTACCTCCCTGTCCTATTTTGAAGATCAGAAATGCTACAAGATCCGGGCTCTGTATTTTTACTTACTGTTGTTCTCGATAGAAGGAACACAACGGTTGTTTTGTCCACCTTGGTCCGCCTCCCTGAGGTTTGCGAATGGAAACTCATCGCAAGACAGATTTTGACCCTTCCAGGGAGGTGTCGTTGCGCAGCGGTTGTTGGGGCCACATCCAGCGGCCCTACGGCGTGCGTCTATGGGCCCATTGGGGTCGTAGGTGAAAGTTTTGCCGTATTTACCGCCTCTACAGTGGACTCCGAAACACATATTCTCGCAGACCTCTATTTGAGTGTAAGTACGTGAATTGTGTGTGGCCTTTACAGATATACATACGAGGCATTGCCCCACAGTTGAAGGTAATGGTGCCGACGTTGGCAAGCTTCACCCTTTGGCAAAGGGCAGGCGTGCTGAGGATGAAGGGAACGAGAAGGGCGGCAATGAACTTCATCTTGAGAAGTGAATGAGTGTGATATTCAGAGAAGGGTTAGGAATGGTAGTGTGTAAGAACGAAGGTTGATCCAGTGCTTCAAAATGAGTGTGGTTTGTGTATATGATATATGATGGGCAGGACGTCTTTCTTTATACATTGAAATCGCTGAGACACATTTTCCAGTTACCTTGTATCCAACTTTGCACTAGTAAGCCCCAAACGGTGTAAATAGAACAAGTGATATTAAAGTCAAAAGTCAAATCAGAAGTTCTAAGTTTCAGCTCGCAAAAACAACCCTTTCTGAGGGAGACTACAATAGTCGCCTTCAAGGTACAGAACAAAATGGGTTGCTTCCAGATTGGCGCTAGAATCGTGGTGCTTATTATAAGGTTCACAAGCACCGCCCCGTCTCGTGTAGCTTTAATCAAGTCGAACCAGCCACAATTTCAAAGCCTTGATCCCTTTTCCCAGTAGTAAAAATCTTAAACTCAGTAATTAAACAAATGCACTGTAGTCTTGTTCCACTGGGAAGAGGTAAAGATCGTTCTGCTGCTCAAATAAGGTTGAGGTCTAGTGCTTACCTTTCCCTGTGATGGTCTAGGTCTCAACTATGTACTACTTCGAAGGCCCAATCTAGCAAGTTGGAATTATGATCTCTTAGCCGAGCGGTCCGTCTTGGTAATTAGTCAATTGGATCCGTCTTAATTCAAAATTAAAAGGCCATGGCTTCGAGCCCCTATAATTGGAAAAGCTCTCGCTTTCGGATAGTTGCATTGATTGCCATGCCACGAAGGGCGGTTCGCATGAAGCGACTTGACCAAATTGGATCCTTCCCATTTGAAAGTTTTTCAGGCCATTCATAAGACGCCTAGACAATTCAGTGATAAGTGGTGTCACAACAACTTAAAATGATGTTGTCGGAGACTAGGACCACATCTTGAATTCACCATGTCTACAGCTCTGGAAGGCCTTAGTAGGGGGGTGTGGTGGTCTGCGTCTTGTGTACTGCTCGGAGGGCCAAATCTGGCAATTAGGAATTCTGGTCCTTTGGCTGAGTGGTCTTTTTTGGTGAGCAGTCAATCGGATCCGTCTCATTTCTCTACTAGAACCCAGCTATGATCAAATAGTTAATAGGACAATTCTTAAACGTTGTTAATACAATCTTGGCGTTTTGATTGGGAGTAGCTAGTATAAAGTGAATTCTTTTTGTATCCACAGTTTTGAGGCTGTGCCTTTCTAACGACTTTTAGTACAACAATGAATACAGGACTTTCCTTGAAACAAGATCAATTTAATCTTAACTATCTTCAACCACTTTAATTATGTCAAAATCAGACAGTATCATACAAATCTTACAAGTTTAAATAGTCGAGGAAGTTCTGACCGTTACTTTCAAAAACTCATCAGTCTAGACAAGTTCCCATACAGATCCCCAGTACACTCACTTATCATCTTCAATACTCACAACCAACCAGCAAGCTCTCACTCATGGTCGCCTTCGCTAAGACTGCCTTCGCGGCAATTACCCTTTTCACGTCCCTCGTTTCGGCAGACTGTGGCTTCAACATTATCAACATCAATGGAGCGGTCATGGGCACCGGCTGCGCTCGGGCTAATGGCCAAGGGACCCTTGTACTCCCTGATTATGGGCCAGCCACCTTCATCGTTGCCGCTACTAGCACTTGTGGTCTGACCATCGTCAGTCGTCAATCCCGTTTTCCGGCTTCACAGTTCGATGGTTGGACTGTCGGATCCGCAGGTCCCTGCACCTTGAGTGGCGGAGGCGGAGGCGGCGGAAAAGGTGGTGGTGGTGGCGGCGGTGGTGGCGGTGGCGGAGGCGGTGGCGGCGGTGGTGGTGGTGGTGGTGGTGGTGGTGGTGGTGGTGGTGGCGGCACCGGGTTCGGCAAAAAAGGAAAAACCAATCCGCGGAAGTGTGTGCGCGAGAGGTGCAGCGGTCCCCAGGGTGTAAGTAAACTTTGTTTTTGGACAGCCATCCCCGATCATGAACTAACTCGTTCTCAGTGTTGCACGCAGCCTGTCAATGGCGAGTGCGCTTACAGAAAGGAGTGCAACAACTACCCCTGCGACACCTGCTGCGGCATTCCAGTCAAAAACTGGAACAATTGCTCGATCCGGCCAATAGGTTAGCACAAACTCAGCTATTGCCCACTGCGTCCAGCTCCTGCTCTTCTGTTTCTTGTAGCTGTTGTTCTTTCGGGCCAAGGAAGGGGTGTGTCAGCATCTTTCAGTCAGATTTGGGGGTTCGCGTCAAACCATTCAACATGGGCCTGGGCACCTAGTTAGCTTTGAGTTAGGGTTAGATATGGCTTCAAAAGAGCACGCATACGGATAAGAACGAAACCACTTAGCTTTGAGTTAGCATCAAGAGTTCTTTATTCGGATAGCCAAACTGTGTGCATTCCCGGTAACGCAACATTTGTGATGACGAGTAGTATGAACTATACACTATACTGAGATGAAAATTATGTGATGCATCATCCGCCATTTTGCTTTGATACTAGTTGTGCTATCACCAAGCACTCTGCAAAGGTTTTGTTGCAAAAGTACTTCACATATGTTGGAAATAATGCTCGCTGTGTTTGCGGCTTCTACATAATTTCCTCAAGCCCGGAGCTCGAAGTGCCAAGGGGAAACATTTCCAGCTGCAACCCGCAAGAGTGCGCTGCGCATTGAGCATCCAAGGCCAAGGGGATATAGTAGGAAGTATAATTACTAGAAAATCCACTAACGTTACTAGCTTGGTAAATTGCTGGAGGAGTGGCGGTTGCGCATAGTACTTTGGTCCGAAGGGGCCGCGCATGAATCGAATGAGCTAGCGCCTTTGTCGAAAAATAGACACCAAGCGTTCTTTTCTATCTGAACAGACATTGTACTACGGTGACTTCGTTTCCTCTTTATTCGCGCGCGTGTCTGCGCGGGCGCGTCTGTGCTTAGAACCGCGACTAGCCTACGCGCCGTTTTAGTGCAAAGCATGTCACGTTGATTGTTTCACATGATGCCAAACATGTTTTTGTTGGCGAAATTGACGTCAGAGTGGACATGACCAAGCCCAAGAAGGATACTCTATATATAATAGAGGCCATCTCGTTCAGGAAACAATCGCAACCTAAACCCTTCAATTACCTACACAAACCATGCGAATCCTCACGGGAACCCCGACAGAGCTACCAGCCTATCCGAACTATGCTATTCCAGAAGCAATACGGGCTAAAGCTTGCCAAATTTTCGAATCCGGCACCCGTGGTTGCGGGACTCTGATCATCAAGGCAGAAGAACGCTTTCACGGACGATCCGCCGAGGAGATTCGCGAAATCCTGGACCGCGAAGACCCCAAGACTGGCGATTTTGTCCTGATTGACCATAGCATCGAAGAAAAGGACGAGGTTACTTATGTGGGAGGATGGCATAAGTCCGGCGATGGACTCGAGGTGGTCCAGGTGAACGACGAGCGAATCCTTTTGACGTTGCGAATGAAGCTTCGTGCTCTTCCTTCCTGCTGGGTAGGTTTTCTGACTGAAAGTTGGCCGCACAAGTTTTAACTGTTTCTTGATAGACAAATTACAGCGTGGCAAATTCTTCACTTGCTGAGGACATCTCGATGGTTTTCGAAGGAAGCCCATATGATCCTCATGCAGATTATCCAGCCCTCAACTTCAACGATGATGATGAAGTTGATGGTCCCGGAGACACTGTTCACGTGTTGGCCGAGCCAGGAGAATGGGAGGAAGGCCCAGGCACCCTGTTGGACGTCGATCCGCCACAGGACCGCGTGTACCGTCTCAAAAGCGATGTTGCGAAGGCAAATAACCTTTCAAACCCTTGGGCCGTAGGAGACGCTACGGCTGGTGCTCCAACTGGTTCCATGTGTTTTACTCAAGAACGGCTTCCTCGGCAACCTGAGTGATGTTGCATGAACTCTTTGATTGACCTGGTGCAGGATGAGGGGCCTGGACTATAATGTGACTTAGAGCACACCGATGCCGGGTGTGGGGGATGGGGGGAAGGGTCTTCTTTTGGAAGGACTATAGAATGCCATACGCAGTTTGCTGCTTTAGATACTCTCTTTCAGGGTTTCATCCACTCTTTCTCTTCCAAATACTCTCTGGATTTCTATTCTAAGAAACCTCGTGCCTTTTGTTCTACTCGGTTCTTTCTATTCCTTCGCTCCTCTCTCTCGTTAGAGCCCTGATCTTAATGGTCTAGCAGAGCGTGCCATCCACCTTACCTGGTGGCTCGTTCTCAACAGATCACTCGTAACTGTTTTTCTTTGATGTATACAACATATCAACATTCCGCCAAGCCTTTTAGGCAGATCTCAGAAGTAGAGTTTCAAACTCCTTAAACAACAAGTTTGAAAAATTAGCCTCTTCATGTAACAGCCAAGCTTAATTGCTCATCCACTAGTTTTCATTTGCTTACCTTTCCATTAAGCCACTCTTCTGCTATTTCCCGTGAATGGGTCCCTCGCCTGAAAGTTGAAATTCTAGAATGGCGATCAGGGCTGTGTTAATGAATTGCTTCGAGAAACTGGCCTAATTAATGCTAGGCTACCTGTGCTGTAATTGTTCCTAGTGGAATGAGGGTTTCAGAATAAAAATAGGGAAGGCTACTAACAAAGTTTCGTCAAACTTAGTCCTCGAACTTTAAGTATAGAACGTTGATCTTGGCACCGTCTAGTATTTATTTTTAAATAAAGGGGCTGTAGCTAGTTATCAAAGTTAATACTACTATTCTTCGCATATATTAGGTTTACATCTCACAGGCACATTTCATACGATATCACCAATCTCAACACTCTCAATCCTGTCTTCAATACTTCACGATGATTTCTATTACTTGTCTCTTGTCACTCCCGCTACTCTCTCTGGCTCGAGAGCACAACGCCAATGCCAGCCGCGTTGCCAATCCTGTGCATGGGAATTCTGACATGCCAATTGGCGCGCTGACGAGCCCCTGGACACACACACCAGAATGCGCCAAAGCTAGGGACTCCGAGGTTTGTGTATTCACAAACAGCGACTTCAGCAATGGCCGAGGACTGTCCATCCTGGCGGATCCAAAAGACGCTGCAGATATTGATTGGATCGAGCTGTTCACAAAATCCAGCAATGCGCATGGCCTCAACCGAGCAGAGGGATTCCAAGAAACCATGATACCTGGAAAGGGGATGGGCTTGGTGGCTGACCGTGTCATAGCGAAGGGCGAACGTCTCATGTCCTGGACCCCTCTACTTGTGGAGCACGACGCCACTTACGCTCTTGATCCAAAGGTCCTAGGAGAGCTGCGAGATGTTGCTCTTGAGCGCATGAGTAAAGAGCAGCAGACGATGTTTCTTGCACAGCATAGACAATGGGGTGGACACCATGCAAGTGACATCATGGTGACCAATTCATTCATGTTCGAATCATTTGGAGGACTGCCCGGAGGAACCACCGCAAACTTTCCAGAAGTCTCCGTAAGTACATCCTTCATCACTCATCCCACATCCCCAACACTAAAGATAGAGAAGCGCTTCAACCACGCTTGCCGTCCCAAGTAAGTCTACCATCCACCGCCGAATTGCTTAGACCACTAACCACTATTGTAGTGTCGGTTATTCGTTTGACAGCGAGACGCTCAGTCAGTCTCTGTATGCCACTCGTACCATCCACCCAGGCGAGGAGCTCACCATCACATGTAAGTCGATGTAGCGTCATCCGTTCATGATCTCGCGGCAGGACTTGCTAAATACTGATGTCCCGGGACAGACATCAATACCTTACGACCGCGGCATGAACGGATCCATGCGCTGCAGAACGGGTGGGGCTTCAAGTGCACCTGCTCTCACTGTACTCTTCCCTTGACAGAGATTGATCAGTCGGACCAGCGTATCAGACGCATCGAAGAAATCTCGTACTCTTGCGACGACGAATGGGCCGCGAATAATACGCACTGTGGTTTGGACCTGGCCATAGAGCTTGCGCTTCTCCACCAGGAAGAGAAAATCACTGGATCTGCAATGGCTTCAGCCTTCTATCAAGTAAAGATGGCTGCTGAGGTAAACGGACTCGACGATTTGGCCACCAAGTATACTCAACTCACCATAGCTGAGCAATTGGGTGATGGTTACGGTCAGGCAAGGAAACTGGAAGAAGAGCAGGAAAAAATTAAAAAGGCTGAGGATGAAGCTGAGGACGAAGGCCGGCTCCGGGAGGAATTGAGTCTTGGTCTGGAGGAAGCTGCCATCAACCACTGCAAGTAGGCGAGGCCACCATCAGCTTGCCAATGTAGCTCTACTCATTTACAATAGCACCCAAGAACCCCTCCTCTTAACAGGCTCCTGTGGAATATTCCGCCCCCTTCTCTGAGATCCTCTTCGGCGTGATATCTTTAATTACTCTCCATCTCCTTAAGAAGTTCCCTGGACCGCTTGCTGCCAAGTTTACCAATGGCTATGGCGGCTTCTATGCACTAAAGCGATGGGCTTAGCTTTAGGCACACCGAAACCATTTGAAATATGATATGGAGTCTAAGGAAGTTGCTTGTAGGACTAAATACTGACTTTAGAGCAACTTAAAGGCCCTGTTCTGAGACAGGCTACCAACCGCTTGAGCTTCAACACGGTGAATGCTCTCTAAGGTACTCGGGGCTCAATGCTCCATTTTGCTGCATCGGTGAGACTTCTGAGGTAATGCTTTCTGAAGATATCTTTCTGAACTTGGGCGTCATAAACGGGGATGCTTATATAGGTGCACGCTTTACCGGTTAGCCAAACATCTTTGACATATTGGATAAATGCCAACATAGTTGCGAGCGAAGGGCTATCGACCAAGTATTATCGGAATTTTTCGCTAGATCTAGATGCGGTTCTAGGTACCCTGTAATCAAAGGCTCAGCTTCCTTAGCGACTCCTGTATCCTCGATATTCTCCAGTGCCCGGATTTCGGCAAGGCCCTTACCCTTACTCTGAACACCCATGCAGCAACGAGTTCTAGTGATTTACAAGTTCTAGTGATTTACAAGTTCTAGTGATTTACAAGGTAGCATGATCCAGATCGTCGCCATCATCGCCATGGGCGCGTCGCCATGAGCGCCATCGCCGCCATTGTCAGTATTGTTAATACCGCCAGCATTGTTGTTGTCGCTATTGTGGCCATCACCGCCAGCTAGCATTAAATAGTAGTTAATTCATGAATATAAAATAGGAAACTCTCCGTAGAAATCAAATTTCGACTTGATACAACTCATTCCAAGATATCTCAACTCGCTGATCTGTTTCAACAAGGCCATACAACACAAGTTATCTTTCAATATGAATTCACCGGTTAACATCTTCGTATGTATTGGTTTCTTTATTTTATTGTTTTGCTTCATTGTAAACTTTTGATCATTGCTAATAACACTGAGCAGGCAAACAGCAACCAAGCTGCCCTTTCCAACGGGAATATCAGCTGGATCCAAGAATCCCGTAATGACACAGTCCATGATACTACTACAAGTCAAAGTCCCACATGCACCGCCTGCGTACCGACTACGATCGACAAAATTACTCAACCTCATCTCCATATTGCCATCATAGGCGGAGGCCCACGTGGTAGTAGCGTTGCCGAGCGCATCTGCGCCGTCGCACCAGCAGATCGTGTGCTCGAGATACATATTATTGATTCAGTACTGCCAGGTTGCGGTTCTGTATGGAATGACTCGGAGACCAACAACAGGCTGGTCATGAATACGGTGATGAGCCAGGTCACAGTATTCACTGACTCGACTGTGGCTTGTTCGGGACCAATACGTCAAGGACCGACAATGTACCAGTGGGCAATCCAACACGACAGCCATAACGACCCTCAGCCAGGGCCTAATGACTATGCAAGTCGAGCCCAGTACGGTCGCTATCTCAAATGGGCCTTGGGGTATGTAAAAGAGCTGGCCCCAGCAAATGTGCGCATCCAAGAGGACCTTGCCCATGCTATTCGCCTCGACGATGCTGACTGTGGTCGTCATCAGATCATAGCCTTATCCGATGGTCAAGTACTGCGTGGCATCACTGCTGTAGTGCTCGCCCTGGGACATCTACCCCAGCAGCTGACCAGCGATGAGGAGCAACAGCGAACTTACGCAAGCACACATTCGCTGCGTTACATACCGCCAGCAAATCCCGCCAATGTTGAGCTTGATATGATTCAAGCCCAAGAGAAGGTATTCCTCCGTGGTCTCGGTCTTTGTTTCTTCGACTACCTAAGCCTTTTTACTGAAGGCCGAGGGGGAAGATTCACCACTGAACCTAATGGTTCTTTGGAATATCACGCCTCTGGCAAAGAACCCCTGCTCTTCGCAGGTTCATCCCGTGGTATCCCGCATCGAGCTCGTCCCGAGAACGCGAAAGGCGTATACAGATACCATCGTCCTCTTCTTCTCACGGGTGACAACTTGTCGCGTTTCCGCAGTCAAGCAAAACAAGGGAAGCCGCCCAGCTTCTCACGGGACATCCAGCCGCTTGTCATGAGGGAAATGGAGTGTGTCTACTATATGACCCTGCTTCAGCAGCGAGACCAAGATTTTATTGGCTTTCAACATCTGGCAACAGCCAATCCATATAGCCCGCTCACTTTGCCCCAGCTGCAGCAGTTTGGCATCAGCCAGGATGACAAGGAGTCGTGGGAATCCTCCTTGAACCCGCATCTCCCAGCGAAGATGACATATACTGAGCACAGGGATTGGATCATGTCCTATCTAGCAGAGGACTCCAGACAAGCCGCATTGGGCAATATTAACGGTCCCCATGGAGCTGCACGAGATGCACTGCGAGACATACGCAACTCTATCCGGCTCGCCATCGATCACGACGGGATTTCGGGCCATTCGAGAGAGGCCGATGTGGACACCTGTTTCACACCCGAATCCAACTTCTTAAGCGTCGGCCCTCCTCGCTATCGCATCGATCAGACGGCAGCGCTTATCCGAGCAGGTGTTTTGAGCATTATGGGCCCAGGAATCAGAGTCGAGCGTGGTGATCACATGTGGGTTGCACGCAGCCCTGCTATTCCGGACTATCAGCTGCATGTGATGACTCTAATAGAGGCGCGCCTGCCAAAGCCTTGCGTGTCAAGAACTTCTGACCCTTTGTTATCTTATCTCTTGGAGACGGGCCAATGCAGACCGCATAAGATCGACGGCTATGAGAGCGGAGCTTTGGATATAACTGCGGCCCCATATAACCTCAAGAACGGCCAAGGTCGTCCCCACCCTGCACGACTGGTTCTTGGAGTGCCGACTGAAGGCATTCACTGGACTACTACAGCAGGCGCCAGGCCGGGCATAAACTCCCTTATGCTTCGGGAAAGTGATGAGGTAGCGCAGGCCGTACTACGGTTGATACAGGAGGCTTAGGGTTTATTCTGTTTGGGCACGGGACGATGGGCAAGGAAGAGCAGCAGGTAGCTCGCTACGCATGAGCTGCTGGATAAGGGTAGCACTATCAGATTGTAGGGAATACTGAGCTGAGCATATAAATCAACATCGAGAGCATTCTAACAGTAGTGTATATGGAGCTGTAAAACACGGTGAACGTCCCCTCTCCCATCCCCCCCCCCCCCCCAAAAAAAAAGGTGACCTGACTAGAGCCACCACATCCCTGAGGTCCTCGCCTGCAGTGGATCTCGGCTGGCATTACCGTAATTGGAGCCCGCCAGTCACCGTTCGTAGTGAATAATATGGCGCCCAGGAGTGGCCTATTTGAGGCCCGCATGCCCTACTTCCGACCTTAGCCGCTAAAACCATGGCAATACTCTCAACTTCCGTTTGAAAGCGCAAAATACAAGAAGAAGAAAAAAACGTTTTAGCTCAAGACTCAGCACAAATTTGACCTCATTGCAAAGCGAGTGCATACAAGCACGTGGTGTAAGCAAGAAGCATATCAAGTTCCTCGCGCATTACGCCCACGGACGCCCCATCTCCTTGACAGGACAGCGGACGAGGAGGAAGAACGAGGTTTCAATTAGAGTTCCTCTAAGTGACTGGTATTGATTCGCTACGGCGTACCTCGTCTCCGTGTACACTTGCAATCCAAAACATTGACGTCCCTCATAATTGCCTCTTCGGGGGCACCGTGACGATTCCTTTGGCCTCTTTTACTCTCCATTGCAAGGCTCTGCATATTTCATAGATGACTTTGAGATTAGGAGTCGCAACACCAACTTTTTCAGCCTCTCGTAGCGGCTCTCCGATGAGATACTCAATTTCCATGAGGTTACCCTGCCCCTCGTCAGCACTTTGGACATGACCTCCGAGTCATGGACCAGGTCATCGAAGAGGAGGCACGCGCTTACCTTTTCAATGTCAACCTGCATGCTTGGCTTTAGATACAGGTCCATCGGATCTAGGTTAATCATAATATCTATGATATCCTCTGGGAGCCGGTGCCCTAGCCTGCTTGCAGTTTCGTAGACTTCCTTCATGGCGGGCCGGGCTAGCCCCTCCACCAAACTGTTGGTCAGTCGCACTCTGGCGGAGTCCAGACTTGTAATGGCACAAATCGGGTTCAAGACGGCGTTGAAGATCAGTTTCCGCCACCTTGACCAAGGCACATCTTCCGAAAACTGAATGTTGGTCTTGCCTGCGGCGCCGTAGATTTTGATGAAGTCGTGTGCCGCCTTGGTCTCGCTTGCCTTGTCGGAAATGTTGGGATTGGTGAAAGCACCCAGATAAAGGATATCATGGTCTTCGTGGAAGATCTCGCCGGGCTGGCCTTCATGGCTATCGATCATGGAAACTCCAGAGAGCACAATGTTGGTCGGGAAGGCCTCAAACATGGGCCTCTCAATATTCAACCCGTTTTGAATCATTACGATGACCGTATGACCAGGAGTGACGGCCGGGGTGATGAGCTCTGGGAGGGTAGGGGACACATCTGGGTAGTTCTTGGTCGTGGTGACGATGTAGTCGAACGGGGGCAATGAATCCTGCTCGACATTCGGGACAGAATTGACCACTTGAGTCTCGAGAGTTAGCCGTACGATATCTGAGTCCAAGACGAATCACCACTGCCGCCGCCACGTACCCTTGGTAGGCCGCCATCCTGTCAACTTGCCGTGATCGACGCTCTCAATTCGATAGCCATGGTCTCGAACAGCCTGGAAATTGGATCTCAGAACGGCAGTCACAGCACCCAGCTTGCCGGATTCAATGTTCAGCGCGGCAATAGTGCCCACGGCGCCACCGCCAAGCAGGAGGACATTTGCCGCCTGCGCTTCAGAGTGTGCCATGATGGGTGGAGTCAGCAGATAGTGAAACAGCAACAGCGGAGGGGTGCACGACGCCTTGTGCCCGGAGTTGACGAGAATAATGTATGATCTTACTCGTTGCACAAATCACTACGCGCCTCAATGAGATTGCTCGAGAGTGCAAAAACGCGCTCTCAGCCTTTTCGCGAACAAAAAGGGTTCTCGCCAGCATGTTGTGTTGCCGCTGTCTGTGGAAAACGAAACGCAGCCCCCCCCCTGTCGTTTTGACTCATGTTCCCCCCCTCGGCGGCAAAATCTAAAATCTAAAATCCAGCTATATTCTATTATATCTTTATTAAAGAATTATTTATTATAATATAAAATATATAATTATACTTTATATAAAATATATTATTTAATAAAATATAATATATAATTAAAAAAGTATTTTATAATAATATATATTATTATAATTAATTTATATATTAAATATTATAAATAAATTATATTTAATATTTTTATAATATAATATAAAATATAATTAATAATATATAAGTAAATTTTCTTCTTAAAATATTAATATAAATTAATATAAATAAAAAGTAAATTATATAATATTTTAAATATTAAAGTTAAAATTATAAAATATTTAATATTATAAATAAATTATATATAATATTAAAGTTTATAATATATAACTTTAAATATAATAAATATAATCTTATAATTATATATTAAATATATAATTATTTAAAATTTTAAAACTTTATTAAATTTAAATATTAAATTTAAGTAAATAATATAAAGTATTTAATTTTATAAATATTTTATATATATTCTTAAGAATATAAGGATTATAATAATATATATATTTATAATATAAGTATTTATATTAAAATAGTTATATAGGAAATAGCTTATATTGGGAGGATTTGAGATTTGGGAGCGGAGGGGGGGAACACGAGTCAAAATGACAGGGGGGGGGCTGCGTTTCGTTTTCCACAGACAGCGACTGCGGTCCGTGGATTCTCCACAAGGCTGCAGCCGAGCTCGGCCTGTGTGTGAGCACCAACCCGCCCCCGAAGATTTCGAACAGCTCCGCCCCCTGCTGCCGCCGAATCCGCTGGCAGCATGCAAAATGAATCGACCGGAGCCCCAAATTCCCACCAAAACCACCAAACCCTTTTACATCAGAATCCAGATCACACAACAACCAAATTGCAGAGTTGTGACAGCTTTTATATCAGTTCGAATCTGCCCATGGTTACAACTTTATGTACCGACGCAAATTGTTTTGGGAGATTGCATATGGTCTGGGGTTTGTTTCTAGCTATATCACAGCCACCATTTTAGAAATGTCAAGATTAGAGGCGGCCACACAAAACATCCAGTAGCATTGCCCCGCATCCTTAGGCCCTACAGCCACCAGCCTTGACTTCACTTATTTGAATAATCGATCGATGTCTTATGATTTTGCTATTCTCGATTATATGTGACTGGCTAACCAGCTTGAGTACATCCGGAATATTGGGCTTAACACCTAGGTAGGTAGGATAGTAGACTTGGGTAGGAGTTATCAACCTGAGTGATTGTTGGATTGTTCACCTAGGTAGAGATGATACATCAGTGTAACTTGAGCATCTGATATTTGCAGGGGCAATTTGCTCTTACGGTGTTGTCCCTTAGAGTACGCAACGAAATCCATGTGGACCTTGCAGTAGCGCGTCCGTAGACTGGGTGTCTGACAGAACAAGCCCTCTCAACATCCTACGTCGTGAATTGAAACAAATCAGACTCATCCAACAATTCCAGGTCAGCCACAACAGAATCAAAGGTGATCTCGGTAATCTGGTCATCGCCGCTGCTGTTACAGACGATCAACAGATGAATACCTTGGAGTCCGGTTCAGCAGACTTACCGGGCGTCAATATCTTCGAGAATTCGGGGAAAGCAGTCATTTGCGTGCGCTTGGATCTTGCCTGGAATCAGATGCAGAAGTTGTTGCATACTTGTCACCCTTTTGCGCAACTCGGCAGAAGAGGGGTTATCTATGACCCGCAGAAAAAGAATCAAAGACGTCGAGAGAATGTGTTGAGCGTCGAACCAGAACAAGTCGCTCAGCAGGTCCCTCGAATGCATGTCAAGAAGCGTGGACATGGACCCGTCGTTGTGGTTCTCGCATGCTACCACGTGCTGAGTCGCTGGGCAGGGTTGTAAAATTAGTTTTGAGTTTTAGTTAAACTCAATTAAGTTTTTAGTTTTAGTTTTAAGTTAATACTTTTTTAAAAACCTACTTAAAATTATATATAATAAGGCGGAATAATAAATTAAGTATATAATAAATTATTTAAAAAACTTAAATGAATTAAGTGGGTCTTTAATTAAGTAATAAAATTTCTTATATTTTATTAAAAGATTAAAGTTTAACTTTAAAAAAGTTTATAAGTTTTTAATTAAACTTATTAACTAAACTTATATTTTCTAGTTTTTAATTTTTTATTAAACTTATTAATTAAACTAAATTTTTTTTAAGTTTTTAGTTTTTAGTTAGACCTATTAATTAAACTAAACTAAACTAATTTCAATCCTGGCTGGGCGCCCCTTGGCGACGACGGCGTCGACCAGGAAGAGTCGCGTGATCAGGACCAGAATGTAGTGGTATCTGAGACGGAGATAGAGGACCGCCCGTGCAAAGGATGCCGGGATTGTTTCTTTGGTCAGGTGATCCGGCAGGGTGGTCCACCAAGCCTTCAGGTCGTGGACGAGCATCTCTACATCCTGCTGTCTGCATTGCTGCTTCAGGAAGATGCTCCTCATGGCTCGGGAGAGGAACTTTGCCAGCTGTGCTGAAGCAGCTGCGTACATAGGCGGACTCGTGATGCCAGCGGTGATAGTCTGCGGTCTGGCCAGCATATTGGAAAGTTCGCATGTGTGACAGGCTGCATTCACTTACGTCAGAGGGTGGCAAAACGCTCTCTGCGTAGAAAGTGGCGTCCGAATACTTGCCCAGGATGCATGAGCTCCACTGATCCAACTCGTATAACGACCACCACAGCCTCGTCCTCTGCTCAGCCACCATCGGGCTTTCATCTTCTACCCTGAGGAACAGGCCTAGCGACTGAGGGATTCGAGTCGCGCTTCCCAGCGTTATCCAGCCGGTATGACGTTGGTTGTGCCTCTGCCTGTACAAAGCCTGCGTCTCATCCGCCAGTATCTTAGGCGTGGGGGGTTTTGTGACGAACCATGAGCATGATGGTCTGAACGCTTGCAAGGCTGCCCTCCTCGATGACGCTTTCCATATGCATTCGTGCATACTCAAAACTCTCGGTTGAGCAATTCACTACTAGGGCCACGATGAGGTGAATGATGACTTGGACGGACAGCGGCGTGTTGCCCCCGCTGTATATCATCTCGAGCGAATTGAAAAACGTCTCGGGGATGAAGAAGTAGATGACGCTGTTGACTGACCTCAGGAAGGCCAGGCCACACTGCTCGCAGGTCTTTCTATCCGGGAGCCCAATCGCCGGAAGTCCGGCTAGAGGCCGACCGTCAAGCAGATCAACCCTTTGGTCTTGCAGCATTGCCAATTTGGGAGATCTGTCCCCTATGCATGAGCTGATCTTGGATTGCACAACGGCATGACTTGAAGCGCCGTCAAACCCTGGGCCATGGTTAGTATAGCATCCTTCACCTTGTGCGGTAGAAGTAGTTGCAGAGCCACCTACGGCGTTGACAGGTCGCGTCCGAGATGAATACCCCATTCAGGCTGTCCTCGGATAAAACGCCCGATGGTTCACTGACCGGGCTGGCCGCTCGAGCCGGCGACACTGACCATGTGCTTTCGACGGTGTTGTGCCGAGAGACTGATGGTGCGGGCGACTCATCTCCGGGAGGGCTGGCACACTCGGAGGAATGTCAGGCGAAAAATGGCGCACTGTCGATGCCATGAGCTCGAACTGCGCCTTGGACGTGTGATAGTAAGGCCGGGCGACAACCTCGTCGGTCGCGGCGCAGCTCAGTCCCAGGCGATGGCATCTTTCGCAGTCCCTTGACGGTGATTTCTCACACTGGGCCAAGTCAGCGCGTGAGCCCCACCGAGGAAGTATTGAAGGCAGAGCAGAAAGACCGGCGATTTACCTTGATCTTTCGGCGTCTGCAATTGATGCAGCTGGACGGTTGTCGACGACTCTTTCCGTTGGCGCTCATGGTGATAAGATCGGGCCTGGAGACCGCGCACACGGGTGAAGTGGTCACATGCAAGCTCCGCGGTCAGTTGAGAGGAATTACAGTTCAGGCCTGGTAGCCACAACCGACGCCTGACAGATATGCCTTCCGCTATTCCCGAGGGCCGGGGAGGCTGCCGAGCTCCATGTCTGCGGCTCGAAACATCAATTGTCCTGTACAGGACTCCCCTGCCAGGGAAACGTACGCGTACTAAGAAAAATGAGTGTCTAATTTTTCTGATTGGCATAGCCGCCCCGACTACAAGTTGTCACTGGCACATGCCCAACCTCAAGTCGTCGTCCCTAACGAGCCTTCGCACCTCGCCCGAGCAGCCGGTCCAACTCATATACAGTAGAGTATGGTCTGTATGAACTGGCTATGCTAGATACAGGAAAGCGCACTCATGGCTCTTTGGAAATGGAGCACAAGTCAAGTAGTGTCGAGCGGTCGCCGTTGTGGGCCGCCCACCAGCTTCGCGGTGACCGCCGTCACGGATTCTGGTCGGTGTAAGTGCGGAGGCCCACGATGACATCGGCCGCCAAAGAGAACATTAAGTGGTCTCGTTTTTAATCTGTTCACATATGCTTCTAAAGCAGTATAAAGAGAACATTGAAACTTCATCTTCCGCACGTTGAGGTAACAGCCAATCACCAACATCGACAGCAAACAGCGGTACACCATGTCGTTTAACGATCCCAAACTGGAAGTCAATCTTGCAGTTTCAGGGTTTGGCCAGAAACTTCTCGTTCTGATTCTTGTTCTCTTGAGCTTGGTATGTTGCCGCACCAGCCGATGTCGATTTTCAGATTTGCCTTTTCTGCCTGTCACTTCCTGCCCTGCCCTTTCATCTCTCCAGCTGTCCCTCGGCGTCTAACCAGCCCAACTAGCCCGCTGTTTACATCATCTACTTTCATCCCCTTGCCCGTGTTCCGGGCCCCCTTCTTCGCAAAGATCTCGGACCTGTGGCACGCGTACCATGTCTCAACTGGGACCCGTCATATCTTGCTGGGTCAACTCCACAAGAAATACGGTAAGACTTCACCGCTCGCTTGGTTTACCGTGGAAGCTCAACCTCGCCTAGGCCCGCTAATTCGTCTCGGACCCAACACTATCTCGGTGAATACGGATGAAGGCCTGCAAAAGATCTTTTCGGCCACGTCACCAATCGATAAATCTCCCTTCTACCAAGCCCTTACGCCAGGATTTGACAGTAGCTTTGCTGCTGTCGGCCAGGCTTTCAAAGAGAAGAAGTCAATCCTATCTCATGCGTTCGCCCAGAAGAAGCTAGACGCCATGGAGACAACATTTATGAAACACACGCGGAAGCTTTGCCATGTTATGGCGACACGTGAAGAAGTTGAACTTGACGACTGTCTGTCGGTTTTGACCATGGACATTCTACTAGTATCGGATGTTTGTTTTGGTGAGACGTTTTATTTGCTCTGCAATCCCGCGGAGAAAACGAGGATCAGCAAAGGCTTCGAGTATGCGGCGAAATCCGTATCATTGGTTAGTAACGCCACATTATTTATCTTCCTTCGTCGCGCGGCAGAAAAAACATATGGATGCCGCTTTCTGCAACCAGTTTCTGGATGAGATCGTCACCAAAGCAGAGGGTGTCTTCCTCTGTGTTCATCTTTTTTGCACACAATTACTCCAAGCAATGTCGAGAGGCGATGTAGTTGGTGACTTGAGGAGAATATTGAACACGCTTCCGGTCCAGATGGAGAATCTGTACGGCCACATACTCGACAATCTTGATCTCAAGGATCATGCAGCCAAATTCTTTCTGCTTTTACAGGCAATTTTGGGACGGCCAGATGCCCTCATCGTCTCGTTCGTAGACGATATCGGTGACGACGTCGAGCTCGCCTTGAGAATGCCTAAGAAAGCTCTCCCGGAGGCGGAATTGAAGTACCGGGCCACCGAGCTGAAGAAACGATTTAACTCAAGATGCAAGGGTCTTCTATCCCTTTCAACCGAGCTACTGGATACAAGGAGTGCAACGTCGCGATTCGGCATAGGAACTGTCCAATATTGTCACCGAAGCGCCAAGGATTACTTGACAATGGACAGCGTCCAGAAAAAGTTCCTCAACATGCTGGACGTGCCCTTCGATCCTCACCCCAGACTCTGCTCAGCACATTTGGCGCGGTGGAGGTGCTGCACAAGCAATGCTTCTGATTCAATGTCTATGTATGTATGGAACTTGCAAAACAGGTGGCCAGCGAGAGTAACGACATGATGATTCGAGTACTCGACGACTTGAATCCAGACTTCAAAGCCCAATCTTACGTGGATGAAGAATATTTTGCCAGAGATCCTTGGTTCGGAGGAACCCTTTTATCTCTCACTGTGGTTCTTGGTGTCCGCGAATACGTGCAACGTAAAGTAGGGCGAGGTCGAGGCTATGTGGTTACATCTATGTCGGTTGATGTAGATCCGAGGGGAATGTACCCTGGTAAGAAGATGCGCAAACAAAAGAGAGAGATCTATGGCATGGCACGGTTTCTTGGGACGAGCCCACCCAACGTAGAGTGGCCACTTTTGTTCGATGCCCTCCTCTCAACGATACAGCCAGACCCAGACATTGTCGCCTTGCTTCTCGAGAATGGCGCAGATCCTGACAACATCATTCGATGCACCGACTGGAAAAAGAGGGGATTGCAAGTGATTTTAAACCGGCTGAGGAAAGATGATATGTTACTGAGGTTTCCGGATGCGAGGCAAGCATGGGTGGACTCTTTGACTCTTTTGTTGCGGCATGGTGCCAAGCCGGACAGATCATATGTATGGCTCCTCAGGGTTTTTTTTGGTGACGACGAGATCCACGCCCTGAAACTGCCTCACTTGCGACCCCATAGCCAAGCCATCTCAACTCTTTCGTTGGTTCTTTCGCCGGCCGGCCGAGCCTATGCCATGCGGAAACAGGGGATGACGTGGGGGGACGTGCTCAAAGACCTGGCATGCTTTAGGGTACAGCAACAGTTCGCTGATTCGGACTGGGAGGAGACTTGAGTAACCTAAATTTTGGCATGTATATAATGCTAGTAGCCATGCCAGAGAATCATGATCTGCTATGCAGCAAGTCATTGGCTACCATAAACCTACGACAGGTGGGGTTTGAAGTCATTTTGATTTATATAGTTGGTTTTCCATAGTTGAGAGCATTTCATATCATCGTGATAAGTAGCATGCAGCGAAGAAACGTAATGGCTAACTTACTGCTTCAAGGACACCCATCCGAGACTTAAACCCAACATTGGAAGGACGCAGTCTTCAAGGTCTAGATGTATCAAGGTAGGCCTAGACTATGGACGGGCTCGATGGAAGTCGTACGGGACTCTATGCTTTCCACAACGTGTCCGGCCACTGATCCTCATAATCCTCCTCCCCATCCAACAACTTCACCAAGTTCTCCCGCGCGCTCCACCGAATATTCCACGTCTTCTCATGATCCAAATCACTCCCTTCTTTCTTCTCAAAATGCGAAAACAAACTCGGCTGCGTCGTCAAACACACATGCCGCGCATGCTCAAACGTCCCATCGCAAAACTGCCGCAACCCCAGATCAAAGGGGTCATCCATCTTCCAGAGACCCAAGTCATACAGTATCCGCCTCGCGCCAGCCTGAGATACCCCGTAGGCAAATGTGCACACGGCGTCGAGCGCGTGGTGAGTGACCCTCGTGTGCGCCGGGTACGAGTTGCGGAACCTCGCGTGGCCGTCGTCGTCCCACGAGTGTATGCTGCTGGTCTGCGGGACGGAAGGGTCGTTCTCTTTAACCACCGCGCCGCGCGAGATGTGCCGCGACCTCTCAGCCCACTGGTCCTTGGGGTCACCCGTGGGCTGCTGCACGCCGCAGTGGCCCAGCCAGAGCACGTCCCAGCCGTCGCCGTACGCCGACGTCTTCGGGTCCTCCGTCCTGGGCAGGCGCGCGAAGCTGAGCGGCGGCGGGTCGAGCCCGGAATCCTGCTCCTGCACGGCCGGGTACGTCGGGTCCGCATGCGCCCCCCTCCCGGCCAGCGGCTGCAGCAGCGCGCGGCTCGCGAGGGCAAAGTCCCGCGCCTGCTCGCGGATGCGCACGTCCCAGTCCAGGTCGTCCTCGAAGATGACGGCCGAGCTGAGGTTGTGCTGCACGATGTACCACAGCGCGTCCATGTGGGCGCGCCACGACGCGCGCACCTTGCCCGTCCACCCTGCGGCTTTGGGGGGCATCGCGGCGTCGGGGACCTTGGCGGCGTCGACGCCCGGGAGGAAGGTGAAGCGCAGCCCCGTCGTGGCGCCCATGAGGGTCATGCGGTCGCGCTTGTCGGTACGGTCGGGCATGTTGATGACGATGAGCTCGGAAAACTGTTGGGATAGGGGTACAATTAGTATTGGATGCTTAGATGGTGGGAAAGAGTTGTAGGGAACAAGGAGGGTGTTGGGGCGCATCATGTCTACTTACGCCGAGGGTCGCGTTTGCCGCGTCTTCCACTGAAAGGCCATAGTCGTTCGTACTTCCCTGGCTCACGGGAGCCACAGGTTGTTTTGGAGGAACAGACACAGTTGGCTTGCCGGCGGGATGTTCAGGTTCTGACCCAACACCATCGATACGGTCCGGCTGTGGCTCTGACCCGGTCTCGCCACGCTCAGGGGGGTTGAAATACGTGATTCTATTGCGAGAAGACTGCCATCGAAGGCCTGTCAGCAGTAAGACGATTCCTGAAGCAGCCACAAGAGTGGTGATCCAAAGTCTCCATGGTGGCCTGTTGGGAATGAGTCTGAACATTAGGCACAAGTGGTGGCTGCTGGCGTGGGAAGAAGCAGAAGCTACAGAACTTGCGAAAGGGAGAAGATGGAATTCGGCTGCCTGGTGCCCGCTGTGTTTCCATAATCCCCTCATCTCCCTTGCAGACGCGGTGTAACAGTAAGACACGACGCAGCCGTATAGAAATAGGCGAGGGGGCTAAGTGTGGAAAGCGGTTCGAAAGGGGTCTAGTGAGACATTCACCGGCTATACTGCTTGAAGCCCCATTCCCCAGAAGCCTCGAAGGCAAAAGACACTTTCCCAACTTCCTGAAGAACACACAATGATTCTCTGGCAAGGCTAGCCGCATCTGACAAAATCACACCACGGGTCCCACACGCAGCGAACAGCGGCAGACTGAAACACCGCAAGGAGAATGTGCACAAATAGTGAGACATGACTCGGCTCTAAGTTGGCAACATCTTTAAATAAACGCTTACCCGTAAACGTAAGCACTCGGGATGAGAGATGAGAGATATTTTCTTGCGCTGAGTTCAAAATGATTTCGATTCAAACCAGCTTGCGAGACTCCGACGGAACGGTACGCTATATGATGTTAATTGCTGTGTGTATCACCGCGTTGGCCATCACTCCCTTGGTAAAAAAGCTTGCCCTCATAAGACCGTTCTGTCTCAGAGAAACTGGTACCGAGAGTCTCATATTTGAAGACGATAGACCGGCAATTTCTTTGCCCCAAGACCTTATAGTAGTTGGCAAGCGACGTTGATGACTAATACTATTATCAAAGAATCAACGCATTCGAGACGTCCGCCAGTTTCATTTCATGGACTGTATGATCGGACTCCGTCTCTCGAATGTCGCGTGTTCCCAGAATTGCCTGATACCAGTATAGATCCAAGTACACCTCAACGTTGGACTTTTTGACCTCTCATTTCGGGGTTTAATGGGGCCTCCTTCAAACCTTGAATGACTATTTCTTCATGATCTGTAATCATCCTGCCCCTTGACACAAAGCCCACACGAACTGTCACGCCACGCAAAATTCTCCCTCACAAAAATCTGTTTCCAATCGACGGGGGTCCAAGGTGTGTCTGGATCGGTGTAGCCCCAGCAAGCCTCTGCCTTGCACAACAGCGCATACATCAGCCTCACGCGCGGAAACGCCACAAGTGCGGAGCGGCCATGTACCAGCGGCCGGCCCGACAGCACCGGGTTGCATAGGGCCAAGACACCAAGAAGATCTTCCGACACTTCTTCTGGCCAGATCAGCTCGGCATCAGCTTTGAGGTCTCCATACCCGCTGATGTTCTTTCCGACGCCCCTGAACCGGCAGGCCAGCTCGCAAGCCGCGACGGCAAGCATGACGTCGGCGCTGGTATCGTCGTTTCTTTGGAAGCATCCCGCAACCAACAGGCTGTCGCGAACCTGGTACCTGTTAATCACCTGCTAAAGGTCCTGGAGAGACACATTCTGGGACACTGAAAGACATGACAGGACGGGGACCGCGAAAGGAGAGGAGTGGGGCTTACGTCTTCGAGTAGCAGGTAGGGCACTTCTTTTTGCAAGGGAACATGAGCTGGCCATTTCTGGCAGCCGATGGTTTCCCGGATCTTGGAAACTCGCACACAACGGTACGCCGGGCCAGAGACAGGGCCCCATACGAGCCACTCGCACGGGTAATTCACGCCGGGGATCTTGAATTGAGGGACGTGGAAGATCTTGTTCCGCAGCGTCTTCTCATCACCGAGGGCCCAGGTGTCGAGGACCGCAACATAACCGTCATGATCTCCCTTCAAACGGTGCCGTACGCCCGAAGTCGAGTCGTGCCGTGTGCAGGCGAACAGGAGCGCAGTCCTCCAATCGTGGGACCAAGAGCTGAATGGCGTCGGGGTAGAGGTCTGCTGGCAGCAGTGGCTGATCACCCGTGCTGACACCACATATGGGTCCGTGTTGCTGCCGATCTCCATCTCTTTATCGTGTCCTTGAAGAAACCCAAGTGGGGAAATGCCCTCGGTAGTGTTCTGGCCGGGTATACCACCCCCCGAGTACCTGTTAAATCCACGAAACAGGAAACGCGGAATACGTGTGTCCGGGGCGTGAAATGGGTGATCTGGTGAAGCCATTATAGCTGAGTATTATGCTAAGACCAGAAGTATCTCCTATGAATGTGGCCTAATGATGTGTATCAGCCAAAAGATGTCGAGAGAAGTAGATTGGTTGAAGTTCGGGTGTCTGCTCTTACATGTGCGTTCGACTAGGTGGGTGGTGATCGACTGAATCCAATAACTCTCGTAGTGTTTGATGAAGAATTGAGATCATCATTCTCCCTCCTCCCAGTGAAGAAGATCGCTGATATCACTTCTAACATTTCAGGCAACTTCTTTTCCACATTAGTTGAGCTTTTCAAGAAGTTGGTTTGTTTTCGGACACTACTTTGATTAGTGGGCATTAGCTTGGTGGCAGTATTTTTATATCACTGTCTTAAGTTCTGCTACTCACTTTTCTAGGTCTTGTCCCTTGGTAGCTTGGTATACTAGCGCCTCGGTAGCATTCCTTCTGAATGAATCTTGACCAAAAATATTATATTTGCGCAACAGACATAACTTCCAGCAAGGCTCACTCCTGTATGCACAAATCCACCTGGGCAGGCGCCCCGACTCGTGAGCAAAAGCGCACTACTAACAGGATTTTGATCAATTTACAGACCATCAGGGTGCTGAAATCGGCAAATCTTTTCCGATTGCAATTCGCAATCGAGAACTACTGGATTGCTGGCCAACAGAAGAGAATGACCAGCGCCGTAGCCTCTGTGTCTCCTCAGGAACCATTTCCCCCCCAATGTGGTGCCGATAGTGTACCGTTTGACCGACATTGGTTTCGACTCTCAATCATATCGGAAAGCCTGAGCAATGGTCGGTCATTGAGCTCAGGTCAACTGTCAAAGTTCGAAATACATAGCTTCAAATAGTGATGCTTCAAAATGGCATGTGTCATGGGTTGCCGGGTTGGTAGCATTTGACCCCCTCAGTCAAGGGAGTCGAATCTTTCCAAGCCAATCATGGGACATCGATTATTCTTCGATTCTCTATAGCTCTTTCATGCACCCCAACCCCATCATAGTCCGAGGAAAGGACATGAGAGATCTTGGCCTTGGTACGGGTTTAGTCTGGTTGAAATTCAAGTATCAAAGGGATGCAAATAGACCAAGCCATATACTACAAGGATCCATACTTGCTCATAACATACTGACGTATAGTTTCACAGTCACATTGTCACGAGCGGAAATCAAGTAAGCCAATCAGTCTCAGAACATGTACAGCAAAAGTCTTGAATTTGTATGGTATATACAGAGAAGCAACACAACAGTTCCCAATCCACAATCACCCAGAAAGCGGATCTCGTCCCCAAGTCACCATTCCACTCAACCCCGTCTTAGTCAAATGCACTGCATCAAGGGTCCAGGAACCCGAGAGCGCAGAGGCATCCAGGCCGGGGACCGCTTAAGCGCGGAAGGCACGGCGGGCCTTGCGCTTGGTGCAAGAGGAGTCGTCATCAGCAGCCTCGGTGGGGGCCGCAGCAGCAGCGTTGGCGGCGGCCGAGGTGGTGGTCGCAGCGCTGGTGGCGGCAGGGGCGGCAGAGCTAGAGGCCGAGCCGGGGGAAGAGCCGGAGCCGGAGGCGCCGCCGACGACGAAGTCGACGCAGCTGATGTAGGTCTGGTCGATGGAGCGGGCGTCCCACCACCACTGGAGGGCGCAGCCGCCCTTCTTGGAGCAGGTGGCGGGCAGGTCGGAGGGGATGGTGACGCTGAAGTTCTCGTCGCCGTCCTGGACGCCCTTCTCGGTGGAGGCGTAGCTGTCCCAGGAGATGAGGGCGTCGCCGATGACGCTGTTGGCGCCGAGGTCGATGACGGAGACGTTGGCGACGCCGGTGTGGGGCGCGGCGATGTCGACGACGAAGGGGACCTTCTCGCCGGCGGTGAAGCTCTGGATGGACTCGGCGGTGGCGTCGTCGAACTGGTAGCCGCGGCACTGCCACAGGTGGCACTTGGCGGCGTCGAAGTCGGACTGCGAGGTGCCGATCTGGGCCATGGTCTGGATGTTGCCGTTGTTGTCCGACGACTGCATGTTCCAGACCTGGTCACCGCAGGCGGCCTTCATGGCGTCGCCCAGGGGACGGGGGGTGGGGGAGGTGACCCGGCCGTGGGCAGAGACGCCGGCGGCGAAGAGGGCGGCAGCAGAGATTTGCTTGTACATCTTGACTGATTTGTTGGGTCTGGAAAAGGGGGTGGTTGAAATTGTGGGATTTTTGGAACAACTTGTTAGGCTCGGCCTGTTAAGTGAGTGTTTTGATTTTTGAGTGAAAGAATGTTGTCGCAAGAGCTGGCTTGCTAGAAAAGAATGGCGGTTGGTCCAAAAGGGGAAAACTGTGGTGAAGCTTAAGCTTGAGGCTGAAGATAGAGAGAAGAAGAGCCAAGATGCAACAAGACACGAGAGAATCAGACGAGGTCCCTTTTGTATTATGCTGCTGCCCCCGTCTGCCCCCGTCTGCCCCAGAGAGGACCAACCGAGGGAGACCCGCCATCATCGGTGTGAGCCGAGATGAGTTGGCCCTGGAGATCCCAGGAGCGCGGCCCCCTTGGTGGCAGTTGGTTTCATGCTCCCGCCAAACGAATGACGAAGTCTTGGTTGCGGCTCTGGGACAGGGTGGGCTCGACATGTCAGAATTAAACGCGAGCCGGGGTGGGACTCAGGGGTGTACCAGGGGAAGCGAGCCCATGTCGACGAAGCGGGCAAATCAGACGACAGCTGGACAAGCGACGAAACCAGGTACGTGGGTCTGCCCTTGCAGTAGGAGGCTGATTAAAGTCACATCGCGCCCCACTGCATGCCCGGGATGAACCGACTCAGCCAAGTCAGTCACCAATGTTTGGCCTTTCTCTCGAGGCCCCGGCAAAGAGCCTCAGGTCGATCATAAACATCCCAAAGTCAATCGCCCTCAACCGCTGTTCGGCCGAGTCGATCTCCCGCAATAGAAACAATGTCAGGAAACATCGCAAAACGATGCCCTCAATCCTAAGCCGAATAGCTCTCACTGCCCCTGAGAACCGGCATTTTTGATCGGGTCTGCATCCCTCTCCTATCCCACCTCCGGTAAATTCTCTGCCCTGCACTCCTTTCTAGCGGACTTCTCGAAGCCTGGAGCAATCTTTGCGAGGTGGGCTCCCCGCGTGCCGCCCAAGGAGCCTCCTTTTTCCTCGGCCACGATCCATGGTGTTTCAGGCCAGGCAGGGGAAAACCCACACCAGGGGGGCACAGCGCCAGCGATCCCCCAGCTAGATCCGTCCCATCTAGCGCCAAGCCCATAACACTGACCTCGTCAATTTGCCTATGGGAGATTTTCTCCGAAGTCGACGACGAAAAAAAACCTGCGAGGCTGACCGTAAGATGCCTCGGCGATAAGAACAGTGAAACTGCTAACGGATAATTTTGTGCGCCGCCAAAGATATGCCCAAGACAAGTCGTGTATGGCTCTCGCCCCCACGTACCTCTCGAATCGGGGGACTACCACCGGGAAGGATTGTCGTCACTCGCCAGGGGCATGACTTTCTGCGTTCCGGGACCGTGACAAAATTCTTGTGGTCTGCCGACCCGACAAAGATAGAAAAGAGGCTCTGTTCCAAGCGAAGATTCAACGAGTCGGAAAATCGCCTTTTGGAATCCCGAAGCCCGGCCGTAGATTAATCTCGTACGGACAGCCCAGCGAGTGGACCTGGACCGCTCACTGCCTCCTGGATCCGGTGTCGATCAGTGCGAGCCAATACCAATTAGCAGGGTCGACCTGTCACATCGCCGCTTGATCCACTTCGGCGTGCCGACGGCGAGTGCCTGGCGGGGGGGGGGGGGGGGGGGGAGTGGGAATACATTGCTTGCGTGAGGGGGAAAAGGGCAGACGCTCGAACTTCTCGGAGACAGACCACTCGACGGACAATGCTCATTATGGGGCGACTTCCTTCTCCCTGAAGAATTGCCCCTTTCTCTACTTCTCCATTCGCAAACGGAGAACTCAACGCCACTCCAAACACTCGAGAACCGGGACCCGTTCCCTTCGTCAACAATCGGTGAGACTCCGAAACTTGTGTGTACAGCTCAGTGCGACGAGACACGATGGGCACCATAATAGGGACGCCAATGTGGTCTGGCTAGTCTGAGCTTCTCCCAACCTCTAGGTGTTTCTCGTCGCTGAACATTGAACTCGTCATTGATCATTTTTACTTCTGTCGTCTCTCGACCCCAGCTGGTGCAAAACACTTACACAGTCAAACGCCCGTCTCTCCGTGCCTTGCTCCTGCAGTTGCCGTCTGCCCGGATGGCCGTTGCCAAATCTCAAGTGGTTTCTTGGCTACCATGGTTTCTTCACTTTCCGCTTAGCCAATGGACAGTGTCTCGCCTTCGAACGCAAGTGACCCATGGACGAAGATTTGAGGTGGGCTCGGCGTCCAACACGGAGCATGATCTTGGGTAGCGCCGGACTCTTCGCAGCAGGCCTTTTGGTCGCAGGCCGTGGCTGCCGTGTTGCTAATAGGCTGTCAGTCACAAAGCTCAGGACAGGTTTAGCTGGCGGTCTGGAGACTGTCACCGCGGAGTGTGTCCCAGTCCCAAAGTTGAGCATCTTGGCGAGCGGCATCTAAGTAGCAATGAACAGGACTTCGAGAACACCAAAAACCCAAGAGACCATTTTGGGGATGACTTTGGGCTTGGGGACGAGTCGAGGCCTCGTTGTCGGCTTTGATCTAGCTGGACAATCCCCACGCCGAAGGTGTAGGAAGGCTCCTGTGTTGACACCTGAAGCTAGTCGTTCTCGTCCATCAACGTGATGAGTCTTCCTTACCTAGGTAGACTTGCCTATACCATGGGCTTTTGTCGGAGTGTCAGATGGTTTACTCGGACATTGACCTCAACTAGGATGATTGAGATGGCCGTTCGCAAGGAGTTGGCCAAAGGCTCTCGCCCGCCACGAAGGCTCCATCAGGTACCCGCCATAGGGGAGGGATTCAAGGTCGCAAGGCGGTCGACAACGATGGTTGGAATCGGAGGCCCAGTGTGTTTATGAGCGGTGTTCAACCGTTGACAATTCCTGCCCGTGCCCCTGGGCCCGTGATTACCCATGGCGTTGGAGTCTTGCAAAGCTGGACCAACATAACGCTGAAAGCGTGAAGGCATCTAGTTCGCCCTGTTGGCCGATTCATCCGATACAAGTGCCTTCAAGCAGCAAGAAGTGCGCTTCAAATATCGTTATCGATCGCCCAAAAAGCTGTCCTTGCAAATTATGCCGAGGGCGAAGGGGTACATACCCAGCTGCGCGAGCTCTGACAGTGACAATGCTTTTCAGTGTTGAGAGGTCAGTGGACTGGGTGATCAAACTGATGTTCTCACCCCAGCAAAGACCCACGGTTGATTCTCCGTAAACGGCAGCATTACAGGTCGCAGAACGTTGGTGTGCCGTGGCTTCCTCCAAGGAAAAGTACCTATGTTGAGAGACCGAACCCAACTCCGCGCCTTCCTCCTTGATTCCCAGCCTGAAGCAGCATGTCATCTCTCGAGCCAAGCATGCAGAGAGCGGACAACCCGAAAAATGGGGTATGTAGGTTTCTCCAAAACTTGATCAAGTTCGAACGTGAATTACAAGTTAGCTACAACAATTACCTAGTCTATATACAATGTGCCCCAAGGGAGTGTCAATTGGTCTTCTCAAGTGTAGAGACCCCACAACGCCAGACTGGAAGAGGCCCAATTGGTTACCGTCTCCGAGCAAGATGCTTATTGTAATGAGTGTGTGTCCCCGCCCATTCGTTTGTTGACTGTGCCTTTGTATCGTCATGTCTCATAAATGGTGAACGAGCGAGAGCTTTTCAAGGTTGGTGGTACGCGTGGGGCGCGCGCAGCGGACGCCTATACATCCAACATGCTCTTGATCTGCTGCGGTGGCGACGCGAGGGAATTACTTGTGTTGGCGCTGGTGCTCCTTGCGCCAGTAGCAGGCCTTGCAGCTGGGGTCCCATTCACAACTGATTCGTCACTGCGCTGGCGACCCCGTTCCTGCTGCTGTTGTGGTGGATCCGGGTATGGCGGAGGTGGTCCGTCGGTGGAGAGGTAGCTCACGCGGTCAGCGAAGGCCTGCGCGTTACCGGTGTTGGGGAAGAGCAGGCCCGCAACGGCCTGCATGGCCTGTTCTGATCGGCGCCGATCATTGTTGCCGGAGTAGGTGGTGACGCCTGGCGTCGGTCGTGCTGCACCAACACCGCCGGCGTTAGAGGTTGTCCGGCGGACTTGGCCTGCCTCGATATCTGTCGGAGCATTGGCGGATTCTGCCTCCCTCGTGCGAACCTCATGCATCTCATCGATATTCTTGGCCGTGGCTCGGCCTCCGCCGACCTCGCGCACATTCCGTGCAATACGCTCGCGCATGGTCTCGCCGTCGCGCACTTGACCGTTGACCCGCCTCCACCAAGCAGGCTTCCGGACGACGCCCAGCTCGTGGTCTGCCTGGGCACCGCGGATTCGGCGCTGGCGGATGAGTTCTCGGTCCTCGTTGGGGTTGAGGAAGCCAGCAACGATTTGTACGAACAGAATCAACAGAGCCGGGACGTATCCACCGACAAAGGTAGCGACATTGTCCCCTGTGATGTCCATGACCGAGTACTGGAACTCCCACGCGCTAAGTGCCTGGTAGGCGACGACGGACAGGGCGAGGGGAAGAATGAGCATGAAGCGGTAAGGGGTGAACCTGACGAAGCCGATGGCGCGGTTGAAGATGCCCCTGTTGCGCTCCTTGTAATGCTTGATGGAATGACGAAGGTAGTAGACGATAGTCAGCCAGCACATGAGCAGCAGGAAGGCAGCGGCCTTGAGCCTGTTGTCCGTTGCTCCGGGGGCGGCCCTGAGCCGGGTCTGCTCGGCCGAGCGCTGCAGTTCCAGGCTGCCCCAGTTGCGAGGGATACCCATGAAGAAATCGAGCCACCACCAGAGGTAGAAGAAGAGGGGCACCCAGAACTCGAACTTTGCCCTCTTGTCGTCCATCTTTAGGCGGAAGGGGTCCGGGTCGATATACTGCCTCTCCTGCCAGCTGCCCCAGTGCCGGACGGCCTCCCACACGGCAGCCATTGTACACAGGTTCATGAGGAACCAGAAAAAGGAGGTGAGGACGATGGGTATCTCGGGGAGGTAGTAGCGGTCTACGTCGATGTTTGTGACGAGGCTAATGAAGCCGGTGGCACACATTGCGATCATCCAGTACCACTGCCACCTCCTGCCGACGGGCCTGAAGCGCTTCTCGGTGGGCAGGTACATGCTGCCGTGCTTCTTTAGGCAGATGAAGGTGAACATCAAGGCGAGGCCGTAGACGACGGAAAGACCAATGCTAATGTAGCCCCTGGCGGATATGGGCATGATGGGCGAGTAGCACGAGGTGGTGTTGAGGAACGTGCCGTTGGGAAAGACATACTTGGGGGTGTAGTCGCCGAAGGTGAGCAAGCAGCGGGAGCCATTGGACAGGGTGCCGTTGGAATAGAGGGTGAAGTTCCAGTGCTCTAGGGCGGTCAGGTTGAAGTGGATGTCCCCGATGACGGTGTCTGTGGAGTTGTCGCCGGGCGCCCAGGAGATGATGTCCCTGGCGTCGAAGACGGGCATCGTGTCGGCGGGTGCCTGCGTGGGCAGTCGGTGATATTCGCGGTGTCGTTGTTGGAGCAATTCTCGTCACGTCGGTCACTGTGAATATGTCGGCACGATCGGTGCAAGGCGAACCAACGCAATGCGTTGGATTGGTCGGTTGCTAGCTAGTAGCTAGGAAACCACTGACCGTATTTCAATGAAGAAATCGGTGGGCTCGGAGGGTAGGCAAGCAGGCAGGCAGAGGAGTAGACAGACAGACCAGTTGACAGTATATCATGTCGTGATCTGTTCTGTTCTGTTCTGTCGTGTCGTGAGCTGGTCTGCACTGGAATGGAGTTCGAGCGATGAGGAGAAGAAGGTTGCGCTCGACCGCCGCTCTGACGGGAATGTCAAAAGTCAGTTGCTAGACTACCATAGAAGAGCCGAGACTCCGAGGAAGCCGCAGGCCAGTCAAGGTTCAGAAGTCGAAAATCACTCAACAACAGTGCGTGCAGGCAAGCCAGCCAATGGGAAGGCGGGGACCACTGGGGAAGGACATGGGGTCATCCTTCCTAGCGTGGTGGATAAGCGGATAAGCTCGCCAAGAGTCAGAACACGCTGGACGTCATCAGGCCGTGGTTTGTTTATTGCGGTCTTACTACGACGTATGAGGTGTTTATTTCAGAAATATACTTGTGATGCAATTTGTGTGGACACTGGACGATTAATTGGAACCTGTAGCATGAATGCCATGTTAATAGACCCAAGTGTCAGCCCTGTCTGATAGCTGCCAACCTAGGGACAGAGGTACATGGGTACATCGGATGACTTCATTCTCGGGGTTGCCATTTGACATGGGGGGAAGGAGCGAGCCCTCGGGGCTACCCCTGTCACCCCAAGGCTGCAGGTGGCCAGGGCTCAAGCTCCATGAAGCCAGATCGTGGGGAGCTTTTCGGCTTCAAGTTTCAACACACTGACGGCCAGGTAACAGCGATTGGCAGCTCAAGAACCAGCCATTGATCAATCCAAATGCTCACAGGCCTTGCAGTAATCTGTCCCCGATAAAATATTCAACCGTGATTACTCTGGCAGTACACCACGACACACCACACACAGCCAGCCAAAATGGACAGCCCAACAGACGGCCGCGACGAGGAAGAACCCTCCTACATCGACTACGAGACCTTTGTCGCCCCAGACTTCTCCTCCTCCGCCTTTGCAAACACCCTCGTCCTGTCCACAAATAACGCGAACGACACCCCCCTCGACCTCTCCACTCCGTTATCCCGCGTCCTCTTCGACATCCAGGAGATCGACTCCCACATCGACCTACTAACCACCCGCTCTGCCTTGCCCCTGCTCAACCACACCAAAGACCAGACCGAGGCCAGTGGGCGGATCGTGGGTGAGCTGGACGGCCAGATCAAGAGCCTGAACGACAGCTACAAGCAGCTCGAGAAGGAGGTCATCCAGAAACATGCCGAGGCAGATGAGGTCAGGCAGGTCGCGAGTCGTCTATGGGAGACCCTGAGGCTGGGACGCGCCGTCGGCCGCTGTTTACAATTGGGACGCCAGCTGGAGATACAGCATGCAGAGCTCGCAGCCGGGACCAAGAAGGAGGACCACAGGACCCTGGTGCGGTGCGCACACACTATACTGTCGCTGCGGGAGGTCCTGGAGCACAAGGGCTCCGGCGACGAGGGACAGGGCTTGGACAGGGTCGACAGCATCCGCTCCCTGCAGGAGAATGTCACGCAGCCAATCGAGACATCAGTCAGGGAGACCAGCGAGAGGATAATACGCGAGTTCTCCATGGGCACCGCCTCGGGCTCCTCCACATTCGCCCAGTCCGAGGAGACCAAAGCTAGGACGATATCCGCACTATCCACGCTCTATCTCCTCTCCCCCACGACCCTGGAGAAGGGCCAGAAGTGGTCGCCCATCTGGATGCTGCGAGCCCTCGAGGCCTACCTGCGCACTCAGTTGCAGAGCAGCACCTCCACGTTGCGCGATGCCTTAGCCGCCCTACCCAGACTGGAGCGCACCTTGGCCGAGGTCGCCGCACGGTGCCAGAACATCGTCGCTCTCGAGATGGTCCTAGAAGGCACCAAAGCGCCAGCCCATCCACTGCTGCCGCCAGGCTCGGGCAACGACAAAGGTCACGGCAACCTCCTGCACCCCTTACTGGCCTACCTCGAGACCGGCTCGCTGCCTAGCTATTTCTGGCGCACCATGGCCGGTGGCTTGTCGTCACGCGTCCAGGAGATTATCAACAGGGGCGGCGTGTCTGCGCGGACGCTAAGAACAAATAAGGATAATGTAGCGGCCGTCATTCGGGAGTGTGTAATTCGCGGCAGCCAGCCGCCCAGTGCGATGGCCAAGACAAAGGGGGAGAGGGCGGCTGGGTGGGACCGCGAGGTTGCGGTCATGGTGGGCAGTGTGACAGGGAACCTGGGACGATGATGGCTCCGGCCTGACACGAAATACAATCCTGCAACGGGCCGCATGTGTTCGGACAGTCCCGACGCTGTCCTTTGATACCTCCAGCATGCTGGACCCCTACAACCAATTTAATGTTCAATTGCTGCTCAGGCACTCCAGCGGTGCAATCCTCGTCCAGCCCACTGAGGCCCTGCTGCGCCGTGGAGGATTTATCGTGTGCAGGCAAAGGTCGAACGGTCTTCTAGGACACAAACCGGCCGAGATCGCCCCTTCACGTCCCCAGCCTCGCATTCGACTGAGTACTAGAATGGAAAAGGTCTGGGAACTACAGGACACGAAATGACTGTCCCACCTCAAGCCAATTGGGTCATGGAATTCCCGAAGACTATCTAGCCACCGCCACTGAATGACTGGCGAGATATACATCCGCCCACGCAACATTGCTCTTTCCGATTCTCGGGATAACACGCCGCCGAACCAACGTCATCCCGGGAGGTATTCAAGGCCTTGGCCCAGAGACCAGGACCTGGACCATACGGATATGCGCAGGAACAGATACTCTAGTCAGACCCACCAAGGCCGCGTCCTGTCGACTTCGAAGCAGCAGTTCTCGTCATGCAAGCAATTGTCAATCGACGTGTGAATGTCGACGACCGCCCATCTCAGTTCACCGAATAACAACGTTGAGGGCTTAGCCCGGAATCTGTCCGGCATCTCGTTTTTGTTCTCGAGCAATGACCGTCCGGTTTTCTCTTGAACATGTGCAAGTCCGCGTGCTCAGTAGCCCGCCGCGCTTTTTCGCCCATTTCACCCCGGGTCCAGCCTACATTTCGTCGACTTTGCTCCAAGACTTCGGCGTGGATGACAAACGCCCTCGGACGAATTTTCCTGGTCTAATGTCAGGACTGCAAAATTAGCATGATGGCCACTTGCATTGTGCGTTCCTTTCTTCAATATGCCGTATGAACACCAAGACCGATTGACACGCCGCCTCAAAGGGCTTTGAGCCGGCAGAACTTCGAGAAGTCTTCGTAAAACATTGCAACCTCGTCTTTGTCTACACGGGACTATTTTCGTATCACCACTGACCCAGCACCTTCGCACATGGCACCATGAGGAACAGCTCGGTATTAAATCGTGCCCTGGACTTCTTGAGGCCATGTTGGTCTTGCCCAATAAGCCCAGAGCAATATCACTTTCAGATTCAATAATTCTCCTTTACACTTCAATTGACTTGTCGTGACTTGTCGGATAATCTACAATCCCTACTCCTCGATAGAAACCAAACACAAAAGCATCCAACCATGGTCACTCCTAGCAATTCCGGCCCAGGCGGCCGCTCGTCCCAGTCGGCATCGGCAGCCAGGCGCAGACCGTCGGCTGCGCGGCGCACAACTGGGATCCGTGACGCCCATGTGAAGAAGCTCAGTGCAAACCAATGCCCAATAGGCAGGATAATCGGGAGGGCCAGATGCTCTCAAGACTCGGACTGCAAATGCCACAGCCTGGAAGACAAGCTCCGCGCTGAGCTCCTGGGCCTGGCGACCCGTCCACTTGGCGAGCCAATCCGCATGACCCTGGACTCGTTTACCTTTGAGCCCGCCGACGCAGACCAGGTGGCCTTGTTCTTCAACACATACGGTCACCTCTACCACGTTCGCAAGTTCACCCTCAATGACAATGTCGTCAAACTCGACACTCCCGAGCAGATCCTCGTTGCCATCAAAAACCTTCCCTTGCTCGAGGAGATCTCCTTTGCCGGGGCCTCGCTAGGCATCTGGGCTGCTTATCCCCTGGCGGAAGCACTGCGGACCAAGACGAGGTTGCGCCGTGCTGACTTCTCCAACTGCTTCGCCGGGCGTAAAACACCCGAGATCGCCCCTGCGCTGGACGCCCTCGTCTCGGCCTTCCTCGAGCTGCCCGCCCTGGAGTCCATCGACCTCGCGGACAACGCTTTCGGCCCAGACGTCGAGTGGCCTCTTGCCCGGCTCGTGCGGAGCCACACTCCACTTCAGAAGCTCAACCTCAACAACCTCGGCCTCGGGCCCGAGAGCGGCCCCGCGATAGCCAACGCCCTGGTGACCCTTTCCAAGAACAAGGACGTCGCCGGCGCGCCGCCCCTGCGGGCCCTGCTGTTGAACCGTAACCGCTTCGTGCAGGACGACGAGGAGCCGCTCCCGGGCATGGCCGAGTTGGCGGCGGCGTTCGCGGCGCACCCGCGGCTGCGGACCGTCGACCTCGGCACCAACGGTATCCGGCGCGAGGGCATGGACCTGCTCGTTTCGGAGGGGCTGGCCCGCCTGAAGGAGATCGAGGAACTTGACCTGCAGGACAACAACATCGCGGCGCGGGGCGCCACGCACACGGCGCTCGCCGAGGCGGTCTGCGGGTGGCCCAACCTGCGGGTTTTCAACCTCAACGACAGCCTGCTGGGCTCGCGCGGCGCGGCGCTGCTGATCGACGCGCTGGCGGCCGTGCAGCCCAGCAGGTTGGAGTCGCTCAAGATGGCGGGCAACAACCTGATCAGCGCCAACACGGCGGCGCTGGCGGGGGCGTTCACGCAATTGTCGGAGCTGCGGGAGCTGGAGCTTAATATGAACAACATCCCCGAGGACGACGAGGGGTTCGCCGCGCTCGCGAGGCTGCTGCAGGAGAGGAAGGCCGAGAGGGGTATCGAGACGACGATGGACTCCCTCGATGACTTCGACCAGAGTGAGCCATCGCAGTAGTTGGGGGTCATGTCTGGCTCTGAGCTCGGGTGTCCATAGTGGCTTATCTTTTTGTTTCGTCACAGCTATTGCATTGGTTGGATTAGACCGCGGAGTTGGGGTTCCGTATGCTGGTCAAAGTTTCATTTGTAACCGCTCAGCATGATAGAAGCAAGCACAATTTGTTAGTAATCATGTACAATCGGCGTTGAACAGTCGCCACTACCGCTCCAAGTTCTCAATATCGCGTTATTCAAAAGGTAATCTTTACACGAGAAATTACCGCGAGTAAACGCCCTTGACATATATGTTATGGATCACTCAGCTGACGTTACAGAGGGCATCCTAAACTTTAGGGGTGCTCTATATTGGCCTCCAGGGCTTCCGAGATACGAAAATACAAATCGTGTGACGTGATGTGGCAGAATGTCCAGTGAATTATCAGCTCCGTGAATGTCTCACACTGCGCAATCGACGAAAGCAACTCAACGCAGTCTGGTATTCTAGCTAACGTTGTTGATCTCCTATTCCCTCTCCCCCTATTTGGCAGCGAAGATCGAAAACCCAACCTTGGTTGTACAAAGCATAGGTCACCGGGCTCAGCTGATCATTCCCTAGCTTCTCACCAGCATCTGGCTACTTGTTTAAAATTCAAATGGTGCACGAAGTCTTGCTTCAGTTGCCAGCGAAAACATATTGCTCTCCGATGCATACTCGTCAAAATGTCACGTATTTTTGAAACTTGAAATATCAAGTTCCCGTCACATCTAGAATTGCTCGTGTAAAATATCTAAGCACTTTCGTCACACATGATTGATCAGAATTCACATAACTACGTCTCCTGCAGACAACGACCTCGTTACAAACAAGGGTTCTAAATCTCGATCTACATAACCCACATATCATGCCTCCCCCAGCGCTGTAGTATCAGAATCGCCGCAAGTGAGTTACTTAGGCCAGAACGGCTGAGGTCTGCCGCCGAACTCGTGACCGCTGGCGAGCCACGCTAGTTGAGGGATCGACATCCACCGGCGAACTCTCTCATAAGCCAATAAGCCACACAGACTGGCAGAATGGGAATACTGGTACCGACGAGCTCCTAGTCACAAACCCAGGCGCGGGTTGAATCCTTCGTTTCAGGGGCATCAGCAGGCTAGCCAAGGTTCGTTCGTGCGCGATGCGCCCGACCGGCGCTGATGGTCTGTCTGTCTTCTATAGAGCATCAGCTGCCCGATCAGGCTTCAGGCTTGATGTTGCATTTTCCGTGCGCCCATGCGAGCACACAGGCATCGCGAGGACCTGTCAAGCTCGGATGTTTCGCTGTCAAGACGTCATATTCACCCCAAGAAAGTAGGTCGACTGAGTCCATGTTGTTTCATCTCATCTCGCCCACAAGACCAATCCTGCTTTTCGTCTGATTTCAGCTCATCACGACCAAGGTTGGCACCAAGGTGATAGTATGCGCATACGAAGCACCAACTGCGAGGCCTCATTCACCCGTAGCTTCAGCCATCATGCCAAGCCGAGCATGATCAATGCCCGATCCACGAGGAAAGTTTGGTCTTCCCCAACACACGGCACTGTGAATGGCTCGTCGCCCGCCGTGGCTTGGCTTGGATCCTTGTCTGGGCTTGCTACGGACCCAGCGCCGGTTGTCAATAGGTCCGATGCGGTGGCAAGTTATCTCAAAGGTTTAGGTGTCCATTCATACGCGTTAGTTCTAGGGGCCTAAGCTTCCTTACTAATTATAATGGCTAATATGGCAGTGCGGAATAAACGCATTACATTTTTTAATTAATTATTTATGTTTAATTTTTGTTGAATTTCTTAATAAGGAAATTATAATTTATAATAAATTAATTAATAAGAACTTTTAATTATAAAAATATCCTTATTAAGGCTTACTTAAGTTTAAAAAAATTCATAAAGAAGGAACTTAACTTATTTAAGTTTAAAAGGCGTTAAATTATTAATAATTTTTAAGTTCTTATATAATTTATAATTTAATTATAAATCTCTTACCCTGTTATGGGTTGGCCTTAAGCGTCTGCTGAAAGGTACTTAAAAGGAGTTATAAATTGCGATATCTAAGAAGTAAGTTGGGCCCTTTCAGGGCCCAACTTTAGATCTATCTTTTAAGTATGTGCCCTATCACGTGAGAGGGTTGGGTGCAGTGTGGGCCCGGCACAGGCATGCATTACGGCTTGGGCAATAGCCCAAGCTCATCACATACCCTTAAAATCCCTACCTTTAATTCCGCTACACTTAGGTAATCACTTATAAATATGGAATCAACCCCAAAATTAATAAGGGCACACAGGAGGTCTGTGATTCAGAGATAAGTGGCAGGCACTTACTGACTCAAGCGTATGACGATCTTCAGCTCTTTGTCCTGGAGGAGCCCAAGTGCGGTTATTCTGCGGGCCGCCGACCTGATTCGGCGAGCACACAGACGGTGGGAATTCCGTCCTAGAGAGCTAGGGCGCCAGGCTGGCAGACTGGGGGACACAGATGTGGCTTGCGCCGGGGTTGTTGGACAGTGCTGCGTCCCAAAGCCTGGGTTGCGCATGGATGCCGTTGCCTGTCAGGAGTTCCCAACTCTTTCGTCCGCTGGTAGCGAAGAGGGAGATCAACACTGGAGGAAGAGTGCTCGGACTTCAGGAGATGCTTCAGACCAGGGGACAAACCAACGACAGCTCTAATGCCATCCGACAGCCTGCCGCTGGGCTCCTCCACGCGTGTCGCAACTCTCACTGACTTGGGATGGAATTAATAAGTCCACCCAAGTCCGCCGCTATAAATCGATCGACAGGGTCAATCAATCTTCAGATTTGGCTGCTACGCTGTTTACGCGTGCGGCTTCCCTCTAGTTTATTACCCGGGAGATGATTCCGTCGAATTGGCGCGACAGCGAGCCGGGTCCCCCCCTTCGACGAGAGTAGGATGCGGATTTTCCGGAGCCGAATATCACCCGCGTGGCTGCTGTCATTGGTCGCATCTGGGCTTGAGACCATCACAGCAGGTTGATCTCAGCTGCTCGAGAACATTGGTCTTGCACATCGAGTTCCAAGGGGTTAGTCCCGAATAGCTGGATTGGCAGGTAAACCTTGTCGCTTATTCGTGAGAGCCGCGCTGGGCCAAGATTCTGTCAACACACATCACAACATTGGCACTCGGATCGCTGCCTCAGGGGAATGGAACTTGCCAAACACACGAGTCATCGTCATGATTGCTGTGTAGTAATATTCGGTTAGTGGCTGGCGGGCATGGATATACCAAGAAACTGCCAGACGCGCCGGGACCCCCTCGGATGCACGCCGCTGCACCCGGACGGCCGCGGCTCGACATGGTTGGGCTTCCTTCCTTGAATGTGCCCATTCACACCACGCTAACCTGGTGCTTGCAATCGTGGCCCCGACCATGGGAATACCACCCTGTGGTTATTACTGCAACGGGCAGCGTTTGGTGAGTTGCCAGCAAGCAAGCAGCGCCACGGAAAACGTGACATCCGGCATACGTGGACGGCATGCATCGGGGTGCTACGGTGGCCCCACAACCGAACCGCACGCACGCACGCTCGCTCAGCCAGGGCGAGGAGGGGAGTTCGTCTCAAATCCCGACATGCGGCATGATCGATGTACAGTATGTTGTTGTCGGCTGTGTCGCCGGATGTGCACCAGAAAGAGACATTCCCGCGGAGCATTCCTGACCTGCTTCGGCCCCTGGGGGCCCGCTTGGCCTGCAGCACTTGCAGCACGTGAACAGGAGGGGGCAAGGTCGCACATGTCATGAACGCCTCTCGCAGCTGGGTATGTTGTTCGGAGACAGCCACTTCAAGACCGATATGAAACCCCAGAGGCCCACCACACTTAGGTACAGCAGCCAGATTAGTCGAAGCGAGCGCCGAGGATTGTAATGTGTCGGTGGCGCAGACGGGCTGCAGTTGGCAATGGTCAAACAAACCCCTCCCCTTCCGACCCACACAAGGAACGCCACCGAGCGGGCAGCTTTTCACGCATCCAATGGGAGGATGGCACTTGACACACAAGGCGGCCGAAAAAAGAAGGTATCGAGTGGCACAGCCAGGTTTGAGAAGAGATCGCGTTGAGGTGGTTGGCGATGGTGGTTGTCGCCAAATGTCTGAGCGTGGTTTCAGGGTTGTTGACAATATACAACCAAGGGTCGATCTCATCTCAACCCCAGATGGACAGCATACAGTGTAGGCTGGGATTTAAATCAGAAGGCATGGGTATATCAGCCTAATGGTTTTAATCCACCGCGAACGATATCACGGGTCTCTTCCAGACAGGTGGACATCCAGAACGGACAAGCCTTCGAGTCTGGTTTCAGGTTCATCTCGTCTGGATCCCGAAAGGCCAAGGCACCTGGGTCTGGCAGATCCCAGTAGCACTAGGCAACGAGAGGGCCTATTCAGACGTTTCATCGGAATGTGGCTCGGGTAGTTAGGATGGCGACTGGGCGAGTGCAAATCAGTGCCTCGCTACGTACGGCCCAGGGACAAGACCATATTATCCGCTGTGCCGCTGCGGGCGGAGGGGGGGTTCTCTTGTCCCAACACCGGGTACCATTACCGAGGCTCAACCGACTCGAGGTAGGGTGGCACAAACCCCCAGGGTTTGCTCTACTGCTGTCATCATCTAGCATTGGTAATTCAACCAGTCGCAACATGACGGCCTCTGCAATCTCCTATACTATGTGGTCGGTGCACAGGAGTGCGAGGGGGTTCCAATCTGGCCCAAGCACCTCGGCCGCCGGCGGGCACTGGCGATCGGGGCGGGCATCCTGGAGAAGATCATATAAGATCCTGGGTCACCTGTCAGCGATTCCCTGACTCGGAGCGGGCCAGGGCACGGGCTCTCTGCGACCTCAACGGTCTCTAGCGCTTCCGGGGTGTTCGCCAAGTGTGCCGAGGGTGCACGGGGGGGGAGGGCGGTTTAGGGAGCAGTGCTCAATTGCATCCTATTGTTGCCTCATGGTCAAGATGGCCCTGACAAGACCAAGACGGCCTTCTCCATGTGGCCAGCAGAACGTGACCTTGAACCGTTACTTAGTGGTAGCTGCGTAGTCTGTGACGCGAAATAGTATGTGAATTAATATTCGGGCAGGTATTGTTCCGAGTGGCATGCCAAATCGACGTTAACAGGCACTAGTGTAGCTGGCCGATCTGGTCCCCTTTCAGATCGCGAACTAGTTAGTCTAGCTGTGTGGTACGACTCAGACACCCTACGCCGACTTCTCAACTAGGCAGTTAGGGTCGCCCTCCTACCAGCCGGAAACCTGAATTGCAAGACTCGAGCTGCTGGTGCCGACACTGATACCGGATAAACAGCCGTCAGTCTCAAACGCCAAAGCCACCCGTGTCTCTCGACTCTAACACGGCCGAAAAAGGGCATTGTGGGGTTGTGACAGGGTCCTTGGCGATTTTACGATCGGAGCAGAGATACCGGATAACGAGTCGTAAACCGAGGGACAACCATGGAACGCCTCTAGATGTACAAGTAGTAGTCTACGGTGGCAGTCTACCCGTGCAACGCCGTACAACGGTCCAAGTTGAGGGCATTGACGAGTCTTTTATGTGTTTATTCCCGATTCACAGCCGCTATTGAATAGTGACAGCGACAATGACACCGTAGATCACCACGGTGACACTCGTGTGACTTTGACGAGGCTATAAAGCCGATTTGCTTCCGGATGATGTCCATGAAACCCCCCGCAGTAGCCGTCCGCTGGGAAAAGCTTGGGGGTGGGAAGGGGGGACAGATGGGCAGATGGGCAGATGGGAAAGCCACCTCCGTCAAGGGAACGTGTGGGCCCTGCTTATTCTTGCACGCACCGTCCAATTAACACCCGCCGGGGAAGAGACCGGAGCTGGGATCCGGGCACCTGAGTCAAGAGGCCGGGCTGCAGTCCCCGTAAATTGTAATTGCACCGAGGTCGAGTGGGCACTGATGATATCAGCTCAAACTCTATTTCGCCCATCAATCAGCACCCGCGATCGAAGGATAAGGTTCCTGTTAGTGAACTGTGCACCGTGCTATCATACTTGAAGTGGGAAAGACTAGCTGACTGGGAGGGAGGGCATCGACATGCACATGATTCTTAACGGCCTACATATTGTAAACATCTTGTATGGACTGCCCAGATGCTAGACCCTGAATTATACCTGCTGGGTGGCTTTCTCCACGTGCATGCAGCAGCAGCTGCACACACGGAGTCACACGTGGGCTGGGCGGCCTGCGCAATCAGGATGAACTTCCAAGAATCTGGTGACGGAATAGTGGCGAGACAAAGGGATACGGAAAAGGTGTGCGCAGCCGGTGTCACTGTGCTGTCGTGCCACCTCGGTCAATCAAGGCCGTATATGCAGAGCAATGCTGCCATTTCTTTTTTCTTTGCCAACTTCCAAGATGAGACCATCTGCCTGGAACCGAAAACTGGTACCCGCCCCTGAAAACACGGGCTGTGATACCGCATGTATGAGGCTCGCCGTGGGTCTTGCCGGAGGAAGGGACTCGCTTGTGGAATGCTGCAGGAAATAGTGCGGCAGGAGACGAGCTGCTGCCGCGGGCATTCTGGGAGCCCAGACACGCATGGGCTCTCTCTCTCACATTCCAACACAGGGGTCTCCTCTTCTGCCCATGCAAGACTCTGCAAGCCATGCAACAGCAGCACATGCAAGATGCCAGTTCGCTCGAGGCGTTGGCCCTGTGGCTGTCCCGGAATCGGCTGGGTGCAGTTTCGCCGCACTAACAGCTCTCTTTCGACAGCGACGTTCCCGGCTCCCAAGATCTAGCATCGCGCATCATCAATTTAGTAGTGTGCTCGGACATTATAATCGTGTTACATTGGGCGGGCCAGCGTCCTGCTTGGGTTGGCGCGAACTGAGCTAGTCCAAGATGGTGGGTGGTATTGGGGTCAACACTCTCGCCATGCGCGCTCATTGGAATTCTCTTGCGTGTTAATGCTGGGACAAAGGAGCAGAACGCAAAGGCTTGGTGTATTAAATCGAGACCCCTGGCCACAACCGGTTCCTGAGATACCCGCGTGGTTATTATTATTGGCATTCTGTCTCTTGTGAAAGACTAAAATATCCGCCCTTCCTCCCCATCACACGCCCCAACACACTCGTCGATACGTCTCCTCAGCCACGGCCTGAGAGACTGATACTCGTTGAGGGCCCCTACTCGGGCCGCCGTCACCATGTCGCTCAACGCTCCCGACCATTCTCTCGATCATGAGTCGTCGTCGGAGCTGATGATCGGGCTGTCGGCGACTCTGGGCTTCATCACCACTGTTGTTGTCATATTACGGATGTACACGAGACTCGTACAGCTTCGAAATGCCGGCCTCGATGATCTCATGATAGTTGTCACGCAGGTACGAATTTTTGTTTCGGCGTTGATCTCGACGGGAAATCAATTAGCTGACAATTATCAAGATTCTTGCGATTGGGTTGAATATCTCAACATGTTTAGGTCCGTCAACTCCACGGTTTACATACAAACCATCCTATATGCGCGTGGCTGACGGGTTTTTCAGAGGGGCACTACGGAACGGGGAGGCACTGGTGGCTCGCCAGCCCGGACGACCTGATGAGCCAGCTGAAATCGCTCTTCGCCGCCATCCAGCTCTACATCTGGTCCCTCTGCTGCGTCAAGATCAGCCTGCTCCTCCAGTACAGGCGCATCTTCATGGCCGCCTGGCTCCAGCGGGTGTCGATCATCATCATCTGCTTCTCCGTCTCGTGGAACGTCGCGCAGTCCATCCTCGTGTCGTTCGCCTGCAGCCCGGCGAGCGTCTTCATCCCGAGCCTCGCGCCGCACTGCCTCGACAGCCTGACGATCTGGTATATCGCGGCGGGGATCAACATCACCACCGACTTCATCGTCTTCCTCCTGCCGATACCACTCATCAATTCATTGCAGCTTCCCATTCGTCAGAGGGTCCTGTTGACCATGGTGTTCTGTCTGGGATTTTTGTAAGTCTTCTTCTTGGATCCTTGTCATATACACTTCCCGAAAGCCAAATCCTGCGAAGGGATCAAAGCTTTGAAGAATCTGGGGAGTTAGGCCCCAGCGTAAATGGCCCTCGAGCACACCCTCCCCCATTATGGTTTCCATACGGCAGCTGTATGGGACTCGCAGGGTCTCAGCCAAGCTTCATGTCACCCCATCCCACAGGCAGGCAGTCATCCTGTGTCATCGCTGTCTTCTAGGTTTTTCTGACATGTCTCCCACAACAGCACGTGCATAATCTCGGTTGTCCGCGCCACAAAGCTTGAGGCCGTGGTCAACGCGGGCGACCCCTCCTACTACGGCGCCCCAGGGGCCATCTGGTCCATGGTGGAGCTCAACTGCGCCATCCTGTGCGCGTGCCTGCCGACCGTCAGGCACCTGATCGGCTCATGGATACCCTGCCTGGGCCTGCGCACAGTCAGGGACACCTCAGGGTACTACGCCAAGTCGACCCCGAGCCGGCGGCGTCTCAGCGTCTTTGCGCTGCGGTCCAAGAAGAGCGGCAAGCTGCAGGTGCCCGGGGGCGGCTACCACAAGGGCTCCAAGGGCAGCGGGGCCTCCGAGGCGGCAATCACGGGGAGCAGCGGCAAGCGCGACCACGGCAACATCGAGCTGGACACGACGTGGGCCAACGACCTCGAGAACGACGGCGCGCTGTACCACAGTAACAACATCTCGGCCTGGGTGAGCGCCCAGGAGCCAAAGTCGCCCATCAGGGCAAAGGTCAGGTACAGCGACGACAAGAGGGACAGGAGCGGGAGCGAGTCGCGGCTGATAGGCTCCGGGGTGTCCAACGAGCAGCTCCGGACGAACATCTTGGTCACCCGGGATGTGACGGTGGAGGAGGGTCGGACGACGACGCCGACGCCCAGCCCGCGCTCGCGGTCTTTCACTGGTATAGCGTTATGATTGTGACGGCTTGTGTAGATAGATTTATGGCACGCCAGATGGTCCGTCTCAGAGACGTGTTTATTATAATTATCATCAATTCAAATACCCAGTAGCGTTCGCGTCTTGCTCACTTCAAGCTGCTCCCACTGCGCCCCAAACGGGCATCGCGTGATTTCTAACCCGAAAACGAGGGAGACAAAGAAAGGACCTTAGCGAAGTGACTCGGTCTATCCCTGATGTGAAGGCTAAGTCTTCCGTTACCACCCTGCAAAAGATATCTTAATGGCCGGAACATAGTCACATGCATCCAAGTATCATTCTTGGCGGAAGCCAACTCCATTGGCCCTCTCCCGTCATCAGGCTTGAAAAGCAGGGCCCGATGGCCGCCAGAGCTTGCAGAGGGTGTGTGGCCTGTCCGCAGGGAGACGTTCGGGATCTTCAGGCCCCCCAGGATTGTGAGCACGTCCCGGATTGTGGACTGATGGCGGATTGGATCGCACCCTCCAAGAGTAACTACCGATATGCGAACTCTAATCAACCCAGAAGTAGACGCCGCCTCACTTTTTTTTTCCCCTTGACTTCTGTTCTCGGTCAACATGGCAGTCATTTCCGACCCAAGGTTGTGGGAATTACATGTGCATGATAACAAATATATTCAATGATACTAATTGTTGCTACCTTGCTCCTCTTGTCTTTGCTCCCAATCCGAATGTCTGCGCATGCGCCCCTTGGCGGCTGTCCCAAGGCATCAGCCACCCCAGAGCTCGCTCACTCTACGGGCCAAACAAGTCGATGACTTGGGTGAGGCTTCTGTCCAAAGCCTCCTGCTGCGACATGGCGTCGTCAACCCGAGTGGGCATCAAAACAGTGACGCTGAGGGCAAACGTATCAATGGCGGTCTTGTCAGCCAAGAAGCAGATGGCCGTAAATTTGCAGCACGGAAAGGGTGCCACGATGTCGTGGTTGCCAACCACACTTGCAATGAACTGTCCATGGACTTGGGTGAACTGTGTGGGTTTTGCATCACACGCATGATACGCATCTACACGCCGGTGGAGGAGCATGATCCGCACCTCTCCGCCCGAGGACGAGCAACACGGCCGGCGAAGGGAGGGAGAGGATCTGTGCTTTCTCCAGTGAATTCGGACGGGAGCACTTTTCATTCGCCCAAACCTCCCCGTGGAAGCCGACCAGTTTCCCATCTCTTAGATAACCTCAGCCGTGTCGCAGGGTGTGGCGTTCCGGACTGCAAATTGTCTTCGACATTGATACAGTACGTAGAGAACTCACAAGTCACCACTCCACGCGGGGCCTTTCCCAGGCAGACTGATCGTTTGATAGCAGATCGACCGCACTCGCACACTGTGAACAAGTCTTTCGTGAAGGTTGTAATCGAGACAAGAGTTTATTATTTTGTTTCATTGACCACAAAATGAGCATGAAAATGCAAAATGACAGGACCGAGAGCACCATCTCACTCAGATTTAAACGTCGAACGACAGCGCAAGCAACACTCCTGCTTTGAATAGATTAGACCTAATCCTTGAATACGGCCTGGTAAGAGGGATGACTCAGTGCGTGTGTCTGTGTGTGTGTGTGTGAAGGGATCTGAACAGACGGAGGCGAAGGGGTTGTTTGCCATGTGTTGCCGAAGATGGATCATTGAAGGTACTCGTGCAAGGCACAAATTTGATTCCACTCAAGTATTCCGTAGCCGACGCCACTGATCATGGACATTGCCTGAACATCATCCAGACATTCCACAGACAAAACATATTGCCTTGGACCAGCCATCAGTGAAACTCGTCACTACAGAAGCAGCTACCCAAGGAGCACCAGAGATACGCTCGAGGCTAGCACTCACATTTGGGACCTTCCTGTTGCTGTGCTGTTACACCTTCGCAGGGTTACCAATCCGCCGTTCTTAAGCCTATGTCCATGCCGATCTGGTTGCGCACGCAAAAGCTCGTCGTCCTGCTCAGTATTTCACTGCTAATGATTGGGCGACCGCTGCAGTGCCCCTGACCACCTTTGCAAGACCGGCCGCATTTGCAAACTCAACGGCAGACGACCCGCCGGGCCATCCGACTGTCTATTTGAAACTGCTGTGTGTGGAAAACAAAACGTTTACCCCCCCCCCCCGCGATCACTTTTAAAAATACACTTTATCTCAATCAATAAATTTCGAGATTTAATAAAGATTTTAGTTTTGGAATTTCCTCTTCTTAAGCTTGAATTCAACATCTTTTTTTCTTTTTTAAAATCTAGTTTTGAGAAAGTTGGTACTTTTTAAGAGGTAAATTTAACGTGGAGGGGAGAGCGACTGAGACGGTAACTGTTGGGGGATGACTAAGCACTCCCCTCTCTTCTAATACACCACACCTTCCGTAGCCCGCCTAGCATTAGCTTCTCTCTCACACACACACACACACACACACACACTGTGCGAGATACTTCAATTGAATTGGCTGTCAGCAACCCCATTTGGTGCCCAGATCTGGTTCTAGAAGCCCTCGTGTACCTCGTTACAGAAACAGGGGGGGGGGGTAAACGTTTTGTTTTCCACACACAGTGGCTAAGGCATTGATAAGAGATAAGAACTCCACACTTAGGCGCCGACCACATCGCGCTTACCACATCGCGCTTACCACATCGCGCCGCCCTCTACCTCAACTCTCACCTTCATGAAACACTAAACAAGCGAGAATTTCTCATCCAACAGATCGCCCCCACCTGATTGATCGATGGCGATGAAGCAGATGCATCGATGTGACCACCAAGTTGACCCAAGTGATCTAAGCGCGCGTCTGCGTACACCCCGGAAGAATCGCACCACCTGAAACTGCTACGCCGCACTCTGGCTGCAGCTATGAGCCGGGTGGAGAGTGAAGAGCTTCGTAGAAAGCGAAGCGCCCCCCATTCACGAGATATAAGCTCTCAAGATGACCACCAAGAGGAAGAGTCAAGGCTCGCCAGGGCCAGAACCAGCCACGAAGTCTCGACGGATAGAGTCGAACACAGGTACGTGTCTCCATGGTGGCTATTGATATTCGATCTGACGCGTTTCTCACAGCTTCTTTGCAAACCAGCTTGCCCTCTCAGACACATTTGGAGGACTCGAATTTGTGCCAAGTGATTCCTGAAGCTCAGGTTCATGACCCTGAAGATTATTTCGAAGACGCAGCCTTTGAAGACCACGACGCTGAAGGGTTGGTCGCCGAGTCTGTTCATACACCGCAGCGATTCCCTTTGACAGAAAAGAATCTACATCGTCTAGCAATGTCAACAAACTCCAAAGGACCGAAAACTGCGAGTGTTCAGAGTCTGAGGTCCGGCAGCTCGGCTGACACCTCCAGGAGTATTTCCACGACCAGCGAAGGATTCGAGAACAGAGCCCTCGATAATGGTGTTCTCGACGCCGTAAGATCCGGAAAACAGGCGGTGGTGGACTCGGATGCCAAGAAGAAATTACTTGCTTCCCGGGGATCTGCATCGCCGACTCAGTCACAATACAACAAATTTGCGGACCGGATCGTCGAAGCGTCAAACGAGCAGGGCACCATCGCTGTCTACTCGAAATACATATTTCAAGACACCGAGGACACCCATTTCGACATTGGCTATCGAAGAAAGGAGGATAAGATGTGGATCGAATTCCCCAAGAACGTCGGTTTCAACAATGGTCTGTCAGCTCCTAAGCCTGACATGATCGAAGGTTTCTCAAGGGACACGTTCCCCCCAACAATCGAACACATTAAAGCATCAAGACTAGTCAAGGACGAGCCCAGATATGTCGCATTGCCTCACGTGGCCGTAGAGTACAAGGCACGCGAGAAAAGCTTGCACAAGGCTAAGGTCCAAGCAGGTTACGACGGTGCCGCTATGGTCTACGGGAGGAATGAGGCTCTGAAGTACATTGGGAAAGCAGATCCCCCACGACAACCTGCGGTACTGACTGCCACGACTATTGGCCAGGAATGGAACGTTTACGGTCACTACGCTCATCCTAATGATTCTACCGGCAAGGAAGAATACTATCAATGTCGCATGGCTGGTGGGTCGATGGAAAACCTGAGCGAGTATAAGCAAGGCCGCAAGGTCCTGAGGAACATGCAGGACTTCGCCCGCGAACAAGCTTCGGACCTGCGAGATAGCATGCAAAATGACTACGATGAGCACGGTTCCCGTCAGCTCGGCCAGCGGGCTGGCAAAAAGACGGGCAGCAATTCTCTCGCCTCCATATCACCATCCGTTGGGTCTGATGGGAACGGCCAACCACGCCCGCAAGGCCAAGTGACGCCTAAGTCAGCTTCCAATAATGGTTGCTCTACATCCGGTCCACGAGACCTACATCCGGTCCACGAGACTCACACTCCAGGCAACGCGGTCAATCTGCTTCTGAAGTCTCTCGCCAGCAAGCTCCAAGGGAGTCTGAAAATGTGCCAGCTAAGACAAAATCAGACTCGTCGCCACTTCCACCCAAGCAGATGATGCCGCCACCAACCCCTCATGTCCAGCCACACAGGCCATCGACTACCGTTCCTGCGGCCCCTCAGAAGCCCCCAATACACATCAGAATAGCCCTGTGCGGGCCGCCCCGTCGAACTCCATCTGGACTTGGTGGCGGAGCCCAGTTGCCGCCGGCCCAGCCCAAGTCTAATATCCCACGGACAACGACGGTGAAACCACTGGATGGACGACCCTTGCCTTCTGGCTCTTCCTCGTCCACGTCCTCGGGGAGATCGAGCGGGTCAACACACTCCGCGTCGTCCACTGACGCCCGCCGTCACCGGATCCGAGACGAAGAAGAACAGAAGGACTTGCCCAGGAGGCGATCGGACAGCCCTGACAAGAATAGGCCGCCACGGTCGCAGGGTGGCAGGCCTGGAGAACCACAGAAAAGGAGCTCGGTGTTTGGTAGATTTGGTATGGGAAAGAGGAAAGATGGGCGTCTCGGCAATGACTGATATTCAATTTCAAATAATGCATCATCTAATAAGACAGAACTGAACATAAATCCACTGCAGTTGGTAATCAAATAGTCGCGCAAGTGGTGTTGTTGTCACCGGAGAGGAGCGATCCCTGGGACTTGAACTTAGAATACGGAGAGCGATAATTCAAGAACTGAAACAACACGAACAGGCCAAAGCCCAAGAATTTATTATGGGCCGGCGTCTGTGATAAACCATCAAAACAGCCTGTGCATGAGACAGAATGTTCTTTCTAGAACGCATGTAACAGCTGGTAACATTGAGTAATGATGTGGCTTTGATCGTGTGTGGGATGCATTTCATCGATATCCCCCAGACAGTGTGGACCTCACTCGTGGATATTCATGTGATTCTCTCCAATTGTGAGACGGTCTTCGGAGATGATTATATTGCAAACCAGATATCGGAATTGAAAAGAAACCACTCGCGGCTCGAATACTCGCCCGTGCCATTACGTCTCCCGTTACAGCAGCGTACCTACCAGCACCAATATGACTACCACTTGCCACCAATCTCTCACCCAAGAAATCAAGAAAGTTGACAATTCCCAGGGAAGCATCGTTGTGACGACCAAGACGAGAATTATATGCCTCCAAGTCAGGGCCCGAGGGATTGCCCACTCCCGATGAGCCTTTCCCACCGCGGCTGTGGTGGTTTGTTTTGTGGCTACAACGTTGACCTCTGCGATGCTCGAATTCTCATCCTGCTCCGGACTAAACGCAACAACCGGGTCGTCCGTAGGTGTATCATCCTCTAGGCGAGTAGAGTTTCCTACACGGCTTTCTTTGGCAGCCTCCTCATCTATTGCAATATTTTCTCGCTCACTCTCAAAGTAACCATGACTGATGCCAGGATCCTTTTTGCGTCCCGATCCGAAGACGACCGCACCGTCTATCCAGTCTTTCCATGATGGCAGCACCGGCAGCATGTCGCTCGTGCGTTTCTTGTCAATGACCTGTGGTTGCTTGGCGCACTGGGACGGATTCTGCATACAGCCGACGCAAGCTTCGAAAATGGAAGCGTCTTTGAACTTCCACACCTGCTTGTCAAAGAGCGTGCAGACGTCCTTTCCTGTACCACATTGCTTCGACAAACTCTCAAGGCATCTGATGCTTGCAGCTAGATAATTCTGCTTGAGGCCGCCAGGTAAAGGATACCAGTGTCCACAAACAATACCAGGTTGAGCAGGCTTGAAGACTTCTCCGATGTCCTGGCCGAGAAACAGCGGTATCTTGCCGGTCAGACCCAACCAGTTCGGTTTGGGAGCTCTCCGAAACAAATGAAACTCGGATCGTACGTTGCGCCTTCTGCTATGGCCAGTGGAGAACTCGGGTATGAGCTCCAACCAGTCCCAGCCGGTGATCGGGGTCCGGCCAATTGGAACTGTCCCAGGAGCCCCCTCATCACACTATGCATTCTTGAGCCAACGGGCTTCGACAGCCATGTTGATCCGCTTGATCATGGCTCCGACGTTCATTTCAGTCTCACCTTCATGGCCCGATTTGATCACAACTTGATCGGCGTATTCGCGGTTAGACAGGACTGCCTTCGCCATCTCGCCCCCGTCTGGACCAGGTTCGGCATATCGCACCCGCTCGGCTACCTCCTTATCTGCATCTCTTTGGCAGAAAACCCAGAAATTGAAGAGGTCAAGGACCAACGACAGCTGTGGGACCATCCATGCCCGCTCCATTCCTGGCTTAGTGTCGAACAATATCACCGGCTGTGCAGCGGCCCGTTTCAGTACCTCGGAATACATGTCTTCGTCTTCTTTCTTTCTCGCATCGATGAGTCCTTTCCGGTACTTGAAAGTGAACGTAGAGGTCACCGCGAGGCGGCCCCAAAAGTTGCCGGCAACGGATATGCCCCCCAACGAAACTTCTGGCCGCCCACGTTCGGGCCTTGCCCCTGAACGACGATACTCCTCGTATTGTTTCAGCCGTAATTTCGTGCCTAGTTGGATGTTTGTTTGCTGACAGTAGCCGAGAATAGCTGTTGCACTGGCCATAGTCTCCAAGTCGACTTTCCTAAGCAAGCTGTGGGGTCCTTCCTGTCCAGGGGCAAGGCCGGGATCGGATGTTTGGTCGGTGCTTCTTTTGACGAGGTGCCACTGAACTGTGTGTTCTTCACTACTGTACCTGGTCGGGTAAAGCGTCCAACGATCACCATCGAAGTACACACCATTATCATTTCCTGCCTCATCTTCGAGTGTTGTGTCTGATAGCATCTCTGAAAGCTCAAACATAGTCTGAACTGGAATGCGAAGTCCGAAGAATCCCGGGCAGGACGGAGCAGGGAAGCCGTAAGCCATAATTGTGCTTGGGAACAGTGATTTCCAACATGTACCTTGCTCACGGTCATCTAGACTCCATAGTTCTGACAACCTCAGCGAATACCTTAAGTCACCAGGGAGTTCTGCGAATGTGACAGTTGAACAAGAAAGCTCACGCGCTTTCGGTGGTCGAAATGTGGCAGCCATCCACGCAAAGAACTGCACCCCAATCGAGATCTCCGACAAGGTCCCCTCGAATGTAAGTGTCGCAGGAAATTCATGCTCTTCATCGATGTGAGGGACACTGAGTCTCCAATTTGGAACGGCCGGGTCTAAGGGAAACAATTTGAGTTATGAGGCTTTGCGAATCTGGGAAACATCATATCCTCCAGACTTGACACCAAAACGCTTGCGTAGACGCGGTTAAGACTTCCAAGAGCAGCACAGGCCCGCAAGCAAGCCCGAAACATGCCATTGCCAATGAGAAATATTGAGAATATTGTCAGAGAAAAGGGGGTTCACAAACCGGAGACAGTGGTAGCTTCTTCCAGCCTGACGACTTTCTGCAGAACTGACTCCAAGCTTCCAAGCAGTGTTAAACCGAACTCTGCCCACCTTTCAGAAAGGTACTTTTGACAGGACGTGGCCCAGGAGTGGTCGGCATTTCCCGTAATAGTCAATGTCGAGCTGAGGTCCGTACTGTCGTCGAGCTCGGTCTGCAGACAACGCCGCAGCCCCCAGAAAATCCCAATAGTAACTTGCTTCCTTGTTGGATTCTCACCATCATCTCCTAAGGTGATCTTGCTGATCGGGTCATCGATTTCTTGCAATATGGATGGTCCAGCACGAGGGGGCAAATCCGAGTCCACTTTATTCACGGCAGGCTGTGAAGTCCTTGGAATGGACTGGGTTTCCTTCACCCGGAGGGATGTCCGTAGCGAAGGAAATAGTGATCTCGCATTTGGGACCCGGGAGCGCTGAGCCTTAGCCAACCTTAAAGCAATATGACTGTTCACATTGCCAAATACTGCGGACGGCGTCTCCAAGTGGGTATGAAACCTTGGGACAGCTTGGGTCATATACCGAGGAGAATTCTCGGCCTTATGATGTAGATCCTGGAGAACCTCGACTACTTTTCCGGAGCGATACCGCGAAACTGGGGTTGTTGAGGGGCCGGTTTTCCAAAACTGGGGTTTCGACCCGCAGCATGCCATGTTGAACCAGGTCAAGAAGATCGTGTGTGTACTGAGAACAACGCTCATGGCTGTGCAGCTTCTATCCACTAGAGAAAACAGTCAGTCTTATGCAGCATGACAGCGGCTTATGGGCATCCTTCTCTACACATACCGATGTGACTTGCTTCTTAACCTCAAATTGGAATGCACCAGACTCGGGTTTCGTTTCTGTCGATGACCCTTTAGTGGCTTCTTCATTTGCCACTTTGGAGTCTGCCCTTTGCAAGATGTCGAAAAAGGTGTCCATGTTGAAGCCCATCATACTGGGGGCAACCCGCGCCAGTGAGAAGCTTTCCACCAGCTTGCAGCCTCCCAGCATCCAAGTGGTCATTTCCAAGAAGAGACACCCCAGTGACCATATATCGGATGACCGGGATATGTAGCCATTCTCAATGTCACTCTCAGGCGGCCGATAGGTGGGTGTGAAGGAGACAGCCTCGTTTCGCATCCATGACCGGCTGTTCTTGGTGTTCATAGACGACAAACCCAGATCGCTGATGACAAGAATCCCCCTGGAATCTTTGATAGATTTGAACCACAGGATATTCTCAGGCTTAATGTCGCCGTGCCTAGCGTATCGCCTGGTTGAGCCATTTTCCTCGGGCGGATTGTGTATGAGGTTTAGCGCAGTCGCTAAGCCTAGAACCTGTGACGAGAGCCAGAGGATATCATCGGCAGTGGAGGGCGCTTCGTGATTTTCCCAATATGAGAAGAGGTCGCATTCTGCCCATGGCAAAATGAGGTGGTCGGTTTCCCGATGGGTGAAGGTGGCCAGGAGAGTCACCAAGTGTGGATGCACATGCCCGTTGAAGCGCTTCAACATGTCCACCTCTAACTCGAACTCGTCATCATCCATTGAACCCCGAGGGAAAGATTTAACAGCGAATGTCTGGCATGAAATGGGTATCTGCATAAGCCATCAAGTCAGCGCACATTTGAGTCTCGTTTTAATTTGTAGGCCTTGGCCCCGACCACCGAATCGCAAAGTGTCTTGGATGACCATAGAACCGGGCTAAAAGTGTCTTGTAAGGTCTTGAAAAGGTAATAGCCTTGCAGGCTATCCTGAAATGTGCAGATCGAAGTATATTTGTTCCGAAGGGGGTCAGGTGGTGATATTTTCCCAACAATAAAATCGGGGGTTCTGGGTGTGAGCTTCTACGCAGATGCAGTAGGGGGCAGTATCCTATGGGAGGCTACTGTAGCAATTACCCATCACATGATATGTTTCAAAATTCTTGTCCGCGGCTCGTTGATCACAGGACTTTCGGATGAAGACTGTTGAAAGCATGTTGACTTCGGGATTTAGTGAATGTTGGCCATACTTACAGTGCTGCTTAGCTCTTGAAAGTTGTGGGAGCCCGCTTCTATACAAACTTGTCGCACGCGTCCATACGCGGCTCCAGAAAAAGACCGCACACGTCCTTTACTATTAGTGACCGCATTTTCCACCGAAAGCCAAGGCAACACTGTTCTGGGTGGGAGGTCGTAATGCACAACCTTTCCGGGGTGATAGTCGAAAAAGGGGGCATTGACCTCGAATTGATATCGATTGAATGAGTAGAGCTGAAGAATGTTCCAACGGCGGAAACACTCGTCGGTTCTGCGTAACTCCAGAGGAAGATCGCCATCATGGATACCTTCGTCGATGAATTGTTTGATGCTTCGCACCTTCTCCATGAGAATCAGGATCGCCAAAACTTTTAGACAGCGCTTTGGTTCTGACGACGGCTTGCAAGGATTCACGCTATTGGGAATGTCTTCAATCTTTCCATAGACCGGTCCGACGCGATCCACGTAAGACTCGAGTTCGTCTTCGTTCTTGAAGATATTTTTGCAGCTCCGCAGTTCCTGCATGACTCGATCCCTTGTGAGGACTTTGCACAAGGTATCGAACGACCAGAATGACACGAAGTCCAGATTTTCGCTCCTGGAAACCAATAAAAGATCAGCGAGATCTGTGTATGTGCCATCAGACGAAGTACCGTCCGAGGCCTCGTCCCAGTTCAGGGAGGTCGGGTTCTCCATGACGAAGCTGTGGGCGCAAGGCTTGGATGTTGGGAATGGGGCTGGGTGCAGAACTGCACCGAGGGCAGCAAGAACATTTTAAAGGACTTGCATGGCGGAGGTTATGTAATCATACCCGGCCAAGTTGTTAAAGTGAGAGGAGGAAGCACTCGTTCCCAAGCTGTGCGCACCACTCAAGCTGAACTACCTCGGTGAGCCCCACGCGCCAGAGGTTTTACCAGGCTGTAGCCAAACCGACCAGTGCACTTACCACTAGACAATCCCTTTGCAGCTGCTTGATTCTCAGTGATCAGTGGTGTCCTCGAACTCCCCAATCATACAACTCGCTGGTAACTTGCAGGATAGTGGATGAGCACTCGAGGGTTGGACAGGTCTCGAACAAACACGGAAGAGAAAGCAACTAATTCCCCCACCAAGAGATATTGTACGCGTGAACCAATCTCAGGAGGAGGAGAGATCGGTCTCAGCCAAGTACATAATGATGATAACGCTCTGGAGATGGAAGGAAGGTTTTTGAACTTTGCTTATTGCCAATCCGCCTTGTCCCAGCTTGATTCAGGTCGTCGGGGTGACATAAAGTCTCTCTTGTACTGCTCGTCGGGCAGGAGGCGTAGGCAAAGCGGGGCAACGTTTCTCGTATGCTGTCAGTTTACTTCCTGCAATGATCTACTTTTTAGTGATCGCTCCTCATGATTTGAATGGCTGATTCTTTATGACGAGCTGGGTGGCACAGCGCCTTTGGGTGACACAACAGCCCCCAAGACATACACTTTCGGAATTTCAGCTGCAAAGTGCTGTTAGGGCAATTTCGCTTCTCTCACGAATAGTCGTGCTCGGTTTTCTGACATAAGTTGTAACCCATACAAGCTCCAATCGCAGGTGAAATTACTGAAATACTTCGGCAAATCTGTGAGGTGGGAGATCAATACAGTCTTACATAGCTGTTTTCTCACATGTAGCGCCGTGGCGGACATGTAAGCAAAGCTCAAGGTGCATGGATAAAGCCGGGGCGAATTCAAAATTCGCACACAAGTTACCGCATTCCATTCCAATGGACCGCATTCACTTAAATATAATAAGGAAACAACAATAAAATACTCAAGGTTGGTAGCCATCACGAAGGAGTTCAACATCCCGCCATTTTACGGCGAGCATTGGAGATTTGTGTGAAGTGCTGCCACAGCCTCGAGTCATCGAGTGGGCCTGGTGGGGCCCAAAAAAATATGCAAAACGTACAACACCGGGTATTCGCTGATCGTCACCGACTCAACTACTAATGCGGCCCTCACTGGCTTAACCGTGGGAGAGCGGACGGGATCCCGTGTTTTCCAATGGGTATGGTCGTACGTGACAGATTCAGCAGAGCTAGGGCTTATAACTGATTTATTTGAGAGGGCAGTATCAATCTTCAACGGCGTATCTTTTTACTTTATCGTGTTGACTCTTTCTTGCTTTCTTACAGGATTTACAACCCACCATATGTAGTTGGGCGATTTCTTAACATGTATTGTGCTGATCAAGGTATGCAATGAGGACAAAGGTCATTACACAGAGGAATTGTCCACTGAATCAATGACAGATTATCCGTAGAGCACAAGAGGAATTTTAGCGTAGTACCCATCAAGCAATCTCTCTCGTGCCAGAGTTGATCACGTGCTACGACCACAACATCCCGACCGTCGCGCCGCAGATGTGCTGTGCCAGCTCTGCAAAGAGATTCTAGTCAGCTAGCTCCACCTCTTGAAACTTGACCTCCGTTGGTGAAGGACAATCATGCCTCTTGATCTACACGGCCCCAAATATTGCCCATTGTCTAAGTCAAGTTGGTGTTGGTGCGATGACTCGGATGCTGGCCGCGCCACCGTCATGGAAGCATCGTCTAAAATGCGCTTCTCTATATGGTCGATGTCACGTAATGGGGCTCAAGCTCGGCATCGATGGTCCGTCTCTCCACACTGGTGGCAGCGTCGCATCCCATGATGTTGCATGAGGAGGCGGCTTGGAGTGGCAAGAGTCCTTGCAAGGTTGTTTGACCTCATCCCTCCCGTCGACACTCGAGCACTTAATCAATGGACAACATTGACTATTTGCTGTCCGTGAAATGCCCCAGTTGCGGTGGAGTTCTTCTCTATAAGAGCCCAGTTGCAGGTGTCTGTTAGATGGACACCCGTCAAAGCGTTAGGATACATCCTGCTGCGGAGCAAACTCCCATGTCAAACACCAGGGGCAAAAGGCAGGAGATTACCACCAAGACCATCAAATGCGTATGATACTATATCTAAGGCAAGGTCAAGCATGACCAGAAGATCGTTTAGTTGCAAAGAGTAATGGCGCCTAGTCATTAGGGATAGCATATGATCAGCACCGGCTTGAAATATGCCATCCGGAATATGTTTCAACGGTCCGCGCAGAGACTACGAAACAATTACAGAGACCCAAATGGGGTTTGTTATGCACAATAAAATGGAAGCAGATTGTATGCGCCACCTGCACCGACAAGAAGACTGGCGTAATCTATCTAATGTACTCAAAAGGGCCGTCGACTCTGCCGGACTAGGAGCTAGCGTGTCTCACCCCAATCAATTCGATGCCCGCCGTCGTATTAACCCCTTACTCGCAGCCTGGCTTCCGAGTCAAGAGCAGGGGCCGACCCTAGCCAGAGTCCGGCAAATGCTATCCGCGGTCGAAAGATTGCCGTTTCGCGTAATGGCACCTGCAGAACGAACGTCCTCTTTGGTGGAAAATGCCCCGGATCTGTACGATGGTGTCCACCTCACATTTCGGTACTGTAATAATTCGCAGAACAGTCTCGACCACCCCGACGTGAACACCTCGCTTGGCAGAGTGTCCTCCCTAGTGGGTCGGTAGATCGTTCGACTGCCAGCGAGGACTGGTACGGCGTCAGGCTTATATTGTCAGGTGAAAAGCTTGAATTATGGCACCGATCCTAGTGTGGTGGGCTCTAGGAAGCTTCAAAGATATCTCGGAGCAGCTGTCGACGGTCATCTTCACCATTGTTTCCTGATTCAGACAGCCGAATCATTCCTTTCTCCCTCCCTCCATCTTCGTCCGTTACATTCACTCATTCGCGCAGCGCGCATAAATAAACACCTGCATTCCATTTCTTGGCAATCGCTCATTGATTCTGTATTCACAATTATTATACTGGTCCCTTTGGTCCACAATCCGCAGCAAGATGAAGCTTTCCATCGTGAACCTCCTCGTCCTGGTGGGCGCAGCCGCCGCCCAGCTCTCCGGGCATGTCGGCCCGACGACAAGCACTGCAGCCAAGCGGGCCAAGAAGACGTGCAATGTGCTTGACTACGGTGCCAAGGCAGACAAGTCGACGGACCTTGGCGCGGCTCTTACCAAGGCCTGGGCTGCATGTGCATCTGGAGGTATTAGTAAGTCATTGACTCCAGCCCACGCCTTGCTTCCCAACCACGGCCCATAAGCAGGTTCCGCAGCGCTGACTATCTTGCAGTCGTCATCCCCACAGGCGACTATGCCATGTCAACCTGGGCCACCCTAAACAAGGGCACCGGTGTCGGCGTGCAGCTGGACGGCACCATCTACCGCACCGGGACCGCAGGCGGCAACATGATAGCCATCCAGAACAGCAAGGACATCGAGTTCTTCTCCAGCAACGGATCCGGCGTCATGCAGGGGTACGGCTATGAGATTCACAAGAGCGGGTCGCTCTCTGGCGCCCGTCTCCTCCGCGTGATCAAGACCAGTGACTTCTCCGTCCACGATCTCAGGTTCGTCGATGCACCTGCCTTCCACATCTCGCTGGACACCAGCACCAACGGCGAGCTTTACAACCTTGCCATTCGGGGCGGTGACCACGGTGGACTCGACGGTATTGATGTGTGGGGAACGAACATCCACATCCACGATGTCATGGTGACTAACAAGGATGAGTAAGTAATTTTCTCGCCTTCTCGCCGCTGAAACTTCCCTTTTCACTGTATTTGAGACATATCAAAGAGCATTGTCTCGCAAGACATATTTTTAGACAGCTTCTCTGGTTGCGTCAACAGCTTGTGTTCCACAGAAAGCTCCCCAGACACTTTTCGAGACTACTCAACTGCAGTTGCTGACTGAAACGTGTGAATAGGTGTGTGACGGTCAAGTCACCCGCCCAAAACATCCTCATTGAGCAGATCTACTGCAACCTGTCCGGCGGCTCCGCAATCGGTTCCCTCGCAGCGGGGACAGCCATCTCCAACATCGCCTACCGCAAGATCTACACGGTGGGCAGCAACCAGATGCTCATGATCAAGAGCAACGGCGGGTCGGGCTACGTCGAGGACGCCGAGTTCAGCGAGTTCATCGGGCACGGCAACGCCTACTCGCTCGACGTCGACCAGGCGTGGGCCTCGATGTCGGCCGCGGCGGGCAGCGGCGTGCAGCTGACCAACATGACCTTCAGCAACTGGAAGGGGACCTGCGCCTCGGGCACGCAGCGCGGGCCCCTCCAGCTCAAGTGCGACGCCGACACGCCCTGCAAGGACATGGTCGTCAAGGACTTTGCCATGTGGACCGACAGCGGCAGCAAGGTCAACTACGTCTGCCAGAACGCCCTCGGCACCGGCGCGTGCCTCAAGAGCAGCGGGGGCTCCTACACGACCACGCAGGCCGTCGCGTCGGCGCCTACCGGGTACCAGGCTGCCACCATGCCGGGCGACCTCAAGACTGGCTTCGGGTTCACGGTCGAGATCCCCGTGCCTACCATGCCCAGCAGCTTCTTCCCCGGGGCGACGCCCTTGGTGGCCCTGGCTCATTGATCATCGGACTTATGGTCCGGCCACTATTCTATCCTTCACTGTATTTAGTATAAGCCTGCTGTGCATAAAGTAGGTATAAGAGCATCTAGTCTTTTTCAATTCTTTGTCAATACAATTTCCGCTTTGGAGCATCTCACTTGGTCGGGAGGAAGCGTTTTAAGTCATCCAACCCGCACATGTATCCGCCCTTTCTTTCCCCTGTGCCCACTGTAGAGGCCGCGCAAATCATCACCCGACGACAAGCCTCGCTTGCAAGATCCGCACCCACCATGTTCCCACGATAGGAGGCAGAGAGCCGCAGCGATGGGCTGTTTTGTTTCCTGCCAAGGTTCCAGCTAGACTCGTCGCGGGCAACAAGTCGCGGGCGGGGTGGGCCGTGGGCGATGTTTCGTGATGTTTCGAACACAGGGGGGGGGGGGGAGGGAGATTCTTATTTATTGCTGACTGGGCAGTGGAGCCCAGACTTTCGGGGGGCCAGGAGAAAAGGGAGAAATTGGGCCGACGGGCCCACCGGCTCCAGCTTTGTGGGGTTTGCCCTCGCCTGCGCTGCCGAGTAATGGGGTTGACGACACCCGTTGATTGATTCATGCCCGGATCCGAGCTCTGCAATGCCTGCCTTTGGATTTCGTGCGGGCCTTACACGGTCGCGTAGATCCACGACACGGTTGACAGAATACCGGTTTACTTGACTGGATGCATCTGATCGCTCGTCTCGTGTGTGTAGATCTCATATATTTTATATTTTCAGGAGTGCAGTCCACAGATCTGCCTCACCGTTGGAATATGTACAGCCAAAAACATCAAAAACTTATCCACCTTCTCCATCTCCCCATCCACGCCCATTCCCACCCAGGACCGTGTCCGCCTAGTAGACGCTTGGCGCCGGGCTGACAATGTAGTTGGTCAGGCTGGTGGTGCCGTTCATCTTAGTCGCAATAGCCTGGGCAAAGGCCTGGGCGGCGAGCTTCGCGCCGGCGGGGCTGGTGTGGGTGTGGTCGTTGGGGTAGAGGGCGTTTGTGCCGCTGTTGCCGAGCTTCTTGTAGGCGAGGCTCTGGGCGTTGTAGTGGTCGACGTAGGTGACGCTGCTGCTGGCGATGGCGTTGGCGGCCGTCTTGACGTAGCCGACAAAGCGGGGTGGCGCGTACGAGTAGCTGCCGGACTCCCACACGTTGTTGGGCGTCTGCGAGCTCAGCACCACGGTCGCGCCCTTGGCCACCATCTGCTTGGCCGCCTGGCTGACGTAGTAGACGAAGGTGTAGACGGTCGAGCCGTCCTTGCTGGACTTGCACGTCTCCGTGCCTGTCCCGGGGCAGTCGCTGCGCCCGTTGTCGTTGGTCTCGGGGCTGCCGCCGTCGTTGTGGCCGAACTCGATCACCACGATGTCGCCCGACTTGACGAGGTTGGCCACCTCGGTGAAGCGGCCCTCGACCGTGTAGGAACGGGCAGACCGGCCGCCGATGGCCTTGTTGACGACGGTGGCGGTGGAGTAGGTGCCAAAGTACTGGCCCCAGCCGTCGGTCGCGCCGTCGTTGGCGCCGTTCTTGGCCATGGTGCTGTCACCGCAGAGGTAGACAGTTGGTGTCGCCCTCTCGACGAGCTCCACGGGGGATGCATAGGCGGTGATAGCGCCGAGTGCGACGGCGATGGCGGGTAGTGAGAACTTCATTGTGTCGGCGGGTGGTGGATGAGGCCGTAAAACGATATGGTGAGGCTATGCAGAGCGAGGGAACAAGGATGATGCAAAAAAGAATGTGTACCGGCACTGGGATGAAGACGAGGATGAGGGCGAGATAATTAATGAAAGTCAACGGCTGGCGTTGCAGAGTGAAGTTAATATGTAGAGAATGAAGCTTTCAACAAGGGAAACCAACCGGAATAATTGAGTTCATATGCCCAGACCTGGCCGGCCGCCGAGTCAACTTACACATAGTGTCTGCCCCTGACCCTGCAGCCCTTGGTAGCATTTGATTAAAGGGGGATGGCACACGGAGCAGGACTGCCGCTGCACTCCGCGCTGCCCAGGCGCCATCGCGCCAGCATGAGCCCCATGACCACATGACATTAGACAGGCCCAATACGGACCTGGAGCCTCAATGGGAACTTCCCCTCGTGGAAGGAGAATGAAGGCAGATGGTCAGTGTTCGTCCAATATTGCACCTTCGGCCTTGGACACCCCACTTCCGGGGGCGCCAAGTCTGATCCTCGTGACTGAGGATTTGTGGAAGATCCCCAAGAAAGAGATCCGAGCTACGCGGGTGCCCACCCAGAAGTGTCCATGAAACAACAAACACGACCGGGGTCCGAACAGGCCCTCGGACGGAAACATGCCGTCTGTCGGCTGGGGGAAGGTCTTGGCCTCCCACACATGCTTTAAATACCGAGTCAACGCACTCCGACACACCCGCATCCAACCCCCATATGATTGATGACAACCAGTCACAGCCTTTTAATGCTCGGCGGAGTATTGGCCGAGGGCCCGCACCAGACATCCATTGACCCGGATCGCTGTCGGAGCCGGGGAGACGGAGCCGGGGCGCTCGTGGTATCTTGAAACCCGACGCTCATTGGTGCCAAGCAAGCAAGGACGTGCAGTCGCAGCAATGAAGTGAAATAGAGCTACGTATGGCCAATATGCATAAAAGACAAAGTGATGTAACTGCGGTCCATCCCAGCCTTCGGGGGTCGTGGGCCTGCTCACCTGCAAAGTTGGCATTACGGAGTATACCAGTGCAGTGCAAATGCAACCGGCACATGCAACACACCACCGACCACCGGTGAGGGCATCAGCAAAAACAGATGGCGCTGCAAGGGTTCGAACCTCGGTCTTTGGAGAGTCGACCAGCTTGACCACAATCCAACGTCCTAAACCTCTAGACGACAGCACCTACGATCTCCCCCTCCAAGCAGACTGCTGAAGTGTGTGCTGGGTGGCTAGGTGGTAACTGGGATCACGGCGGGATGCTGCAGAGGTTCGGACGAAGTGCTGGCTTGTTAGTGCTGGCTGTGTCGGACTCGTATTCACCTGTCGGTCGAAGAATGCTCGAGTTACAAGACAGCTGGAAAGCGACCAGTATGCGTAACTAACGCTCAGTTTTGGTGGGCCTGCGTCCGACCTACAGATTGCTTACCCATATCCTATCGACATCTGTGTACAGCATGTGCGACTCATAGCATATCTGTTTTCGTAGACGTCATTCCTCTAGAGCACACCCGTGGTTGTACGCATTGCTTGCCACCCAACAATCGGTACAGTACAAACGCTGCCCAAAGGGTTATGATGAGCAATCCCCGACAACGGCGATTGGCCACGTAGCAACTTTCCACAGCTTTCAGCTCCAATGTAAAGTGTGCAGAACTCGATATGTGATCGTTTGAATTTCAGTAGGCATGCAGTGATAAGTCAACTGGTAGTCGGTAGATGGGTAGATGAGTGTGGAGCAATGTGGATACCCTATCAGCATATGTGCCGACGCACATGGATCTAGCGGGACAAACAACGTAGGCTCTTTTCTAGATCACCTGACTGTCTGACCGCCCATAATTGGAACACGATTCTGGTATTCCTATCTTCTCAGCGCCCAGGAATAACCTGCCTGCGTGATCCAGGTCAGAAACTTGAGACTGCGAGAATGTGGCACATTAAAAGCCAAGCGGTACTTGGTCTGTACGTAACCCATTTAGCTCCTTGCTCGATCATATCTGCAAGTCCTACAGTAGATGTGGCCAAACTGAGGAAGAAGTTCTACTCTTGCAGAAGCACTTAGCAACTGCACAGGGTCTGGGCACAAGCTTTCGTGGTGTCACGGGGCCTCGGCTAACTAAATATTTACGGGAGGCCCGCCTGGCATATCTGAGAGTCTTGTTCCTGGGGTCCTCATCGGTCATACGGCAAGCTCGCCGTCGCTTGTAGGTGGAGCAGCAAAGCAGTCAAGTATATGTGGCTGGGTCGAACGCAGGGACAAGCAGTTTTGGGACGAGGCGACGCGGTTTTGTCTATATATCTAATGGTCACTTTCCAAAAGCCTTATATCCCAAGCTCGGCATACCATCCGCTGATACACTCTTGACAAGGAGCTGACAGTGTACACTTCAAGATTCTGCTTCGACGACCTTCACAGCCTTGCCCTTCTTCATCCGCCTGACCCTGTCCAGAACACCCTCGGCCTCGAAGTCCGTCCTCAGCTCGTCCTCGTACTGCGTGAAGTGGTCCCAGGTCTCGTAGCGCATCGGGACGATCCAGTCGGCCTTGATGTCGCGGAACAGGCGCGCAGCCTGCCTCCCACCCATAGTGATGTTTTGCTCGGACGCAGGCGCGGGCTCCACCTGAACCATGGCTTCGCCCAGGTTCATAAGGGCGGCGGCAACGTGGAAGCGGGTACCGACTTGGACGAGTTCGTCGGTGTACACCGTGTCCCCGGCGAAGTAGAAGGCATTGGGCCGGCCGTCCGGGGCGGATCCGAAGGAGTCGGTAGTCAGGACGAAGCCAATACATTCTTCACCGGGCACGTGCACACATGGCGTTGCCGTGATGCGGAATGTCTTGCCCTGCAGGGTGATTTCCGTCGTCTCCCACGGCTTCATGCCCCTGACGCCGGGCCGGGGCGCAAGATTCTTGGCGCCGTCCTTGGTGGTGAACTCATGCCGGGCATCGAGGAGTTGA